TCACTCATGGCGCGCCGCCACCAGGCGGCCCACCTGGCAGCGGATGTCCCAGATAACGCAGCACCGATGGCTGCCACGCTTGTAGCCACTCCGCCCAGCGCGAAGACAGGTAGGGCTTGTAGAAGCCCAGCATGCGCCACAGCGCCACCACCTCATCCATCGCCTCAGGAGGCGGCAGGGCATCGAAGGGGTCGCCTGTGTCACCGATACCCGGCAGCATGTCATGCAGGCGCCGTTGCCAGCGGCGGCGCACGCGCCGGCGCGCCTCAACCGGTAGCTCTGGTGCAGCATCGTCATCGGACGAGGTGTCGGCCTCCAAGGAGGGCGCGGGCCGCTGGCCGGCTGGCGCTGGCGGGGGCGGCGGCGCCGCGGCAGGTAGCGGCGGCAGCGATGGCGGCGGCGCCACGGCGATTGGCCCCGGCGGTGGCGCAGCGGCGACGGCCGGCGACGTTGGCAACGCGGTGGCAGCGGCGGTAGCGGCAGGCAACGGCGGCAGCTCCTCAGCGGCAGGCAGCGGCGGTGGCTCCTCAGCGGCAGGCAGCGGCGGTGGCGCCACGGCGATTGGCGCCGACGGCAGCGCGGCGGCAGCAGCGACGGCGGCTGGCGACGTTGGCAGCACTACGGCAGCGGCGTTGGCGGCAGTGGCGGCCGGCAACGGCTGCAGCTCCTCGGCTGCAGGCAGCGGCGGCGGCGCAGCGGCGGCGGCGATGGCGGCAGGCAACGGCGGCAGCGGCTCCTCAGCGACAGGCAGCGGCGGCGGCGCCACGGCGGCTGGCGCCGGCGGCCGCACGGCGGCCGGCGACGTTGGCAGCACCACGGCAGCAGCGTTGGCGGCAGTGGCGGCCGGCAACGGCTGCAGCTCCTCGGCTGCAGGCAGCGGCGGCGGCGCAGCGGCGGCGGCGATGGCGGCAGGCAACGGCGGCAGCGGCTCCTCAGCGACAGGCAGCGGCGGCGGCGCCATGGCGGCTGGCGCCGGCGGCCGCACGGCGGCCGGCGACGTTGGCAGCACCACGGCAGCGGCGTTGGCGGCAGGCACCGCGCTGTCCATCTCCGACCGTCTTACCAGCCCAGTCGACCGCAGCTCTCCCACAGGCGCCGCATGGATCGCGTTGCTCGCGGCAGACATAGCCGTGGCCTGGCCTGGCCTCGGCCGCAAGGGCCGAAGGGGCAGCTCCACCACCGGCGCCCCGGCCATGGACCGACCAGGGTAGCGGCACCCCAGGCTCTGGCAGCCAAAATCCAGCACCGCACCCACGCTGCGCAGCCAGTCCGCCCCGAGCAGCAGATCAAAGACCTGCGGCCCAGGCACCACGAAGCACGCGACCGTCACTGTGATGGTCCGCGGCGTGCCCGCTGCGATGGTGAGCGACAGTCCTCCCTGCACCCGCGCCAGCTCCCGCGACTTTCCCGAGACGGTGTGCACCATGACGCCGGTGTCGTACTCCAGCGCCAGCCCCCACGCCACCGCCAGGTCTTCTACGATGATGGTAACATTGCTGGCGGAGTCCGGCACCGTGCGCCCAGCCCGCAGGCCGCGACATGAGACCCCCGTTGGCAGTGAGGCGTTGAGTAGCTCCAGCATCGTGGACGGGATTCCGACATGCTGCTCGTGCTGCACTAGGGCCGTCGCCTCCAGCGGCACCTCCACCCCCAGGTATTGCTCCAGCAGGCCCAGCCGCATGTCATGGCGCGCGCAGGTGGCGACGATGTTGTTCAGAACCTGGTCCGTGACCGTCCTGGCCAGGCGGGCAGGTAGCCCGCTGCCACCCCCGTTGATGTCTGCCCGTGCCTGTACTGGGGCAGGCCGCCCACCGACCGCCAGCGGTGCTGCGCCGGGCGGGTCGTTGTCGCCGCCGGGGCGTGAACTGAGCGACCGCGGACCCGCCTGCACTGCCAGGAAGCCAGGCGGCAGCCCCGACTGCACCGGGCCTGGAGCCAGATTACCAGCGGTGGAGGTGTTGAAGGTGTACGCCTCACCGAGCAGATCGAGATCACAGCCCAGGGCGAGATCACCGCTGAAGATGGCGTTGACGGCATACTGCGGTGGCTGCTGCTGCTCAGGAGGATGCTGCGCGGGCGGCGGCGGCGGCCGCGGTGGCTGCGGCTGATACGGTGGCTGCCGCGGCTCCCGCGGCTGCGGTTGAGGCGCAGCACCCCCGGCACCGCGGCCGCCCTCCCTGTCTCGACCCTGGAGTGCCCACCGCTCCGCCACCGTGCCTGCGTGCGCCAGCTGGGCGAACTTCACCTGGCCAGCGGGGCCCTGCTCTATCAGCTGCCGGGTCTTGAAGCAGTCATCCCCCCCGTGGTGGCTGGTTTGTTGCAAGATGCACCAGCGTTCGGTACCCGGCGGACGGGGCCGCACCACCACTGGTGGACCAGGCTGCGGGAAGCGGTGGAGCATCTCCTGCTGCGTTGGGTGACCCAGTGGTGCCGTTACCAGCATCACCGCTGTCACCGGCGCTGGCGGCGCCCGGCGCGTTGCCAGCTCAGCCTGGGCCCCCTCCAGCGCACTATGGACCTGATCCGCCGTCACCGCCTCCAGAGGAATGCGCCTCTCCCGGAACCAGCTGTCCACCTTGTCCCGCACACTGTCCTGGACGATGGCCCTGAGGAACTGTGCCCCCACCCGCGCCTCCGTCACCAAGCTAGGCAGGCAGAGGGCCGCGATGTCCCGCAGGCGCTGGTAGGCCGCACCGGCGGACTCCTTTGGCCCCAGCGTGAAGGCCTCGAGCTGCCGCTCGGCCGCGGTGTACTCCTTCGGGGCCCTGCTGATTGCGCGCTCCAGCTAGAACCAGAGGAGGTGGGGTACGAGCTCCCGGCCATCCGGGGAGGTGCGGACAGCGCGGCCATCATACACCCGCCCGCACGAACGAGGAGGTTTGATGAGGAGGCGGCTGCCTTGGATGGCAGGCGGGTGCGCCTGGAGGGGGAGGGGCTGCGTGTGGGGGTCTTGCGGTATCGAGGGGCCATCATGAGGCCCGAGTATTTTGTGGTGGCCTGGGAGGACGGGGGCCGAGAGCAGGCCACCCTGGCATGCGTGCGGGAGTGGCTCATCTGAGCGGGCGTGAGCGGGGGTGCGGTGCTGGGGGGGCCCTGCGGTCCTGAGGGGAACCGGTCCTGAGTGGGTGGCTGCGCTCTGGGATGGCGGGCTCGCGTTGGGGTTAGGGGGCTGCGCTGTGCAAGGGCGGGGCCGAAAGGGCTGGTCTGGATTCCAGGGGGAGTCGAAGGGCTGAGGCTGCCGTACAAGTGTGGGGCCTGCGGACTGGGGTTTTGGTGTTAGGGATGGCCTGACGGGTCAGGTGCTGAAGAAGAGTGGACGGACGGTTATTACGGCCCGAGCGGACGGGCAGGAGAGGAACGGACGGACGGTTATTGCGGCCCGAGCGGGCGGTCAGGAGAGGAACGGACGGACGGTTATTTTGGCTCGGACGGACGGCCAGGGAAGGACGGAGCGAGTGTCATGCCTCCTCGTGCTGTGGCGTGACCTGCAGTGGTCTCTTTCCGCGCTTTGCCTGTGTTGGCGTGGTCGGGGGTCCTTGCGGACAACCAACCCAATGCTGGCTTGGTTGTGGGGGGGAGTACGGACCCCGGTGGCACTAGAGGGCCAAACCAGCGTTGGGGCACGACAGCTGTCGTGCCCCATCGTTGGCTCGTGCAGTTTGTGGTCACGGGTGGTGACGGGTGGCCGTACGTAGTACGGACCCCGGTGGCACTAGAGGGCCAAACCAGCGTTGGGGCACGACAGGATTCAGATGTCTGCGCTTGTCCACTGCCTCCTTACTTGCTTGATTGCTTGCCTGCCGTGTCCGCTTTTGAGTAGTGACGCTGTCAATTGCACGCATCAACACAACATTAATCATATTTTGCGTGGCCCTGGTGTTGCTTGTAGTTGCCGAACCCCTCAATTTGCGTGGCTTTATTTGTTGTGAGTGTGTTTGCACATTCCAAATGGGTGCACGACATAAGCGTGAGTTTTCGCATGAATGCTTGCCATGCAAATTTAGGCACGCAATTGATAGCCATCCCATCCATCACATGCAAAGCAACCCTGCCTAGCATGCATGTATCGCATGCATCCGCTAGTAACCATACGCCTGCTGGCTTTGATTTGAATTGTAGCAATCCAAGAGGTACCTTGCGGTCTATTCTGTGTTTCAGTGCCCATTTACGGGTTTCTTCCATGTTTTTCACTACCAATATTTGGGTGCAACTGTTCTAGAGCAGCTACGGCTGCGTGAGGGGTTACCGGTTACACTTGCCACGGGTGCAAAAAGGGGCATGTCCAGCGGTAGAGATGTAATGGAACCATGGGTCTTATGCACATCTCGGCCCGTTGATTTGTATTTACGCGCACCGAGTACATAGCATGTTTATATATGCTTTCCAATTGATTTACACTTTACTCTTGTGCTCCTCGTTGCAGTGCTAGATAATTAAGCACAGCCCCCCTCCAAGCCTCATCAGCAGCATTTATGGTAAAGCATACATTCAGGTTAACCAAACGCTTCATGTATAGGCTGGGCACAACTAGAGGGCGCCCAACGGGTACATGGTAACGTTGCGTGCAGCTTGGAAAAAGCGTTTGCTGTTATACAGATCAAGTTAGACAATTCGGTATTCACCTGCTAAGTTATGAAATGTATGCCGTGATAGCGCTGCAGCGCGGCCATATACGAAAAGGTATAAGCAAGCGCGGCAGTCGGACGGGGTCTACCGATACCTATGGGGACGTCGTTTATTATGGAGTGGGATCATTAGTTCCGGGCCGAGGTTTGCTGTTTTAGTTTGCCTCGGGCCATGGCCTCGGACAGTACATAACTCGCATACATGTACTGCACAACATAAACGCCTCAAATATCGCACGAGTCAAGACAAATAGTACTAACGTATTGTGCATTATGTACGCACATGGCGCATTGTAACTTCTGAGAGCTAGCAGCAAACTAGCTAGCTAGCTTCGTACGACACTCTTATTGGTGAAAATGCACAGTATACGAAACCGTTGTATAAACAATAAGAAGATAGAATGATGGATAAAGTTGATGTATGCCTTTATGCTTAACACCTACCTGACGTTCAAGTAACGGTAGTACTCATTAGAGTCGTCCCTGCTTGCCAACACGCTTTGAAACCGGCATGGCATGGTATAGGACACTCGTGTTACAGCATCTAAACCATAGTCGACGGCGCATAATGCATAGCGTTTAGCCCTGTTGGAAACTTATAGCACGGCACGTGGTGCAACTCCACGGCAGCACCCAACCCCCTAAGATGCTGCTGGCAATCTTACGCCTGTCAGTCGCGTTACTTACAAGCGGTCTTTGTGCACAAGCTCGTCTACATCTAAGTCGGGGCCTTCTTGGTGGACAGTCCTCAACGACCGTTCAGGGGGATGTCACCGTAAACACGAGCTGCATACAAAGTTTTCTAAATCCATTGACTACGAGGTAACTGCGTATCTCGGCTCTTTTGTGGCGTCGCTTTCCCCGACTCGACCGTTTCCCATCCACTGGCGATGCATGATGCGCCGCACCTGCCGCTCTCACCAACCGTAACCTTTTGGTCAACTACTGGTTTCCCCTGTATTTGGTTGCAGATGCGGGGCAGCAATGGACGTTTCCCAGCTTCGTGTGGCCACCTCCGCGATGTTTCATTCTTGTGTGCAGTTTGGTGGTGACCTGACCGTACGGGTAAGTAAGCGTGCTGGAGCTGACCTCTATGGTCCTAAGCTTAGAATCTGCCCTATCTGTTCAGTTGCTGTATCGTAATTGCTTCTCTTCCACAGCGACTTAGGGTGTTGGCGGGTACAGCGCGGCTCTATCCTGAGCTTCAGCGGCTCGGTTCGGCGTTTACTTCTGCCAGTGGGTGAGTTGCAGTCAACGGCTTGCGTGCGGCATTTCATTTAGCTAGATAGGTCTTTTGGCGAAAGCGGCAGCCCCGCGTGTGGCGGGTACCTTTCATACCCGCCGTTTGGCGGGTACTAGATTAATGGATAAGGCAGCGTGAAAGCGAGGGTTTACGTTGTCATGTGTGTAACAAGTAGGCCTGCCCTGTGGCTGAAGCACCGTCCCTCAACGTCCCTTTTGGCGCTGCCCAAATGCACCTACTCCCCACAGGATACCTATGTAGGTGCTCAATGGGCGCGTCTGTCGGGGCGCCATCTGTTACAGCCGTGCATATATGCGTAATGTGCACGCTTAGGATCGGCAGCTGGGAGATGGTGCTGCCAGCTGTGTAGGCATATTGTGCCCACGGGCAGACTGGTGCCAACACAGGCGTGCTTAGATGCCTGTTGATGCGACTTCCGGGGAACGTCACATACACCGCAGGTACCTCAATCGTAGCAGCCTTGCAGGGGCCAAGGATGCAGACGTCTGGACTGCCATCTCCCAACCGCCCCCAGTTGTCGATACTGAGGACGTCAGCGGCGGCGTGGATGTGGTTATAAGCTCACCCTCTGTCATGCACCTCATGGATAAGGTGTCTGGGGTGAGGGGAAGGACTAAGATACCATCTAGGTAGAGGGCATTGTTTGTGGGTGTGGTGGTGTAGGAGACACAGGGAAGTGTATTCGAATCAGGTTGAAAGGTAAAATTGCAATGCTTATTCCCAGGCGCATGCATACTTGCAGGCTGGCAAGTTGCTGGATTTGAGTCCGCTGGTCACCAACGACCCCCAGCTGCAGTGGTTCCTCATCAACAGCGGCCTCAGGGAGCAGATGGTCGTGTACGGCAATAAGGTAGGTCCGTGTGCCATGTCGCACAAGTGTACGACGCCATGATTCCAGGAACCAGATGACTTACTACCCACGGCACTGGAGGTGGTGTGCAAGCGAGCGTTGCTTGTATGGGGTGGGTTCTAGTGACTTGTGACAGGCGCTGAGCATTCTGGGTGCCCTTGTGCGAAATGCCCTTCTGATGCCCCTGCTGCTGGTCCCAAATCTAGGTAGCCGGTATCCCTGTGACCAGTGCACCCACCTTCCTCTTCTATCACGCGCCTACCTTCGCCCGTGACGGCCTGGAGGTACCTGTGACGTGGGACCAAGTGCTGGCGCTTGCGGAGGCATACAACGGGAAAGGTGTGCTAAAACCAAAGTTACACGGCATGGCGAGCGATTCCTGCACAAACAGCGGAAATAAAGGCGCGAGAGGGCGCCATGCCGTATCAGTACGGCAGCTAGCCCTGCCAGGGGTGCGACTCCAACCCTATGTGCTTTCCAATGGCGGTTTGAGATGATTTGTGGTCTCCAGAGGCTGCTTCCCTAACTGTATTGGCCGCCTAATAGCCAGGTCCTTGTATCTTTCTTCCCACCGCTCCGCGTGCAGACATCGACGGAGACGGGCAGCCGGACTTTGGCATATGCATGACACCGGCCAGTGAGTGTACGCCGCAGGAATGTGTGAGCTTTGCCGGCTTGAACTTCCCGATTAGCCATCAGTTGCTTCTCCTGAACCTGAAAGAGCGCTGTGTCCATACTTCTCTTATAACCACTCACGCCTATTGTTTCCCTACCAGATTGCCATATGGACGGAGCCCTGCTGCTGTGGGTCTTCGCCAGCTACGTGCAGACCCATGGGTCATCCCAGGGTTCCTTGCTAGACCCGCTTACTGGGGCCCAGCTGGCCGACAGCAGCGCCATGGCAGCCGCTCTGGAGGTGATGCGCAGGATGCGCAAGGCGGGGCCGCTGACGGGTAGGTGGGCAACCTGGCGGACGATGGTAGCATGGGGGGACAAAGTTACAGGTAGTTGGGAGGGCGTTTCGGCGGTTGCCGGGGGTAGAAGGCGCATAAGAGGGCTTATACGAGCTCCGGAGGGCCAATAGGTTTTGACATGTCGCCCTCCAGCCGAATCCATACCTACCTTGAACCCGCCCAGCTGTTGTGCTTCCAACCTACCAACAGGTAACTGCTCAGTGTTTGAAGACCCGTTGTTCCTGGAAGGCCGCTGCCTGCTGTCGCTCACCTCCCCCATCACCTTCAAGGCTGCGTATGCTCCGGACGCGCCCGCCGTGTATGCAAGCATGCGGGGAGCCATGGGCATTGCGGCATTCCCAGGGTCAACAAAGGTAGGTGCGGGGCCGATCCAGCCTTCCAGCCAAGCAACTGGTATGCAAACCAATCGCTCACCTGCTTTATGTGACTACTTTGGACATGATTGTCATCAGCAGGTGCTCGACAGAGCCAGTGGCAGCTTGGTGGCCTGCGACAAAAGCACATGCCCATTGGCGACCGTATGGACACGTGACCAGGTATTGTTGGCGGGGTTCAGTATGGCTTGACTTGTCAACGTTGCCCTGGGTGGTGGCTGGGGGGGCTGGGTAGTGCAATTGCCTGTTGCCTTTCCTAGGTACAAAAGTATGGCAACTTTCCACACGCGTCTTTGTAACACGGCGGGTCACGTCTTGCTGAAGTCACATCCCGTCGTACGCAACACACGTGCCCATGCCCCCGTCAGAACGGCGTCCTGCTTCCTGTCAACCAACCCGCCCCGTCCACCAACGTCATCGCAATGGTCAATGCGCAGTCGCCCGTTCAATACCAGTACTACGCGTACGCGTAGGTTGTGGCACATAGAGCCGGTACTCTGTCATTGCCCGGCTGCAAATGCATGATACTGTACATGTGTGTAGCGTGGCACTGAACCTGCGGCGAGAAGGTTACGGGTCAGGGAAGGTGAAGCTGGATACGATGCGACTGGGTGATGTGGGAGCCAAATAGTATTCCCGTTGTGTTGGTTACAGTTGCAAGGGGCCCACACGGGAGGGGTTTGATGACACCTATCCAGCTATCCAAACCACGCCTACTGTTGTTTCTACACCTCCTGCAGGTTTCTCAGCTACCTGACGAGTTCGAAGGTGCTGGGCACGGACGGTGCTGCGCTGCTGCTGAGCCCCAAGCTGGGTAAGTGTGGCGGGTGAAACGCACGTGTGTCAAACCATAACGATGAATGCCATCGGGGTGTGGGTTGAGGGTGGTGGTTAGGGGTTACTAGGCGGGTCGTGCCAGCACAATGGAGGCGACGACGGTTATTCAGCACATGCACATCAGTTAACGCAAGCCAAAGCCAACCAACCGTACGCCGCTTCCACACCAACCAAGAACCCCAACCCTAACCCACACATCCCGACGCCCCAACCCATGCACTAGTGGCCGATTGTGCTGACAGCACCCAATGTTGCACCTCGATTGCCGATTAATCCCCTTAATTAAGGGATCGGCACGCAGGAAGCCCCACCATTCTAGTCTCGAGAGACGAAACACAAGCAAACACCACACTCGCTAGGCGCGCCCCCGGGCGTGTGGGTGGGACCTAGGCGGCCACAATCCCGGCAGAGGGATGGCCACCGGATACTATCAATCACAACGGCAGTTGAAAGCACAAAAACGTTGGCAGCCCTGATAGGCTGGGTCGATTCGCCATCGCTGTCGTACACCCATGCAAGCGCACCATCTGCTTCCACGCACCACGGCAGCTAGCAACAAACCTACTTCTTCAGTCATACTTCTTTATAGAAATGACATCTTCCGATTTTGGCTGCCCTCGTTGGCCAATGCGTGACACCTTTGCCCGTAGCGGCAGGCAACCGAGACGGCGTGCTAAGACCCGTCGTCCGCGGTTTCTCGTTGCCTGGCATTACTTCTTGGCAGTCTCCACATGACCCAACTTCTGCGCTGTACCTTTTGTCATGGTTGCGGACTGCACTGCCCAAATGGTGCTCCACCTGACGTCCTGCAGATGTTGCCCCAATGAGGTCCACCGACCTCACAGAGGAGGCAGCGACCCGCTGGGTCGCTGCCGGCTACCACCCGCGTGACGTGGACACCTTCTTCAGGGCGTGCCGAGCCGCTATGAACAACCCAAACCAGGTCAGGTGCCGCGGGGGCTTACAGGTTTGTGCTGGTTGTGTAGCCAGCATCATATACTGGCATGCTGCCTGCCTGCATTGACGGGCTGCCTGTCCTGTCTTACGGCTACGATAGCTACGTTTTATCACCAAACATCCTTCCTGACTATACATGGCAAGCTTCCACGGGCATGACGCCGGATCCGTGTACACCGCATGTTGGCAGGTGCTCGAGCCCAGGTTCCCGGGCAACCTAAACGTCAGGTACTTGGCGGGATCTGCGGGCAAAGGAGGGGTTGGGGCCAGGCACATGACTAGACACGGATTGTCTACAACAATTTTAGCCCCAAACAAATTGCCATGATTGTCCTTTCCTCCATACTCCACCGCGTTCTTGCCTTCTTGTGTCCTCTTCCGTCTTTCCCTCTCATGTACCATTTCTGCAGTACTGCTAGCACCCTGGCGTTGCTGCTCTACACCAACGCGACCACCGGCTACCGCACCCCTCCAGTCTCTATCCCAATGTCCATGATTAGCAACACCTTAGCAGCCGTCATAGCCGAAGAAGGCGGACCTGTCGCATTTCTGGACAGCTACAGGCGCACGCTGAACCGGGTCCCGCTGCCATCAGCACCATCTGCACCCTCATCGCCGCCGCCGCTTAATGGCGATGGCGGCGGAGGAGCAGTCCAGCGTCGCGTGATCGCAATAGGAGTGACATGTAGTGCGGTGGTGTTTGGGGGTGCGGTGGCGGCAGCGGCAGTGGTAGTATGGCGCTGGAGGCGCCGGAATAAAGAGCGTGAAGTGTCGGAGGCGCCGCAAGCTGGTCCCGATACAACACTGCTTGTCACAGGTAATCGAGATAGATCTGCCAAGAGGATTGGCAGAGAGCGCTTTAAGCCGGAGAGATGCGGCTTTCCTTGCTCGTGTTTACATTTTGCATGCATAGCTTGCATGCACATCTTACATGAGCTGTGAGCGTGGGGAACACCCCGCACAATATATGTCCGTCTGCCCATGAGCCAGGACTGATACCCAAAGAACAGGGGTTCCCACACTTGGCTAATCAAGACCGCTTGCCACCTTATCTTTCCGTGCATCTCTGCCCTTGCATGCATGCCTTGCTGATGCTTGCCGGCCGCGGCGTTCGTACTGGACACCTCTTACCTTCATGGCATACTGGCTTCCGACAAACACTCGGCACCCGACAAACGAAACCCTGCACACTGCAGACATCCAGAGCAGTACCAGGTGGGTTAATGAGAGGGAAATAACTGTCTCCTTCGTACCCCTTGGCCCTAAGACTTAAGGGCCAAGTATTTGTTGTGCAGCCATGCATGTATCTGTGCTGGTAGACACGTACGGGTTCTATGGGCTCTGCCATCCTGAGGCCCACCTGGGGAGGCCCGTTAAGGCAAGGAGCATGAAGCAAAGCAAGATAACGGGTCTGTGGCCTACTTGATTGTGACAACACTGTAGGTTTGTGGGCTGGCTCTGACATTACTGTGACAAGGCAAAACATCTAACCCTGCCCACTGCTACCTTAGCCTGTGGGAGCAGCTGGACCCGGAGGTGATGAACCGCGCGGTGTCCATACATCACGCCATCATGCGCAAGTGCATCGCGGAGTGGCGGGGCTACGAGAGCGCCACAGGTGATGAGGGCACTGCTGGAGCGACAGGGCAGGGATAGGGGGCATTGGAAAGGGTTGGAGTGCACGTCAAGGCAAGGCGGTTTACCTCCCTAAGCCCGTGCGTGCCTCCGTTGTCATGCCTCGCTCTGTTGCCATGAGAACACCGGCACTGAGGCCTCCACTTTAGACCGTGAATCTGAGCAGTGGCTCCCGCAGATAAACGGCGGTTGGTGTTGTGCTTGCTTGCCTGCTGCTTGTCGCATGCTCCGTCACCCCGATCGATCACCCCACAGAGGGCGACTCGTTTATCGTGGCCTTCCACAACCCCACGGATGCGTTCATGTGCGCCTTGGAGGCGCAACAGGTGAGGTTGGGGAGGTGTTCTAGGAGAGAATTGATCACTACCACGTTTGACAGGACAACGGACGGTAAGTGAAAGCTTGTCGGCAAAATCATGCATCTGGAGCACCAGCTGAGGGTTATCTTGCGCCAGAACTTTGTGCGGTTTCCAGTTCTCCGTGCTGTCTCATGTATATGTGTCTCAAAAAGGTTTCATTGCCCATGCCCGCTTGTTACAGGCCCTCCTTTCGGCTCCCTGGCCCCCGGAGTTGCTACAGCCGCCGTCCTTGGAGCTTGCCGAGGGAGAGGAGAACCCCTTAGCCGCCATTGCAGTGGCACCCCTAGCACCCGCATCACGGCGGCGTGCATCACGCCTTCGTCACCGCGGCCAAATCGCTCCTACCGCTGCCGCCGCGCCTATCGACTCGGCTAACAGTCCCGCATACAATCCTGCGCGCTGCAGCACAGGCAGCATCAGCTACCTTGGTCGCGTTGTTTCCGCACGCCGATTGCTACTGCCATCGCCTGTTCCTGCCGCCGCCGCAGCAGCTGCTGCTGCAACCGACGTCGCAACGAAAGCTTCGTTTACTTGTGACGACGGAGTTGGCAACGAGAGGCCTGCAGCCAGCACAGAAGCAACGAGGGTGGTGCCAACGGGGTTGTTCCCGCCTTTCGGAGGTCCTTCCTGGCGCCTTCGGCGGGCTTCCGATTCCTTCGTGGCGGCCAGACGGGACGTGAAAGAAGTACAGTGCGGGCCAGATGTGGGCGAGATTGAGGAAGACAGCGGTAGGGTAACCGAGGATGATGGGTTGCGAGCGCTGCCCTCACCACCTTGGTTGCCACCCGCAGCCAACATCCCTCCCCAACGCCTCCTTGGTATGATGACGACCAGCCCGTGCTATGAGCAGCAGCAACCACAACTGAGCCCACAACGTCAAACGCAAAAACGGCCACAATTGGTACAAGACGAACGAAGACAAATCCCAACATTGCGCACGCCTTCATTTGGATTGCCTCAACGATCCGCCTCGTCCGTCACCTCAGCTGTGTCTGCAGTGCTTGGGCTTAAGCGGGGCGGCAGTAGCAAGACCATCAATCCTGCGGGACGGCCTAACATTGCTCGTAACGAGGGTGTCCACAGTGTTGTTTACGGCGGTGGGGCTGCCGAGCAGCCAGGTAGCGGCGACGATCGAGGCATCAGCGACTCGCCTCAAGAACGGCTCTATGGCCGCGTTGCCAGCTGTGGAAGGAGCAGGACGTTGGAAGGCTACCTTCCTTCTAAATGTCCGGCAACCAGCGACTCAGAGTCGGTGAGTGGTGATCACGCCAGGGAGGGATTGGGAGGCTGCCAAAGCCAGGGCGAAGGAATTGTGGACGGATACCTGGGGCCTGGTGGTCCTCACGCGGGGCATGGCTGCCAAATGGCCCAGGAGGCGGGCTTTTTATCCGTACACCAACACGTGAATGCATGGCACCATAGAGGCACTTCTCTGTTGATCACTTGTTCGCTACCGACCCATGGGTCATGTACTGATCGCTACACTACGCAGATGCGCACGGAGGACAAGACCCTAGCTGCCACGATGCTGGCTTCGATCCGCGTCATCCGCGGCAGCCGTGAAGTGCATCACACCACGAGCGCAGACGAGCCGTCGGTTGGCGAGTCCTTCGAGTTCACTACTGCAGCTGAAGTCACGGCGCTGACCACTACTATCTCCTCTGAGAGCCAACAGAGGATTGTCCAGCAATCATCTCCACCGCGCCGTCCTCCTTCTGCCGTATTTAACCCGTCTAAGTCTCCGCTAACACCATCTCCCTACCTGCCCTTGAGTCCAGAACCCATACTCCGCGGCCTTCGTGTGCGCATGGGCATGTGGACCGGTGTCCCCTCCGCTGCTGATGTCACCACCAACGCTGCCAGCGGCCGAACCCAGTACTCTGGACAAGCCATATGTCGTGCGAAGCTGGTAGCCGACACCGCACATGGCGGCATGGTGGTCATGTCGGAAAGCTCGAGACAGCGCCTTACGGCAGACGTCGTACGTGCCTCCAAGCATTACATTGTATACGGCGGCCTTCATGCGCTGCCTAGCAAGGGCAGCGGCGGAGATGCAGCCCTGCAGCTGCACTTGTACACGTGCTACAGTACAGGTCTGCTGCCCAGGGCTGTGGTAATGCGGCCCTTGAGGACGGAGGGAGTGCTGCGAGAGGGGGCCTTGGCGGCTCCTGTGGGGCATGGAACGGTAATCCAGGTCAGTGTGACTGCTCACAACTACTGGCACATCAGAAGGCTGCTAACCAGCTGTGCGCCCGTACACGTTTCCCAAACACATGCTAAACGAATGTGCTAGGGAGCCTTTTGAGGGAGTACCCTTGCATAATGAAGCGCCCTTTCTATGCATGGCCCTGCTCCTCTTATAACGTTCTGCTCTCTATCCTGCCTCAGATGCGCGTCGCGGGCCTCGAAGCCCTGCTAGCCTGGGATGTATCCCGGGTTACCCAGGCCTTGGACACCTTGCACGCTGCCGCACTTGACCTTCTGAAACACTACCTCAACTCGGCAACAACGGCAGCAGGTCCCAGCGGCGGGAGCAGTGCCTACATTGCCATCGGCGGTGTGACATTGCTTCCGGTCTCGGCCACTGCATCAGGGCTGGCGCCGGCATCAGGGTCGATGCCCTCATTTCCTCCGCAGCAGCAGCCTGGGCTCATGATGGTGGTGTTCAAGGATGCACAAGCTGCTGTTGCATGGGCTGCTGCGGTTCGACAGCGGTCTAGGTGGTTGGAGTGGTCTGAGGAGCTGCTGGGCCATGAGCTGTGCGAAGAGGTGAGTTCGGGACACGCGTCTGGTTAGGGGGTGTGCAGGTATGGCGGCATTCCGATTACCTAACCCAGAACGACAGCCAGATCTCTTCATGTACCATATGCGTCTAACCAGCAGCAGGCTGCTCGGGGCAGCAGCGACGACCACCGTGGCACATAAGCCTTCATGAATTATGACCTGGCCCACTTCTCGTAGAAGCGTCCGCCCCTGCCACATGTGCTCTCACGACTACCACTGTGTGGATTTGCTTGGATCACAGGTCTGGTTCACAGGTCCAGCCGGCATGCGGTTGGGAGCTGCAGCCACCGCTGCCCTTTCTGCTTCCGCTACCGCTGATGGCTACACCAGTGCCGCCGGCGGCGGACAAAGGTCATCTCTCATGTCGCGTGCTTCTGCAGCTGCAGCCGCTTTCAGCGCTGCCTTCTCCCTGTCTTCAGCCATACCCACCAACCCAGCGGCTTCTCCCTCAGTTGCCCCACGGTCCTCATCTGTCACTGGATTGACTCCTGTGTCCACCGGCCGTTGCACGACCAACCGTTTCTTATACTCTGGAGCAAGCCGAGCTCCTCGGCCTCAGTCCACAAGTTACAGCTTTGGCTTCTGGAGCACCAGGAGCTTCCTTGGCATGCCCGCTGGCGAGGCTGGTGATGGCGGTAGTCGGATGTGCAGCGGTGAAGGAAACGATTTAGGTGTTCCGTGTGAGACGACAGCAGGGCGACAGCTGCCGGCGGTGTTTCCTACAAACGCAACGGACGCACATGGGGAGAACATTGCCGGCCTCGACGCCTCACCCGTACCCACCAGCGCCGCTGACGTGGGCACTTCAGCCGCCGTCGGCCGTCGTGGATACCACCTATCCCAGAGTGCTGCGGCCAGCATGCGCATAAATAGTTTCCAAGCTCCTAGGCCTCGCTCTTCTCGTTTCTACTTTGGATGGAGGAGGACTACAAGCTTGCTGTCAACTGGCGAGGCTGACACCGATGCCGATCAGCCACGTACTGGCAGAGGAATTATGGAGGACAACAGCGAACTTGCCGCAGGAGAGATTTCAGTGCGTCAGTCGGCAGACATTCTTAGAAGTTCAGCAGAACTGAATGATGAGTACGTCACACTCGATGCCTCACCTTTCAGCGAATCGGCAACTGCTGCGTTTGAAGTCGCCGCCGCAAGAACAACAACGACAGAGAGTAGGCAACAAGGCGGCTTCTCCCACGGTGGAGATCCTGCTCGGCTCGCCGCCGCCACCAGCAGCACCGGTGCCACCGGTACCACATCCGCTGGCGCCACGGCCACCGCTAACACCGTTACCGCAGCCACCGGTACAACCCCCACGGCCAGCACCAATGTGCCGTTGTCGGAATACGCGTCTGCAGTGGCGCCATCACAGCTCCTGATATTCGAGGCCGTAAGCAAGACATGCGACATACCGGTCGGCCCTGCATCAGGGCATGCACGCTGGTCATCAATGCCGGAACCACTTGCAGGGGGGGCGTCAGAAGAGACTTCAATCACCCCGCCGTCCGCTACCGGGATGTTTGCTACACCACCAGTGAGAACGTCAGCAGGCGCTGCTGGGGGGCCTACTGCACCTGCGCCTGCTTTTCCCGTCGGTTTTGGCTTGTCCGATTACCCGTCTACGAATAGTAGTGCTCCGGCGACGGCGACGCTTCAGCTCCTTCACCGGGGTCTACGGCTGCGTTTTTCGGTTGCAAGCGGGGCACTGGAGGGAGGGCTGGTGGCTGGCGACGTGAACGGGCAGGTGTCGTACAAGGGCAAGGCGGTGGTGCAAGCGGGGAAGCTGCTGAGCAAGGCGCGAGTGGGTCAGGTGAGGGAACACAACTGGCGCGATCACCGCCGAGCGTGCGAAGGCTGCTCTTACCCTTGCAGACAAACGTAGTGATTAGGCGATTGATGTGGACATCATTCTTGAATGGGTTGGGCCCCAATAAAAGCGCCTAAAAATTTCGGTCCTTTCCTTGTCCGCCCACCAGACCTCCAAACTATGCGCTTTGCCCTTGCTTGCTGCCTTCCCCAGATCTGCGTCACAGCCGAGCTAGCCGGCAGCCTGCCCGCCGCTCTTGCTGAGGAGGTAACCATTGTCCACAAGCTGTGAAGTGGGCCGGGGGTTGCCTATGCCTGAGGTACCCTGAAGAGCTCCCGCGCACGCCGTGGGAGGTAACTGTGATGTGTATGAAAGGGCTTCAAGGGTTGGGTTGAGGCAGGAACAACGGCGGACATGTATGAAGGGGGCGAGGTCAACGAACAGCTAGTTGTGCTCAAATACAGCACAGCGGTGCGAGCTTAGTGATGCAGCCTAATAAATTATCATTGCATTAATAAATTCATGAAAGGCTTGGGGTAAGAGCACTTATATGGCAGTATGTGTACGATGATGTACGGTGAGGACGGTATGTTCCAATTGCCCTCCAATAGCTCATTATAACAACGGTACGCGCACTGTTTTTTCACGGAAGATAAACGAGGGTCCTGCAAAGTACCACTCAGCTAGGAGCTAAAGGAATTGCTTTGTGACCCATGGTTCATGCTGCTGAAGGCCAATGTTAATATATGCAAAGGCATGCGACGATGTTTACATGTGGTCAGCCATGCGCGACCATGCCCAAATGGTTTGTCACATGTGCACACTTTACAGGCCTGGGCTGCAAGTAAAGTAGTTACTACGCACTACCGTAATGGCATCGGAGTGTGGTTTCAATGTTCGGCGTATGTCGTACATTTCTGCAGGATGTGCTCCCCTGCATGCGGGTAAAACTATCATTTTCTTAAGCCGTACGGTTGGGCACGACCATGCGGCGCATCTGCATATCTTTCTTTTAGGAGTCCTAACTTCGTTTGCTAGTCCTAACTCCGTTTTTTCGTCTTGTTAGCTCCGTATCTGTTGCTCGCATGTGTTACTTTTAAGCTGCCTGCTGTTGTGCTGCGGTTGTGCATTGCCATATGGGCGGATGCTGCGTCTGCCTGCGCAGCAAATAAACTTGTATCGTGATCTGGCAGGTGTTTGTGGCAAGTCGTTGGCAATCGCAGATTACGGCTTGCTTCGGTTAGTTAGGACTGGCCCCATGTCCTTGGACGTGTTTAACTGTCTGGAAGGCAGTACTAAGTTAGGACCGCTTACTACTAGACTGTGCGTGATGTTCGCAATGCTGCTGTATGTCTTGTTGGCTAAAGTTTGCTTAATAATGTCTGAAGAACATGTTGCGTTAACATGCGCAGGCTGCTGATGGGTTGTGCATGTGAGTTATGGGAGGTTTGATCTGGAGTACGACGCAGTTGTCCACTGCCGTCGTTGGGAATGAAGTCAGAGTTATGATACCGCCCCTGCCGGGACATGATCTGTCCCCACAATGCAAGATCCAAGCGCCCGTCACCACAACCAGGTTGCTTCCCTAACCAGCCTGGCAAGGTAGTTATTTGGGTCACAATACAAGTACAAGTACCAGCAGGCGTACGTTTGTGCAATTTGCTCCAAGCAAGAGGACAGCACCAAGAGCAACGGTACCGTCAGGGACTCAGGGTTGTACTGAGCAGTGGTAGTTTGATTGGGGGTTTTTGCATGCCGGTTAAACCGCTGGGCAAGCTGGTGGTGGGGTGGTCAAGGGTGCAGCATGGCAAGGCGAAGGTGAGCAGGGTACCGGTGGTATGCGTGTTTGCAGGTATGCTAGCAACGGTTGCGGGAAACCAGCGGGGGTTCGTGTACAGCAGTGCTGACCTGGAAATGCAGGCTCTACTGTGGGTAGTGCCGTATGTCGTGCCCTGTCGTTGGTAGAAGACACAGCCCTTACCTGGAAGTGCGGACTCTTGGCGGGCCGGTAGGCACGAGGTAGGGCCGTGTGGCGTACGTGGGGGGTGGGGAAGCGTAGATTTGGAGCCATTGCACGGAGTTTACAGCAGTTTTGATAGGTATGCTTGATTTGGCCATCCTCCTAAAGTTATGGATGGGCAGGCTGTCATGGTGGGTGCGGCAGGGTATGATGGCGCGGCGATGGAGCACGGTCAGCAACCAGAGCAACGATGAGGCGTGTTTGCGGGCCAAGAGACTAGTGTTGGAACGGGGATGAATAATGATAACCACAAATTATAAGAGTGAAACACGGCCGCAACTTATATTTACTACAGGGAGATTTAAGCTGCACAGAGGTGCACCGGTCTCCGGCAGGCTACGTAACTAATACCGGTCGCGTACGGCAAATACTCGATTCCAGATTGACGATGATTCTTCACCTAGGTGGCTGATAAGCACAAGGAATTGCTTTCTGTACCGTGTTGCATTGCCCCTAGTGAGCATTATGTCGACAGCATTACTCGAACAAGCTTGCTGGAACCGACAATTTGAGCCATGACGATTCACCCGCAGAACCTGCATAGGCAAATGCCGCAGAGAAGATAAGATTGAATTCATCGTCGTAGAAACCCAATCGACGTCAGGATAGGAAAGCAGTACTTTACCTATGCTACTCCTGATTTTGCAGCTTCTGTATATCCTAGGTTCTCTTAAATCTTTCGGACATGCACAGGCTGCTCCGCTATTGCAGCTTCGCCGTGGCTTGGTTGAGGTATCGTCAACCGCCTTTGAGAACGATGTCTTCGTGAACAGGACCTGCATAGCGGGTTCCCTATACCCGTTGTTTTCTGGGTAAGAGGGGCACTTAAATACGGCTTCAATAAGCTACGTCTGCTTTCAAGCACAGTCGCCGCCTTTTCGCCTCCTCGACGCAACCCCTCCTTTGCATACGGGTATTTAACACGGTTTTTACTTCTGCACAGTTGCAGTAATGTGGACTCAAGCGGGAATTCAGTGGACTATTCGCAACTTCGTGTCACAACATCGGCCATGCTCCAAGCATGCGTACAATTTGGAGGCGACCCAAGCATACGGGTAGGTGTCGTGGTAGTGTTGGCTCAGACCTAGGAACTTCCCTCTGCTTGGTTAGCTCCCCCCTTTAAATGATTAGATTAATTACACGTGAGCCCTTGTACTCCAAGGCATGCATTGTTGTTGGCTTCATCCAAGTGAATCAGCAGTTCAAACTTGTATCGTAAACGGCCCTGCCTAAAGCCCAAACTATCAGCGAATAGAGGCCCTTGCCACCCCTGTTGCCCTACGTGTACAGCGACTGCGGGTGTTGGCGGGTACAGCGCGGCTCTATCCGGAGCTTCAGAGGCTCGGTTCGGCGTTCACTTCTGCTAGTGGGTAAGTGGCTAGGGTCGGGAGGATGTGGGGTTGCAGTTACAGACAATACCACAAGGCACACAGCAGACCCACTTCCGGAACAGCCATCTGAGGTTGCAGTTACAGACAATACCACAAGGCACACAGCAGACCCACTTCCGGAACAGCCATCTGACAAGGTGGATTGACTGGGCAGGCAGTAATGAGTCAGCATGGTGTTGCTGTGTTTCATCAGTATCTGTCGTGCATGTGGAGCAGCTATGACTGTGTGTGGCTCTCCTAACGCCTCACCTACTGATCACGCCGCCTTGCTGTGCGTGTGCAAACCCTTCCTGCAGAATCCCTTTGTAGGTAGTGGCTTGGCGTCCACATGGGTAGAAACCTACCTGCTTGAGGAATGCTAATCCAGCTACCTTCCTTGGGCCAGCTAATTAGTAGGGTTTGTAGCTTGGTGTTAGCTAGCGGGTGCATACATCGAGATCTGTGGCTTTGGCACATTCTATGCCAAAGAAGTGCCTGTAGGGCGTGATCTACCTGCTGTTTCTTGGAACCGCTACCGGCACATACCACCTGCTCCTTCTGTAATCGGGCGCTTCCAGACAATCATTATTACAATCATTGATTATGAGGCGTATGAACACCGTGGCGTGTCCAACTAGGTACTTTAACTTCAGCGCCCGTGTGGGGGCCAACGGCGCCGTCATGCGCGCCGCAATCGCCCGGCCGGCCCCTGTGGTCGACACTGCGGACGCCAGCGGTGGCATGGATGCCATCATCACCTCCCCCTCCTTCATGCACTACATGGATAAGGTATTTGGCGGGGCTTGGCTGTGGGTGGGACCGTTCGGTAGCGCTCAAAGCAGGTATAGCTAAGCGCCGTAATGCCAGCCTTGTGTTCACTAACATCTAAGCAGCCCGTTCCCGCACGTACGCATGCGTGCAGGCTGGCAAGTTGCTGGATTTAAGTCCGCTGGTCACCGACGATTTGCAGCTGCAGTGGTTCCTAATCAATAAAGGCCTCCGGGAGCAGATGGTCGTGTACGGCAATAAGGTCCGTGTGCCACAGAGTCTTATGTGCTGAACTTCTTGCCGACAATACCCGGCAGGATCCCGGGTTTAATTGTTTGCGTCTCTCGCCTTTCGGACTGCAGACTAGTAGCTGACCTGGAGGTAACCGTTTCCCGTGGTGACCGTTAGTTTAACCCTCATCCGCCCTTATCCCGCCCAAAGGTAGTCGGCATACCAGTGACCACCGCGCCGGGGTTCCTCTTCTATCACGCGCCTACCTTCGCCCGTGACGGCCTGGAGGTACCTGTGACGTGGGACCAAGTGCTGGCGCTTGCGGAGGCATACAACGGGAAAGGTGCGTGTGGGGCAGCAGATAGAAACGAACAAAAGGCCCGTGGTGCGTGTGAGGCAGCGGCAGGAGGAAAGCCGTAGACAGCATATACTCAATTTACTTATGTCGGAAGGGAAGACGTTTCGGAGGAAACGGATGTTGCATCTCAGAGGCCGTCGGGTAACGCGAGGGGTAAAACAGCCAACATGTAACGGTCCAAGACCAGATCCAAATGTGTATTGTGCTTTTCGAACGTTGCGCTTGGCTGTACCTGTACCTGTACATTGCTCCAACCACGGTCTTGTTTTCAGGCATGGTATTCAGGAATCCCGACAATGTGTCCCTTTCGCAGACATCAACGGAGACGGGGTGCCAGACTATGGCATCTGCCTGACACCTCCCAGTGAGTCAACTTACTTGTAACAGGAAAATACGTTTCTGCCACCCTTGAATGGCTTCTTAACTTGGTTTCCAACCAATGCATTTGTATAAACGTGCGTGTTGGTCTGTACACAAAACAGCCTTTGCCCTCACACCAATCAACAGACTGTTTCGTGGACGGAACCATCCTGCTGTGGGTCTTCGCCAGCTACGTGCAGACCCATGGGTCATCCCAGGGCTCCTTGCTAGACCCGCTTACTGGGGCCCAGCTGGCCAACAGCAGCGCCATGGCAGCCGCTCTGGAGGTGATGCGCAGGATGCGCAAGGCGGGGCCGCTGACGGGTAGGTGGACAATTAAGCGGACGATGGTAGCATGGACAAAGTTACGGCGGGTAGTTGGGCGGTTGCCGGGGGACGCACTTACGGCAGGCCAGCCAGTAGTAACCCGCCTGTCGAGGCGCTTCGCCGAACAACACGGATAGATGGCCGCCATATAGAAGGCAGTAGATATCTCACCTGCCCTTCCGGAGCCTTACATGTGTACCAGCTGTAGCGAGGGTGCTACAAATACCAATAATTACGGCTGCACAGCATCCTATGAGGCCTTTTCAGGACCGTTGTTACACCAGCTGTAGCCGCCCGGGTCTTACAGCGGCGTGGGGTATGTGCACCGTACTGCCTTGCCCTTTGCACGTTCCCGCTGTAGGTGACTGCTCAGTGTTTGAAGACCCGTTATTCCTGGAAGGCCGCTGCCTGCTGTCGCTCACCTCCCCCATCACCTTCAAGACTGCTTATGCTCCGGACGCGCCCGCCGTGTATGCAAGCATGCGGGGAGCCATGGGCATTGCGGCATTCCCAGGCTCCACAAAAGTATGTGTTGGGCAAAAGACAGGGCACTATGGAAATCATGTTCCGGCTACTTTCCGCCCACATGCCATTTCCTGTCAACGCATCCAGCCTTAATGTTTGATTCACTTGTTTGCCATTACAGGTGCTTAATCGGACTGACGGCAAGCTCGTTAACTGCAGTCAAGACACGTGCCCGATGGCGACCGCTTGGACCCGTGACGAGGTATGCAGGTGTTGCTCGTACACGCATGGACGGATGGGTAGGTGATCCCACCGTCCTGCTTCCATACTGCACCAGAAGATGTCCCTCGCCACCCACCACCCTACCGAACCTTGCAATGAATATCGCCCTTCCATAAATAAGCAGCAGCCTGTAGTCAGCCCTTCTCCTTCATGACTCCCTCCGGCCGCCACAGACCGGCGTCCTGCGTCCCGTCAACCAGCCCGCCCCGTCCACCAATGTCATTGTTATGATCAATGCGCAATCACCCGTTCAGTACCAGTACTATGCGTACAGGTGAGGGTGGAAGCAGGATCTGTTTTGAGGGGCATGGTGGGGCTGAAGTCTGAAGGAAAGGGAACTCCCTGGATTCTAGAAGGCCCTTGTGTGGTTATAGCTTTAGTGGGTCGCAGCTTGAGAGTTATTCTAGGGCCGCATATGGAAGTACCGTATTGCGTGCCATGCCTTACCCCGACTACCTCCGCTCACCCCCGCTGTACAGCCTCTTCAGCTACCTGACGAGTGCAAAGGTGCTGGGCACGGACGGTGCTGCGCTGCTGCTGAATCCCAAGCTTGGTAAGTGTGGGTACCCGACCTGCCTGTAACGCTTTATAGGATGCCCTATGCCGCCAAGGTGGAGTTGGGCACTACAGGTTCGGATACTTGTTTGGCGCGCTCAAGTCTGGAAGGCATATGAAGTTGTAGGACGCTTGCAGCTTTGTTGGTATAAGGGTGTGAACCCCATTCATCAACAACAACAGGGGCGGCGAAAAGTAACCTCTGGGATTAGTTGTCTGGTTCACATAGCGTCTTCCTCAGCTTGTGCCATTCATACCCATCCCACATGCACGCACTCCGTGCCCTGCGTCCTTAGTTGCCGGGCGCATACGCCCTTAGCAGACCCGCACGCTCCATCTGTCCCCGCAGAGACCGCCCCTTTACGGTCCAGCGACCTAACTGCGGAATCCGCATCCCGCTGGGTGTCCGCCGGGTACCACCCAAGAGACGTAACCGCCTTCTTTACCGCGTACCGCGCAGCCATGAGCAACCCAAACCAGGTCAGCGGGTGCCTCGTGTATTGAAGCCTAAGGCGGTAGTCAAATGGCGCCCTGTGTGGTTACGCACGCATGTGCGCCGTGGGCTCATGCTTGGCCGGGCTAAGCCAAATGTGCTGTCCACTTTGCGTGTTGGCCCTCTCTGATACTTTGCACCGCATGTGGCACAAGGAACTGACGCCAGGTTTATGAACAACGTGTGACAGGTGGTGGAACCCAAGTTCCCGGGTAACATCAACATAAGGTACGGTACATGGGTTGGGTCAGGTAGGGGTCAAGGTGTGGCATGCACGATGCTGGTCAGGGTTCACCTACGCAGGCGAGACCGAGCGCTCAGCAGGCGTCATTCGCTGCGCCCACATAGCCATGTGCCCGTCTTCGCCATCCTGTCTAGTATCAAGCCTTTCCCCCTACCCGTGCCTCCTTCTGCAGCACCGCCTGCACCCTGGCGTTGCTGCTCTACACCAACGCGACCACCGGCTACCGCACCCCTCCAGTCTCTATCCCAATGTCCATGATTAGCAACACCTTAGCAGCCGTCATAGCCGAAGAAGGCGGACCTGTCGCATTTCTGGAGGAGTATCGAAAGGACCTGAGCTGGGTGCCGCCGCCACCGCCACTGGCGCCATCGCCACCGCCACTGCCGCCGTACAGGATTGACGACGGAAGCGACAAGCTACGGCGTCGCCGTACACTAGCGGCAGGGGTAACATGCAGCGTGGCGGTGTTGGTGGCAGCAGCGGCAGCGGCGGCGGTGGCTGTACGGCGCCAGCGGCGGCGAAGGCGTCGGGAGAGGGAAGAGGCGCCGTCCGCGCCCCAGGCTGGTCCAGAGACTACGCTGCTTGTGACAGGTAGGAGGGGGGCACCAATAGGGTTGTGTGTAAAAGGCAACAGAATGCAGCATGACTTGTAAGGCTCCTTGCCGCCAAATTACTTGCATGCGTTATTCTGCCATCAACAAGGCTTGCCCTGACCCTCTGCCGTGCATGCCGGCCTGTTGGACATCTCCTCGCTCACGGTGTACCCTTCGTCAACCGCCAACCGCAATCACGCCATCGCTCGATCACAGACATCCAGAGCAGCACCAGGTGAGCATCCCCCCGCCTTCCTGACCGCAAAACATCGAATCCGCCCTGCCGGCTAAGTGCCCTGGCGTCCGTTATCCCCACTGCTCCTTATCCCCACCTGCCTCTGCCCACTGCTGCCTCAGCCTGTGGGAGCAGCTGGACCCGGAGGTGATGAACCGCGCGCTGTCCATACACCACACCATCATGCGCAAGTGCATCGCGGAGTGGCGGGGCTACGAGAGCGCCACAGGTGACCATTGAAGACTGGGTTTGGATCGGGTAGAAGAGGGCTAACCGTGCGTACGTGTGGGCATGGCAATTGTGGAGGTGGCTGTTACGAAGTTCTTGGTCATGTCGCTTTTTATGAGCTCGGCGTCCTTCTCAAGCAATATTCAGTGCTCAGGGCCGCGAGCGCGGCACGCAGGGGCCGTCGTTATCTTTGGCCGCTATGACTCTGGGCCTGGTCCTCTGCCTGAGGCCACCTTGTTGACTTGCTGCCTTGCACATAGCTTGCGCTACCTGGACCCCATCTCTCCTGCTGCACGCAGAGGGCGACTCGTTTATCGTGGCCTTCCACAACCCCACGGATGCGCTCATGTGCGCCTTGGAGGCACAACAGGTGGGGCTGGGGGCGTTTGTTTGTTTCATTCGCCTCAAGGAGACAGGAGGACAGCAGTACGTTGTAAGGCTGCCGGCAGGGTTTGGTTGAGCCCATCTGACAGTGGCATATGCAGCGACCTCGCTGCTTCACATGGCATAAGCTGCGGGGCTTTGAGCCTGCGCATGCTTGCGTACATTGCACGGCCCATTACGGCCCCACACCCCCCAACACACGGCTACTTATACGTGACTCACGCCCTTTTATCCCGTTATTCCCGCTGGCAGGCCCTCCTTTCGGCCCCCTGGCCTCCGGAGTTGCTACAGCCGCCGTCCTTAGTGCTTGCCGAGGGCGAGGAGAACCCCCTGGGTGTTGTCACGGTAGTGCCCACTGCCCCAGCCGCAGCACCACAGACACGGCCCACGCCACGTATCTTGCAGCGGTCCTGCACTTCCCAGGGTGGGACCCTTGGCAGCGGCACCAAGCAAGCCAGCCGGATCTCCTTGACGCCGCCCTATCGGATGCTTGCGTCACCCGCGGCGGGCGCTTCTGGAGCAGCTGCTCCGGCTAGTGGGAGTGCGAGCGGCACCTCAGCGACTCTAGCTATTGCTGGCGACGTCTGCGGTGTAGTCCAAGAGGCCGCCGCCAGCAACGCAGCCGTGATGGCGCCAGCGGTGTCGTTGACGTCGCCGGCAGAGAGGGGTTTTGCTAGCGGGCCCCTCTGGCGGATCCCGGACACCCTTGCCACAGCCAAGAAGGACGCTGAAAGCCCCGCGCTCGTAACTGAAGAAGTTGGGACCGCTTTGGGCGAAGGCGAGGACGACTGCGGTCAGGACACCCTTGTTGACGAGGTGCCGGCCGCGTCGCCGCCGCCAACGCTCATTAGCCCCTCACCTTCCTGCCAAACCCCCGCAACATTGACAGCGCCAAAGCTAAATCTTATGCAGCGTAAACGTAAGGAACCTGGCTCGCGAACGCACTCTTTTACCCAGGGTCCCCGCTCATCCTCATCCTTTAGCTCCGCCGTATCAGCAGTGCTAGGGCTCGTGGGGACGGCCATTGCTGGCAGGGCAGCGGCCGCCGCCACGGCCGAGGGGCTGAGCGGTGGAGGCGACAGCATGTCGTACAGCAATGCCGAGGGGGAGAACGAAGCTCGAGAACCGCTTCCTGGCACCGTTGCCAGCGATGGAAATAATAAAAGCCGGGACGGGCACCTCTATACAGGGTGGGATCAAACGAGCGGCGAATCATGGCGGGTAAGGAAATGCGCAGCTTTGAATCTCGTAGTCTTCGGCATGCTCATGGACTTGAATGACTAGGTGAATGCGAAGCGGACATGGATACGTGCCTGTTGACTTACTGACACATGGGTCACCATCTGCCTGCCGCTGACAACGCAGAGCCGCATGAGTACCAAGACGTTAGCGGCCAGCATCCTAGCTACCATCCGCATCATCCGCGGAGGAAGCGGAGCCAACAACGCAAGCGGCGCGGAAGAGGAGCAGTCGCCTAATGACACCTTTCAATTCGGCAACGTTACCAGGGCAAATTCCAATGTGACCTCCTTGGACGGTCACTTCGCCACTCTGCAATCCAACCAATCGGGATTTCCTTCTTCTCCAAGAACAAAACCACCTTCCTTGGCGTCGACCCCGATCTTCCAAGGCCTTCGTGTGCGCATGGGCATGTGGACCGGTGTCCCCTCCGCTGCTGATGTCACCACCAACGCTGCCAGCGGCCGAACCCAGTACTCCGGACAAGCCATCTGTCGTGCGAAGCTGGTAGCCGACACCGCACATGGCGGCATGGTGGTCTTGTCGGAAAGCTCGCGTCAGGGTCTTACAGCAGACGTCGTACGTGCCTCCAAGCACTATATCGTGTACGGCGGCCTTCATGCGCTGCCTAGCAAGGGCAGCGGTGAAGATGCAGCCCTGCAGCTGCACTTGTACACGTGCTACAGTGCAGGTCTGCTGCCCAGGGCTGTGGTAATGCGGCCCTTGAGGACGGAGGGAGTGCTGCGAGAGGGGGCCCTGGCGGCTCCTGTGGGGCATGGAACGGTAGTCCAGGTGAGTCTACATGCTTTCAGTTCCTGGCGCGCAGTACGGCTGCAAATTGGAAGCGCCGAAGCATCCGACGCATTGTTACGGTACAGTGATACCAGTGAGGGCCCCGCTACACGTTAGTCGGTCGGTTCGTGTACACAGCTGCTACGGAGCTCTGATGACCTGGCAACATGGGGGTCTTGCTGACTGTGGCGTGCGTCCTCTATGCATGAAGACTTAATGCTGCCCCGCCCAACTCCTGACGATCCTGCCTCAGATGCGCGTCGCTGGGCTGGAAGCGTTGCTGTCCTGGGACGTCTCTCTTGTCGCTCAGGCCCTGGATACCCTACACGCCGCCGCCCTTGACCTCCTAAGGAACCCCCACGCCGCTCTAGCAACGGCAACAGCGGCCGAAGCTAACGAGACAGCTGACTGCGGCGCAGCAGGCGCCTGCATCCGTGGCGCCCACGTCATCATCGGTGGCGTGTCGCTGCTTCCTGCCTCTACCAGCGCCACTGGGTTGACGTCAGCACCACCAGCAACATCTGCCTCGACAGTTCCCGCGTCACTGCAGCAGCAGCCTGGGCTCATGATGGTGGTGTTCAAGGATACGCAAGCTGCTGTTGCATGGGCTGCAGCGGTTCGACAGCGGTCTAGGTGGTTGGAGTGGTCTGAGGAGCTGCTGGGCCATGAGCTGTGTGAAGAGGTGGGTCTGGCTACGGCGGGCGGTTAAATCAGCACAACTACAGTATGCTATAAGCCGTACGCTGCAGTACCAGCTCAAGCAGGCAGTTGACCTGCGCCACGCTGCACAGCGCACACACGTGCAGTTGCGCCCTACCAGCTTTCCTGAGACAAAGAGATCCGCTCTGAGTGCTTGACACTTAGCCGCTCCTTGCCCTCGGCGTCCCCTTTCAGGTCTGGATTTCGAGTCCCGGCTGCTTGCCCCTGGGGCCCGCCGCCAACGCTTCGTACTCTGCTGCGACGGTGACCTCCGACAGGGTCACCGGCGGAGCCGCCAAGTCCTCTCTTTTGTACCGTACATCTAAGGCATCACAGGCCCCTATCGCCACCCTTTCCACCTCCACCACTTCATCACACACGGCAGCCGCAAACACGGCCGTTGTTTCCACAAGCAGCAGGCCCCTTTCCCGCCTTCAACAACTGTTGCCCGGAGGCGGCCCCATTGGGAACGGTAGCCATAACCGCTCTCTGGGCACTGTAGCTGCTGTTCCGCATCCCAGCAGGTACAAGGCCCCCGCCAATGCTGCAGCAGCCAACCTATCGTCACTCCGCTTGTCGCAGTCCAGCTTTGGACCGCAAAGAGCTCCCAGCGTATTGCCGATACCTGGTGACGAAATTACCGTTGACAGCGCCAGAGCCCCTAGCAGCGTTGCTAGTGGCGGCAGTGGCAGTGGGCGGTTCACAAGGGATTCGCACCCCCTGAAGACGGAATCAGCATCTTCCACGCCACACGCGGGGCAGCGGACGGGAACTGCGGTCGTTGCCGCAACTGCGCAGACGATGAAGATTACCCCAGCGGGCACCTCAGCGGCAGTGGCACAACAGGGACTCCCGAGCAGCTCCTCCGACGGTACCCCTTCCGTGACACAGCTTGCAGCCAAGATTCCTACCACCAGCGCAATGGCTGGCACGGCTGAACCAACCGGGCGGCCAGCAGCAGCAGCGGCGGCGACGGCAGCAGCGGTCGCAAGCAGCACGTCCTCATTGGCGCAAGTTCGCGGACTGTCTTCAGGCAGCACGGAGGTCTGTCCGGTGTTCGACATTGTACTTGCCCCGAGTACGACAGCAAACCCGTCAGACACCAAATCAAGGGCTGTAACCGCGCCGAATATGTCATTGGATCTCACGCCAGCTGCAGCTGAGGACGCGGCTATGTCGCTACCACCTTTGGCCGCTGCTGCTGCGCATACTGCTGTACCGGACAGTGCTGGCTCAGACGGTTACTCTCTGGGAGCGGGCGGGGGTGGCCTTCCAGCCAGTCTTCAACTTGTGCACCGGGGCCTGCGACTGCGTCTTGCGGTCGCATGCGGGGCGCTAAAGGGAAGTCTGGCTCCTGGCGACGTGAACGGGCAGGTGTCGTACAAGGGCAAGGCGGTGGTGCAGGCGGGGAAGCTGCTGGGCAAGGCGCGAGTGGGTCAGGTGAGAGGCTGGGAGCCGTCGGCGTTGACGGGCAAGTGCTCCGCTAGTTTTGCAGCACGCGCCAAGTTCATCGTCCTATCCTTGTGGCCCCGATGCGACAATGGAAAGGCGACTTTGTTTTCATAGCATCCGTGATCGCCTGCTGCCTGCCTGGCTGGTATGGTACCTTTGCTATCAAGCTGTGAAGCTCAGTAGTGAGCAAACACCCTCCTAACCCGTGCGCTTTGCCTTTGCTTACTGCCTTCCCCAGGTCTGTGTAACAGCCGATCTAGCCCGCAGCCTGCCTGCCGCCCTTGCTGAGGAAGTAACCATCGTTCAGAAGCTGTGAAGTGGGCCAGAGGTGGTGCTGGAGGATGAGATGAATGGGAGGGTGCTGGAAGCCATTGCACTCATGAACAAGCAGGAGGTGTAAGTGTAATCGCTCGGAGCACGAACGGATGGAGGGACTTTTGGCAATGAGAACGGCAGTAGAAGGTATGCGCACCGGTTGTAAACACGGTTATGTTGAAGTTTTTTAGTCATGCAAGGGCGTTAACATGTCAAGAGTGCGCGCAGCATGCACTGTTTTGCCTTCTCATGCAAGCTCTCTTATGCGAGATTCCTCATGTAAGCCCTTGAGTAATCCAAGTACGGCAAGTTGCTAACAACACTTTCAGTGGCATATTGCCCTTGATAGTGGCGTGGCGTGTGTAATGGCTTGGCTTCGTCTTGCAAGATATGTATTAGGCAAATGTATGTCATTGTGGGCAGCTGTGATAGTGTAGGTGACCCATGGTTCATCCCTACCTCAACTTGGTAACTGCGCGCTCATGCGCTCATGCGCACCTAGCACTGTGCTTAAATAGGGCTGGTTGTATACCATACGTCGCTATGCTAGGGGTGTGCTTGCTTTCTGCTGGAACGTGCTATACTTTTGGTGAAAGCGTTGTCTATGTCCGGCTCACCTCTTTGCCGGGGCCTGTGTATTGACGTACCCCTGTATTGAGGGGTGGGTGTGTATTGACTGCTGGATAACAATGCGTGTGCATGGGTATTCCTAACCATGGCGGTAGGCATGTCGACTTGCCGATGAGGCACTTCCATCTGAGCACCGGTGTATTTGTCTCATTCCTGCGCTACTAGTTTTGTCAGCTTCAAGGTCGTGTTGGAAGTGTGCGCAAGAGCACGCTGCTGTCCGTAGATTCATAGGTACGTCCGTTCCATGAGGGCAGCAGGGATATGGGGCACTGCCGACCGCCCGCTGTGCGCCTGCTGTTGCGTAGGCAACCTTTGCCACCTGCCGGTCCCGTCTATGGCCTTGTAGCAAGCCTGCAGCGCTGTGTAAAGGCCATATGTTGTTAGAGGCCTCAACCCCCGAGAACGGTTACGTAACCCGAACACGTCTTCAGGAAACTGCTTTTATTGCTTGGAATCCGCTGGCCCGCTGCCCCTGGAGGTCCGGCGCGATCTAGGACTGCCTTGCGTACGGCACATGCAGAAGTCAGCAGGGAGGTAACCAACACGCAAGTCAGATGGGGCGTTCCCGCTCCCATTTTGGTTTCCCTGGAGCCACGCGCCAAACCGTCGGCCTTCCAGCACCGCTTTAGGACTTGTAAAACGGTAGTCCCTTTAAACAAGCATAAAGGAACACGAATCCGTCCTTACGTCCAACGCGTCTGGCTGACCGTTGGCGCATGTTGTAAACTGCACCCGTATGACGCGAAATCAGGAAGCTTTGACGTTATACTTCTCGTTCTATATACAACCTACAGTCACGGGTCTTACGAACACCACAACCTGTTAACGCCCTCTCGCATGAGCTTCACCAGCCCTAGGACCTAAGGATATCGCCCACCATTCAACGCTAGCAATACCCATACACCACCAGGTTAGAATAGGAATCATTAGGTCGTGCGTCATTGCACTGGTGTGCCGCTCTAGGGCAAGAAGGAGAATGACGAAAACATACTTAGCTCAATGTCATGCTTGGTGGTTGCTGATAGACTACCGGAAGCCTACCTACAAGTAAGGCCCCCCTTCGGCGGGAGCGACCCGTAGCTCGAGTGAGGGAGGTGTGAAGGGGGCTGTTGAGTACGTTGACGGGTGCAGGTGGTGTAGTCATTTGCATGCACCCTCGGTCGGTATGCTCCAATCGAGAGGCTCTGTTCGTTACAAACTGGATGCCTGTCTCGCGGCGTAAGTTCTTACCGGTGCAGGATGCCCTTCCCCGCGCTGTACCTACCTGTCTCCCCATGCCCTGCCCATGCGACTGTCCTTACCCGCGCGGCGCGTGCTTGTGTCCCCTGCCCTTCCCCGTGTGCTTCCCGTGCCGCGAATATGCGGGCCTCATGCGGCCCGCCGTGGGCCGCGGTGCCCTTCCAGTGCCTGCCCCAAAATGCCCTCGGCTGTCCTTGCCCGCGAGCCCCTGGCCCTTACCTCCAATGCCTTCACACCTGCATGCACATGTGTCAGATGCATGCGTACATCACCGGGCTTTGGGCGGGACTTGTGGGCCCCGGTGGTTCAGCAGCGCGAGTATGCTTGCACATGCAAGCGCCGGTAGTTGGACAGTGCGTGGAAGGATGCCTCCCTCTGCCCTAACCCGTGCGGCGCCCCTGCAGCTCACCTGCGTCGCCCCGTGCTTTGCTTGCCTTCCAATGCCCTTCCCCGTGCGTCTGCCCTTCCTCGTGCGGCCTTGCCTCTCCCCGTCATTGCCCGTTCCTCGAATTAACTGAACGGATGAGCGGCCGCTACAATGGTGGTTCAATGGCGGCTGCCTACCCCTGTCCCTCCATGCCAGGCGTCTGCCTGCCCTTGCCCTTCCCCTGCCATGCATCGACTGCCCCCCTTTGCCATCTTCTCTGTGCGGCCGCCCTTCCCCTGGCAGCACCTTCCTCTCACTGCTCTTCCCCGTGTGGCGCCGCGAGTGCGGCCTCCTTACCCTATCTTCTTAAGTTTCTGCGTCCAAGTCCCCACACTCCTCATGCACATGCGCTAGTTTATGAGCACGGCGGGGCGCTGGTCTCATGGCTTCGGGTAGTTGTCTTGCACAGAGGGTGTCTGCGTGCGCGCATTGGGGTTGGTACATGGGATGCATGCGTTCACCAGCGTGGTAGTTGGGCATGGTTATTGCGCGTACAAGCATTGGCGCCGGTACTTGGGCATTGCGGGTATGCATGCCTGTATCACTTGGGCCGGGTAGGCATGCATCCAGGTGTCGGCGTTCATGCATGGTTGGGCACAGGTGGTTGGGAAGGGCAGTGATGTTCGCGCTCATGGGAGCTGGTTCGTGGCAGGACGAGAGGATGTCTGCACGCTTGAGCACAGACAGCTGGAAGGGAAGGGTATGCATTCGCATGCATGTGGGTGCCGGTAACTGGCACGGCATGTATGGCCATCACTCGGCTTTGCAGCATCATAGGTGTTTGTAGCCATGAATTATCGCAGGTTTTTTTTGCGACTGCACTGGTTGGGGTGTCAGCGATTGCACATGTGGCGTCTGCAGCAGCACAGCTTCTGGCAGACAGCGACGTGGAGATTATTGAGTAGTGGGACGGGGAGGGTACGAACGGGGTAGAGGGCCAGGCTAGGAGGGTAAGAGATATAAGAAGAATACTGAGGTTGTACGGGAGGGGTTGTACGAAGTCAAGGTGTATGCCTTGCTAAGCGCTTTTGTTGTGTTGGACTCCTGTCTTCCTCCCTGTATACATAGCGTACTTCTGGCTAGTGCTCTGTACCGGCTTTGGGGCCGGTGTGTTGTTTGTTTGCGCCGCTTCCCGCAATGTAAGGCTGATGACTTGTGTCCAACACATTCATAGCGTTTGTCCACCTCATGATACGCCCCATTAACAGCAGCATTACTATGTGTTCGTATGCAGCGATATCAGTAACAACTGTGCACTAACGTCGTCGGAGGCTACGCATGCAGCGCGAGGTGTTTGCGGACCTGGTTGCCAAACGTTGTTCATCCAGCAATAATAGTCTTCAGAAGCTTTAAATGGTAGTGGTTCTCCTCTACGAGGGTTGTGACTTTTTTCGTAGGAAAGTCCTAAGGTGTTAACGGTCAGCCAGACGCGTTGGACGTAAGGACGGATTCGTGTTCCTTTAGGCTTGTTTAAAGGGACTACCGTTTTACAAGTCCTAAAGCGGTGCTAAAAGGCCGGCGGTTTGGCGCGTGGCTCCAGGGAAACCAAAATGGGAGCGGGAACGCCCCATCTGACTTGCAACCAACACAAATACGGAATGCGGTGTCCTTCAATAGTTGTATGACGAGATCACTTAGCACCGTTTGGCCTGTTTGGACAGATACGGTTGTCTGGCAGCACAGCTGGAAAACCCCTAGGGCCTAAGGACGACTGGAATGTTTTTTCTTGTTGGATGATTGCTTTCCATGGTAACCTTACCAACATCGACGACAGTCAGACCGAGTCGGAGCTAGTTGTAATCGCTCTCGTGTTGTGTGCTCTCCAACGCTTACAGAATACTTCAGCCAAGTAGGGAGCTAATAATGGATATTATATTCACCGGGCATCTTGAGGTGGATTTGGCAGCGCTTGGTGCTCCCCAAGCCGAAATCTACGCTGCTGATGTGGTTATGTCGTTTGCAGTGGGAGGTGCACCACATAAGCGGGCTTGTAGACAGGAAATTTTCAGATAACTTTAAAGTTGGAATATATTCGTGGTACGTATCGGCGACGTAGGTTGCGCAGGAGGACACCATTCAGAGGTAGCATTCGTCCTCATTTTTGCAGGCGGCTAATATGCTTTCCCCGTGGGAACATGAAACCCTTCAACCATGTGTCGCTCTTCCTTGAGTACCCGGAAACAGCAAACACGCCAGCTGAGCTCGCCCCTGTGGCGGAGTTCCGGTTTATTGTAAGGAACCACAAGGACCCTAGCAAAAATGTCGTCAAAGGTGGGAAGCTGCTAGAAGTGGCTGCCGCACCACACGCATAATACAGTAGTTAATGGTGGCAGCTGCCTTTGCACTAGCCGTACTTGGTCCTGGACGTGCAGAGCACCCCTGTGCCCTGTCTATTGCTCCTCTTATGCGTACTGGGTCGCAGGACCGCATCCTTCATTTTGTGCAAGAGAGACTCCTAAGAGCCCATTACCCCACCCTTGCTCCAGAATGCAGGCACACCTTCACCAGCGAGCAGGTGGACTGGGGCTTCAGCCAAGTTCTGCCCCTGCAGGACCTGACAGCTGCCAGCGGGTTCTTGCGGGAGGATGGCACCCTTACCGTGCGTGTTGAGGTCACCGTCGAGCCAGCGGGGCTGAAGGTCGGTGCCTAACTCATAGTGATGTGACGGCTGTTATGTATTGTCCGGAGGCCATGCATGTAGTCGGACATTGGGAGTCACCAAGATCGCATGGTGCAGCTCTGCTAACCGCTACGCTTGTTACTGTGCATTTGCAGAAGCTGGACCTCTACACCCTGAAGGCAATGGCTAAATGGCGGGACAGCGTGAAAGCCGGCCAACCTGCTGCCAACACCGCACCTGCTGCCATGCCTAATCTGCTGAGGTACCTTTCCCCGCCGCCCCCAGGAGCCGTTAGCACCACGGATATGGGTGGTGACGGCGCTGCTGGCAGCAGCAGCAGCAACAACAGCTCTGCAGTAAGTAACAGCGTGGGGGGCATGCTCGCCATCCGCATTGCCGACAAGACCTTCTACGCCCATCGGGCCCTGCTGGAAGACAGCTCCGAATACTTCCGGCTGCAAAGCAACTTCAATGGCAGCGACACCGGCAGCACTGCTGCAGCAGAGGTTTCCCTACCAGACGCCGATCCCGACGCCTTCGCCCGGCTGCTCGTCTACATGTACCAGGGCGTGCTGGACATCCCTGCCAGCCTCCTGCGCACGACCACCGAGCTGGCGGGGCGGCTGCTGATGAGCGACGTCTGCAAGGAGCTGCAGCGGCGGCTGCTGGCCGCATGCACGCCGCAGAGCATCGTCGGGGACCTGTTGTGGGCGGACCGCTACCAGTTGCATGAGCTGCTGTCGGGGCTCAAGTCGTACTTTGTGCAGAACTACAAGCGGATTGCGGCTGAGGCGCGGGTGGATGAGTTGATCCTGGGCAACCCCGTTCTGACGGCGGAGCTGATGCGCATGCTTGGCCAGCAGATGGCGTGAGCAAGCGGCCGAGACGGTCCGGCGGGGCGCAGCAGGCGGCTTGCACGTGGCTGCATCCACGTCGTTTGCAGGGTGTCAGCAGAGGCAGGCCGTGGGGTGGGTGTCTACGGAGAGTGATGACCATGGTGGTGGGGTGTGTGCTCAGGCGGTCGCTGATTACGGTAGGGCAACAACCCGTTCCTACCAGACATAACGCTGCTGGCACGGACGTACGTAAAAGAGGGTCGGCGAATTCCCAAGGTTGTATGATTAAGAGGGAGGTTGTCGGGTATACATAGCTGTGCAGTAAACGTGGTGGTGGTTACCGAAGTAGGAGTAGCTGGTGCTCGAGTCCAAAACACTTGTTGGGTACTGCTCATGACATTTGCTGGCTAAGATGCAAAATTCTTAATAACATCTATGCCCATACTAAATACTGAATCCACACCAGATGTGTGTTTTTGGTCCAAAGAAGAAACCGCTGTCTGTCTAGGCATTGCACGTACAGGATTCGGTAGCATCATGCCCTGAAGTTGGGTTACAACTATCGTGGGTTATCGCGTCATGGGTTGCCTTGGGTTTGTGCTGCGCTGGGTGCAGTTGGGCCGCTAGGCCTTCTAGGCATGCTTACACCGTACAGCGGTCCGCCTTGTGCCCATTAATTGACTTACCAACGGTTCTTGTGCTTCAGCGGTATGTCTTGTGCCTTGGTATCGATGTATCAACGAATTTGAATAGCATGCATGAGCTGTCGTTGCATGTTTATTGTTGTCGCTGCGTGCTAGAAGAGGTCTGGTCCCATGGGCCGTGTTGTTGAAACATACATGTGTGCATTGCATGCAAGCTAAAGACCTTCCCATTGATGTACGCTTTAGTATCATACTGGTGTCAATGGATGTCTCCGCCAGTTGGATTTTTGGCGGCCCTTTTTCTTAAACTAAATGGATATCATCCCTTGTGTAACGAGGCTCCGGTCCTAACAGTTTCTGGTCACGATTAGGTTATGCAGGGGCGCATTCCTTCCCGCGTTGCTTATCGTTTCTGGCTCTCCCTTCTATGCACGCACGCCCTGGACAGATTGCTTCACCCACATTGCTTGCAGAGTGTGGCAACCCTGCTCTACGTACGGCGCATACAACGCCAGCTTAAGATAGCAGGAGCAGGCAGGAGGGTCTATTATTCGCACATTGCCATACAACTGCGACGCTACAAGCGATGCTCCCCGACGTGCTCGGGACAGCCAACGAGCAGGCCCAGGAACCATGGGTCGCTGGAAGCCTTGCCTAAAAGCTCAGCACCACAAACAACGGTAGGTTGCTAACGGAGGCTTGGAATTGACGGTCATTGTAAATTGTTTTAACAGTGAGCACTGGATAGAGGCAATACACATACATGGTAAGAATCCAAGGGTTGGTCTCTGACAGGCCAGGAGTGCGCAAGCGTACGGGCTCAGGGATACAGGTAACATATATGCGTCCGCGCTCTTTTACCTATGTTGGGCTGCATAAAATTCGGGGAGCCAGGCTGGAAAGAGTAGCCGAAGCAGCGAAGGACGGCTAGCCTCTGCTGGCCAAACTCGGTCAAAGCCTAAGCCCATCCAGCCAATTTTGACCCCAAAGAACACACATGGTCTTATGGTGCATCTGGCCCCTGTTACCTATCGCGTATTGTAGGTTCACAAATCGCCGTACACACGTACAGCACGCGGTGTGAGATAGCAGCTCGCAAGCGTTCGGTAGACAGGTAGCCTTACACTTAATTTTGTTCTGCTAGGTAGAGCGAACGCCATGAGGCGTGCAGCTCGTCTACTGCGGGGCGTTAGCCAGGCTGCTCGCAGCCGGTCTGGTGAGGTGCAGGAGGCGGTTAAGCTATTCGACATTAATGGCTCTCGCCTGCTTAGCACCCGGACGCAAAACATCCTCGGTATGTGTTATGATGTGACGTGCTTGCTCGATCAATTGCTGGCCCGCGTAATGCGCCTTTCGACTAGAGAAGTGCATATAATTATGCCGTTGTATATGTTTATTATAGGTGCTTTGAGCCATGTCAGCTCGACACTGCCCAGCAGCTTTGCGGCGAGTGGTGCACGGTTCATCGCGGTTGACGCGCTTTTGCCTAGCGATGAGTAAGTGACATGCTCTGTGAGGGGATGAATTATGGTTGTTCCTAAAATGGTTTTAGCTAAAAAGATCACAGCAGTGACAGTAACATCATCCCGACGCCTTTGACTCCGTATGGGTATTGCGACTTTGCTTCACCCCTATCTGCGCTTTGCTTCACCCCTATCTGCGCTCCCACCAAATGCAGCTTCAAGCCACGCCACAACAGTGGCAGCCCCGCGGAAATCGACGCGATGGTCCAGACCACCGGTTTCGCATCCCTAGATGCACTCATTGACGCCACGGTGCCCAAGGCCATCGTCCGCAAGGATGGCATGGACCTTGGCAAGTACCACAAGGGGATGACGGAGAGCCAGTTTCTTGCATACTTCAAGTAAGCAAGCTGTTAAAATGGGGTGGTTGGTCGAATGGGGTGGGGTGCTCCCCTCCCTCTCCCTCGTTCCCCACCTTCCCCCCCTCGTCTCCCCCTCCACCCCCCCCAGGGACATGGCCTCCAAGAACCAGGTCTACAAGAGCTTCCTGGGCCAGGGCTACTACGGCACCCACGTGCCGCCCGTCATCCTGCGCAACGTGCTGGAGAACCCCGGCTGGTACACGCAGTACACGCCCTACCAGGCGGAGATCGCGCAGGGCAGGTGGGAGGCGGAAACGGGCTGAGGAGGGGACCATGGGGAGGCCTTAGGGGGGCGGAGGAGGGAGGGAGGGCCTATGGAAGGTCTATGGAGGGAAGGGGGACGGGATTGCAGAGGGGGAAGGCGGTGGGACACCACCAGCAGTACGCGCCCTACTAGGCGCAGAATGAGATGTACTTGGGTAGCAGGGCGGCGTAAGGCAGTCTGGGCGATTGAACGGACGCACACGCAAACGGGGGCAGGTGCAGCAGCGGCATTGGCTGGGGACCCGTTTGCTTTGTCCTCTTGGAAAGCGGTCTGTCGACTTGGCGACGCAGCACACATGGCATGCTATGGCATGCTGATGAACGCTGGCTGGCATGGCATGCTCGATACCGCTGCGGGGCCGGCATGCCTCGGTGGACACCCTCCCTCCGTCCCGCCCGGGCAGATCAGCTGACCCTCACCGGCACCCCTCCACTCCCCCTCCCCCCCCCCCCTCCCCCTGCAGGCTGGAGTCGCTGCTGAGCTTCCAGACGCTGGTGTGCGAGCTGACCGGCATGTCCATCAGCAACGCCTCGCTGCTGGATGAGGCCACCGCGGCGGCGGAGGCCATGACCATGTGCTCCGCGCTGGCTCGCGGCAAGAAGCCCAAGTTCCTCATCTCGGTGGGTGGCGGCTGAGGCGGGAGGGGGGAAGGGCGAGGCTGGGGGGTGCGAGGCTAGGGGGTGCGGAAGCTAGCAAGTGTGACAACCGTTTCCTGGAGCAGCGGGCAGCATGCCCTACCACCTTCTCGCCTTCCTCCTTCCTTTCTCGAGTACCGGTAACCTCATGAACGCTACCCTCCCGCTACCATCCCCACCCCGCCCGCCCCCCCCCCCCTCCCGCAGAGCAAGTGCCACCCTCAGACCATCGCGGTGTGCGAGTCGCGCGCCGACGGGTTGGGTCTGCAGGCGGTGGTGGTGGACGAGGACAAGTTCGAGTACGGCAAGGACGTGTGCGGAGTGCTGGTGCAGTACCCCGCCACGGACGGCACGGTGGCGGACTACAAGGTGGGGCTGGGCTGGGGTGGGTGGGTAGGGGCGCGGGCGGGTGGGGTTGGGGGGAAGTGTGGGCGGGAGGAAAAGGTGCGATTAGGGGATACTGTGAAGAGCATAGCGAAGTGCCGGGGATGGGGAGGTGCGCTGGGTAGGAAAGGCAGGAGGGAGGAGGAGAGGAGGCGCCTTGGTGCTGACTGGGCTGGCTGGCGCATACCGGTAGTAGCCTGCAGCCTAATTGCGCACTGCTCCTGGCTCCAAGGAAAGGTTCGGTGCTCCGTTTCTTACCCTGGAGAATGCGCGCAACCGTGCGTACAAGACGTTTATCTTGTATCAAATGTATTTTCCCTTGCCTCCCACCTACAGCATCCCCAGTACCCTGCACATCAGCTTCACCCCCCCTCCTGCCGGCCCCTCCTCCTGCCCTGCCCCCCCAGGCCCTGGTGTCCGCTGCCCGCGCCGCCGGCGTCAAGGTGTGCGTCTCCACCGACCTGCTGGCGCTCACGCTGCTGGCGCCGCCCGGCGAGTGGGGCGCCGACATCGTGGTGGGGTCCGCGCAGCGCTTCGGAGTGCCCATGGGGTACGGCGGGCCGCACGCCGCCTTCCTGGCGTGCCATGATGACTACAAGCGGCTGATGCCGGGGCGCATCATCGGCGTGTCGGTGGACGCGCAGGTGGGTGGGTGGATGGAGGCAGGGGTGGCGGAGAGGGAGCGTTGGGAGCGGTGGATCACAGGCAGCAGGCAAACAGAGGCCGTGTGTTGTGTGTTGCTGGAGGGCTTTGAAGCCCTGGAGTTGTTTTCCCGACTGACCTCCTCTTGAGTCCGTGTGTTGGTGCTCACTTTTGTGTCATGCTGCCTCCTGCTGCCTCCTGCCTCCTCTGCAGGGCAAGCCGGCGCTGCGCATGGCCATGCAGACCCGCGAGCAGCACATTCGCCGCGACAAGGCCACCTCCAACATCTGCACCGCGCAGGTAAGGCGGTGGGAGTTTGAGGGGAGGCAGGGGAGCAGATGCTGCTTTCTGCACCCTTCTTTCCTTCCTCCTGCTTGCAAGCACGGCGCCGTCCTCCCAGCTTCATCCCTACCTTCCCTCATCATGCCACACCGTCCTCCTCCTCCCCGTACCTCCCCTCCCTATTAACTACGGTCAGGGTCAGTGTTTTTGCGGCTCAGTTTATCAATCCCTTTTTTCCCCGTATTTAAAAGGGATATTTTCCCCCCTCTCCCTCTCCTCAGGCCCTGCTCGCCAACATGGCTGCCCTCTACGCCGTCTACCACGGCCCCGAGGGCCTCAAGACCATTGCTCGCCGCGTGAACGGACTGGCCAGCGTGTTGGCTGCGGGCGCTGCCAAGCTGGGACACAGCCTGCCCTCCGCGCCCTTCTTCGACACGGTGACGGTGACGGTGAAGGACGGCGATGCGGACAAGTACGTGCAGCTGGCACTGGGGGAGAAGGTAGGCGGGGGAAGGGCAGGGCAGGGAGAGGGAGGGTGGAGAGCAGGGGCATGGCGCACCCCGGCGTTGCCGGTTGTACACGACAGCGATTGGGGGGGACGACAGCGGATGCAGGAGTGATTTGAGTCCATGTGTGGCTGTTGCGCGTCGCTTGGACGCCGCGGCTAGTTTGGTTCCAGGGCTGTGACGATAACACGCATGCCTGAGTCGCAACTGTGAGGGCATTTGGAAATCTGGAAAACTAACTGCTGAGCCCTGTGAAAGCGGTGGACTGGCTTCACACTCCTCGCATCACGCCGTTTGCCCTCATTGCCGCCGCAACACGCAAGTGAGGAGCGCGCAGGGGGCGCTCGTGCCGCACAGCGCATTCACATTTGCGTGTGGAAGTCGTGTGTAGGGAGCAGGAACTGGGCTGAGGGCTATCTCGCGTCGATTACATGCCATGCAGCCCCCTGCTGCTGCTCTAGTAACGCATGGCATATCAAAACCTTTGCAATGGCTACCAACTGGGGCCCTAATGGCCGTTACCCGGGGACTATGACGAATACACGTTGCCAGACCACTCATGATGGCTTCATAAACTATAACTGCTGAGTCCTGAATCCGCATTAAGTAGCCTTACTCATGCACCACCCAGGGCCTTAACCCCATACTTCCAAGCACTTACCAGGCGCATGTTGCAGGGGCGGTGACGAATTCCAAAACTCGTAGAGGCATCCACTGATGTCCAATGCCGGTTCTAAACTATAACTGCTGAGCCCTTCGCCGTTGCACATGAACTCGCATTAACCCCTACCATCGCGGTACACACGCATTGCCAGTTGTCTTTACGCACGCATCGCATGCAAGCTGGGCCGTGACGAAACAGCTTACCTGTAGAGACATCAAAACGATGTCCGGTGCTGGTTACATAAACTATAACTGCTGAGCCTTGCTTGTGGATCTGCTCCCCATGTCGACCATGCTGTTGCAAATAAACACGTAAGGATAATGAACTTCCACGAGGGCTGGTTGTCCCTCGTGCGGTATGGGCCGTGACGAAACGCAGTAGCCGTAGCGGCATCACAACGATGCCCGATGCCGGGTATTAAACTATAACTGCTAAGCCCATAAGCCACGCTGTTCCTGAAACATCTCCTGCTTATGCCGAGTGAAGGCACGGGGGTGGCTGTGAATGCGGGTGTGTAGGTACCGGTGTGTAGATGCATGGGACTGTAGGAGTCGGTGCATGCAAGGCACAGGGACGCCTGGCACAGGGACGCCTGGTGGCTGCAGGTCTGGGCCATGACGAAACAAATAACCCGTATGGCGCACCCCCTCACGAGGGACGCCCGATGTCGGCTATAAACTATAACTGCTGAGCCCAACATGCACCGACCATGCCTTAGCCTAACTCCCAACTTATGATGGATACCCCTGTCACCCGTATTTCTGTTTCTTACTACCCGCATACCAGCCCTCCTCCACCCGCAACCACTATCCCCCACCCGTCCACACACCCTTCCCTCACCCCCAGATGAACATCCGCAAGCTGAGCCCCACCGCCGTCAGCATCGCCTTCGACGAGACCAGCAGCCTGGAGGACGTGGACGCGCTGCTGCGGGTGCTGGCGGGCGGCAGCCAGCCGGGCTTCACCGCCGCCTCGCTGGCGCCCGAGGTGGAGGGCGGCGTGGGGCCCTTTGCGCGCTCCTCCGCCTTCCTGCAGCAGCCCGTGTTCAACACCTACCACAACGAGCACGACATGCTGCGGTGAGGGGGGGGGGTGGAGAAAGGAGTTCGGGTGCACGTGACCCATGGGTCGGTTTGCTGTTTGATGTGGTTGTGGGCGATGTTGTAAGTTTGTTTCACACACTTGGTCCTTCTCCCTTGCTGTCTGTCAGTTCTTATACCTTTTCGCCTCGTCCCCGCGTGCACCCGCTCGCAGCTACCTGAAGCGGCTTGAGAACAAGGACCTGTCTCTGTGCCACTCCATGATCCCGCTGGGCTCCTGCACCATGAAGCTCAACGCCACCACCGAGATGGCGGCCGTCACCTGGCCCGAGCTCGCCAACCTGCACCCCTTCTGCCCGCAGGAGCAGGCGCAGGTGGGCGGGGAGGTGGTGGGGTCGCGGGGCTCTTTTGGTGAAGGAAAAGTAAATTTCGTTATAAATACCGGTATCAGGTTCTGACAGGTCCGGTGCTTCATCTTTGTATGTGACTCGGCTCGGCGGGCGCCTCACAACGCTTTCTGGGCCTACCTGGGCTAGTTGCAAGTGTGTGATCGTTTACCATGCTCCATGCCGCCCCTACATGCCCTTCCCTTCCCCCTGTTCCTCCTGTGCTTCACTTATCTCATTCTCCACCCCCTGTTCCTCTCCCTGTCCCTCCCTGTCCCTGTCCCTCCCCTCCCTGCTGCCCCCCCCCCCAGGGCTTCAACGAGATGTTCCGCGACCTGGCTGCGCAGCTCTGCTCCATCACCGGCTTCGACGCCATGTCGCTGCAGCCCAACAGCGGGGCCAGCGGCGAGTACGCGGGACTCATGGCCATCCGCGCATACCACATGTGAGTGCTGCTGATGTTACCGGTGCAGCAACTGTTGTCTGACCACGGAGCTGTCGAATATGAGCTGCAAAGCCCCCTAATCTGCACCCGTTGTGGTTCTGTCTTACAGTCCCTTTCATGGCTTTCAACTGGCGTGAATTCTCCTTCCTTTCAGTGTCTCCCTCTCCTCTCCCCGCTCTCACCTCCCCTCTCCCCTTCCCTCCTCTCCTCGCCGCGCAGCTCCCGAGGTGACGCGCACCGCAACATCTGCATCATCCCCGTCTCCGCGCACGGCACCAACCCCGCCTCCGCCGTCATGGCCGGCATGAAGATCGTCACCGTGTCCACGGACGCGGAGGGCAACGTCAACATTGCGGAGCTGAAGGCCAAGGCGGAGCAGCACAGCAGCAACCTGGCGGCGCTCATGATCACCTACCCCTCCACGCACGGCGTGTACGAGGAGGGGGTGGACGAGATCTGCCGCATCATCCACCAGCATGGAGGACAGGTGTACATGGACGGAGCCAACATGAACGCGCAGGTGGGTGGGGGTGTTGGGAAGGAGAAGAGGGTTGTTGGGGGGGGCGTGTGAAGAGGAATGAGTACTAGACGCCTTATACCTGGTGCTAACACCTCCATTTACTCCACCAGGTGGGCCTGACTGCCCCCGGCATCATCGGCGCCGACGTGTGCCACCTCAACCTGCACAAGACCTTCTGCATCCCGCACGGCGGCGGCGGACCCGGCATGGGCCCCATCGGCGTGAAGGCCCACCTGGCGCCCTTCCTGCCCTCGCACCCCGTCGTGCCCACCGGAGGACTGCCCACGCCGCCGCCTGCCGGCGAGGCCAAGCCCTTTGGCACCATGGCTGCTGCGCCGTACGGTTCGGCGCTCATCCTGCCCATCTCCTTTGCCTACATCAGCATGATGGGCTCGGAGGGCCTGACCATGGTAGGAGGAGACCCGTGGCTGGGTTTGCAGCATGCGATTCCGGTCGTGACAACAGCTGATGCAAGGTTCTGGGGAGGCATGGCGTTTCAGGCCCTTCACCGTCTCCAATTTGCGAGAGCCTCCTCTGCCGCACCAGCTGCCCTGCTCATGTTCCCCATGTCGCCCTAGCTATGGTTTACACTACCCCGTACCTCATCCCCTCACCTCCGCTCCCCGCCTCCCCACTCCCCTCCTACCACCCCAGGCCTCCAAGCTGGCCATCCTGAAGGCCAACTACATGGCCAAGCGCCTGTCGCAGCACTACCCCGTGCTGTTCACCGGACCCAACGGCACCTGCGCGCACGAGTTCATCCTGGACCTGCGGCCGCTCAAGTGAGGAGGCGGGGGGGCTGTGCATGGAGCTGGGGGCTGGCTTGGGCTGCTGTGGGGGCTTGGTTTGGGTTCTAGAGTTCCACATTGGTACTGGTGTCAGCAGGCAGTTACCGTCATATTGCAATTGTATGAGAACTGCCTGCAGGTGATTGAAGCACTTCGCAGCGCATTCCTGTCACCCCCAGTATGTTGTTGGAGCGGTACTAGATCGCTGCCATCGCCACTGACACCCTCCTCTCCCGTTCCCTCCCTTCCCTCTCCCTGTTCCCTTCCTCCTCACCCCAGAGAGACCTCCGGCATCGAGCCCGAGGACGTGGCCAAGCGCCTGATGGACTACGGCTTCCACGCGCCCACCATGTCCTGGCCCGTGCCCGGCACCCTCATGATCGAGCCCACCGAGTCCGAGTCCAAGGCGGAGCTGGACCGCTTCTGCGACGCCATGATCTTCATCCGGGAGGTGCGTGATACGGTGGTGCAGGGTGGTTGATGTTGTTCATGGTGGTGGTGATGATGATGGCGGTTTGGTACATAGGCCCCTAGGAGCCCCTGACATACGTGTGCGGGCCATACCTCATCGAGAGATCGTCGATTATCCTCCTTCCTCAAACCCTCCTTCTCCCTTCCCTCCTTCCCTCCTTCCCTCCTTCCGATCTGCAGGAGATCCGTGAGATCGAGGCGGGCAAGGCCGACCGCGCCAACAACCTGCTCAAGCACGCCCCGCACGCCGCCTCCGTGGTGCTCTCGGACGCCTGGGACCGCCCCTACAGCCGCGAGCGCGCCGCCTTCCCCGCGCCCTGGGTACGACAGGCCAAGTTCTGGCCCACCGTGAGCCGCGTGGATAACGTGTACGGCGACCGCAACCTGGTGGCACGGCTGCCCAAGTAGAGGGGAGGAAGGGGGTGAAGAGGGTTAGGAGGCGGTGCATGCAGTTGTTCAGGAGTCGGCTTATTTGATTGCATGGTGGGGCCAGTCCCGTGGTTAGGATGCGGCGGCTTGGGAGACAGTGCTCAGAGGTGCTGTGCAGGGCCTCTGTGGGTTTGCCGATCTTTCCCAGGGCGTGTGTGGCAGGTGACTTTTGGTGTGTTTTGGACGCCTCCTATCTGGCAGCGGTTTTCAAGTTTTGGAGCGTGATAACCTTTTTGTGAGTTTGGTCGCTGGTGTGGGTGTGAGACCCAGGTACTCTTGTGTCGTGTGATTATGCCTGAAACGCTGGTGTTGGTACTGGCGATTGGGTGTGTCCCCAGCTGTGTCTCCGTGGTCTTTCTGGGAGCTCGCTTATGGAATGAAAGGTGCTAGTACAAGGACTGCTGCTTACTTGGTACAATATGCTTATATGATACCTGCTGGGAGAAACAGATGTCGCAGCTTTTTGAACGAGGAGGTCTCTGAATGAATCAGGACGGACTTCGGGGCCTCTCCGCTGTGCATCTCCTGCTAATGCGGTACGAGGCTGTAGCTACTCAGCAGGCGTTTCCTAAAGAGGCAATAATCAGTGGCATAGAGTGTCTGTCCCTTGGCATTGGTTGGGTTTTGGTGAATGCGAATGGTGGCTGCTGTAACAGCAGCAGACGTGTGGAAATGACGCCATATGTAAAAGGAGGAAGGTAAGAAGCCTGCACGGTATAGCATTCAGCCGTTCCAACCCTGTTCAACGGCTGCACACTCACGACGAACCATGGGTCGGTACATGGTGTAAGAACATAACAGGCAAAGCTCACGTAACTCACATACTAGGCAAACGGTTTGTACCATACCGCATACAAGGCGCATCTTAATTCATGCACGACCAAGGCTTACCACGTTTGCCACCCCATGTGTACGACACACTCCCGAGCACTACAATATTTGAGTCAACATACCGTACTCGTGTTTAATCGTCTCTGTCCGCGCCAAAGGCGTGGGCTTTTTGACTACTATCCGCTCACCCCTCGCGTGAATCTCCCCATATTATGGGATGAATACCGGCAGGACTCGTCGGGTGCTGGCTACCCGAACCGACCGTAAGAAACGCGGCAGCAAGCTATCATCATTTCCCGACAGCCCTTCATTCACCTCCCATCGTTCTTGATCATCACCATAAAACCAACGAAACACAATGAGCCCTCCCTCGTCATCCACTCAAGTTTATATCCTATACTTTGACAGTGCTCCAGCACGCCATTTCCGACGCTTACGGTAAGTTCCAATTTGCACGGTTCACTACCCCTCACACACATGTTGGGTTCGCAAATTTGAGCGCACAGCGCCCTCCTCTCCAAGCACCCCGCCCGAGTGCTGCACTACAAGCCTGGCGTCAGTAGCGGCGCATTGACCAGCAACTGACAGGCCCTACCGCTTACAACCATCTCAACAACGACCCACGCTTGCAGGGGCAACATTCGCATGATTGGGCCTGCACCGCAACTCTCCGAGCTGACACAGACCTGCTCTCTGCCTTTCAGAGTCCACTCCGACGCCTAGTCTATCCCCCAGCCCTGCAAAACCTTCACACGTCCCTTCACACACCCTTTGTGTCTCTCAAGCCGCCGCCGGCTTCCGTCTCTTGCCGCCACTGCCTTCCGATGGCTTTGGAGAGGAAGAGGAGCCCTTTGCCGCCCTTGACGGCGAACCCGCCTTGGACCCGGCACCCCCCTTCGCAGCCCCGGCGGTAGTCCCTGGTGACGGCCCCGCCTCCTCCTCCTCCTCCTCCTTCACCTCCGCTTTCACCTTCACAGCCACCGCCGCTGCCGCCGTCGCCGCTGCTGCCGTTGCCGTCAAAGCTGTTGCTGCGGCCCCGGCTCCTCCAGCCGCCGCCGCAACCCCTCCAGCCACAGCTCCCGCAACCCCAGCAGCAGTAGCAGGCTTCGTCTTCTTCTGCATGAGCCCCCGCTGCTTGGCCCTTACCTCCGCCACCAGCCTGTCCACGTAGGCGCAGTAGGCCTTGATGTCGAACTTGCGCTTGCAGCCCGCGTAGTTCATGTAGCGGATCTTGCCAAAGATGGGCCGCTCAGCCCAGCCCTGCACAGGAGCGCACGAACGAGGACACTTGGGGGCTTAGAGAACCACTCTTGGACACATGGTCTTTTAAACACCCCGCTTGTTGTAATTTATGAAGTCGACGATTTTTTTGTCCAGTCCAGCAGGCTAAGGACCGTCACCCAACCGTGTTCCATGTCCTGTTCCACCCTTCCTAGGCAGGTACCCCAAGCTCCAAACGCCAACAGAAAAAACAAGCTCCCAGACAGGATTACCCCGCAACCCACCATGTCATGGATGCCCGCCATGCTCCACATCACCCCCACGTAGCCCGAGGGGTCCCGCCCATCCAGCTCGTATCGGTCGTTCAGGTAGATCGCAATCTGCAAACCAAACACCAGGCAGGCGGCAGTTAGGTACGCAGGCGGGCTACAGATACCGGTAATTGAAACCGCTGCTTTCTTTTGCAATATAAGAGGAAAATCTGCCGGGATTAACCTTTCCCCCATTCCCACATGCGTCCCGCATCTCACGCCCCCTATCGTGCCCGCCTGTGCAGCACCCCATGCGCCCAGCACGCCCTAGCTGCACTCCGCGACACACAACTCAGCCCGCCCCCTCCCTCATGCGCACCTCGATAGCCTCCTCCGGGCTAGCAGTCCACTCGAGTATCTTCTTGGCCCAGTACATGCGCATGAAGCCGTGCATCTTGCCCCGGTGCACCATCTCCAGCTGGCAGGCGTTCCACAGCTCGTCGTGCGTGCGACCCGCCTCCAGCTGCTCCCTGAGGAGGGTGGGCAGCAAACCAGGTGGGAAGGAAAGCAGCAGGGTGTTGAGGAAACTGGCCGCGAGTCGAAACGTACCGGTCCTGTGATTTGCCGGGAGAAGAAGGTCCTGGAGGGTGTGCGCCCCAGGGCAAGCATGGGGAGGTTTCACCCAATGCCATGGTTGGGGAGAAGACCTCAATCAGGGCAAAACGGACCGCCAGACACGCGTCGAGTTATGGTGGTCATTCAGAAACCATGTGTTAAAACATTCACCGTGGAAAGGCCGCGTCTTTCCTCACATTTTCCTCATTTGCCTGCGTGTGACTTTTTATGCGGGATATGTCCACCGCAAAACCACACCCACGTCACCCCCTCACCGGCGGTACAGGAACTCCCGCTTGTCCCCCCGGTGCTTGTTTAGGCTCTCCCGCGCCCACTCCGCCGCGCAGCTCAGGCGGTCGTAGTCGGGCGTGTAGTGGCAGAAGTTGTCCGACAGCTCGCGCCGTACAACCAGCTCCTCGAGGTAGGACTCCACAGCCGCCTTGTACCTGGGGGGAAGTGATGGTGGGGTGGCGCAAAGGATAATGAGTGACCCGTGGGTCGGCAGGGCTTGGTTTGTGGAATGGCAATGGCATGTGGGAAAGCCGTGTGCTGTCGTGGAAAGCGTGAGTAAATTTGCCTGAGTAATTCGTACGGACGGTGTGAGTAACAAGGCATCGCACCAGCAAACTTACTTTGCCCGGTGCTTGGCCGCCTCCAGCGCTGCCCGCTGCGGCGCCAGCTGCCCAAAGTGCAGGTAAGGCGACAAGCCGGACAGCGCCTTGGGCGTGGAGGGGTCGTTGCGTTTGGTGTCATACAGGCTGAGACGTGAGGGGCTGAGGAAGCCGGAGGGGCCGTTCAGGGCGGCGAGGGCGGCCTCCTCGCCTGGAGGGATTCGGACAGTGTTTCGGCAATGGATTTTCAGGACAGCAGGAAGGAAGACATCCTAAGGATAGCGAAGCGATACAAAGTAGCAAAGTAACAATAGTGTTACCCTTCAACGTTCAACCTTTTTCTCCCGCTCTGGACCCGTTTCTGCGCCCAACACGCAGCCCAAAGCAGTCTCACCGGGCTTGCACCAGTCCACCTCAGGCACCTCCGACCCACGGGTCAGCACCTCCTCCAGCAGCGCCTCCCAGTCCACCGGCTCCGGCCTGATCGGGTGGCTCCAGGTGGGCAGGGTGGGGACCTGCGGCAGGGGGATGGAGGCGGCCAGGTAAGGGGCCGGTGTCCTCCAAGTGGAAAGGGTGATGGAGGCGTCCAAGAAAGGGCCGGTTTCGAGGCCAACAACCATAACCGCGCCTTCATGAGCCAAGTAAGCGAACCCTCAGCGGACAGGATGCCAGGCATTCCTGGTATGCAATCACATGCACACCTCCATGTCTACAGATACACGAATTCTAGCTACTCCCGGCCCTTCCGTGCATTAAATATCCCAAGCACTCACTCCCAACCCTCAGACCCCACCTCCGGGAAATCCCTCAGGTACTCGGGCAGGTGCTTGTGGATCTTGGGTCGCAGTGTGCGCGCCCCCACCTCCCGCTTGTCACTCGCCACCCACACCGGGACCACGTTGTGCGCATCCACCTCGTGAACCGGCACCGACACAGCCGCGCATACCTGCGTGCGGGAGACGAACACAGCGACCCTGGGTCGGTTGGTGCGCGACAGCGGTGGTAATGACCATCGTATGGGACTGCGTGTGCACGGGATGTGTAACATACACACGAGCACACGCCATGACAGGAAGAGAGCCTCCTCCTCCTCCTCCCTACCTGCTCCTTCCACTGCCGCCCGAGTCTGAGGGGCGAGTAGTCGGTGACCAGCAGCCCGGCGCCTAGCCGAGACACCAGGGAGGGCAGCGTCTGGGCGGGATCACCCTGCGGGGTGCATCAAGGGAGGGTGTCCGGAAAGCACAAAGGCAGCTTAGGTGAGTCCAGGCTGGACAGCGCATTCGCCGAGAGATAAGCCCTAGTAGCCCCTAGTAACACCTCTCTCCAGTGTTGGTATGTTACACAGCCCCAGCCCACACAACAGCTGCCCCAACTCCCGACCCAACGCCCACCTTGAGCAGGAAGAAGGGGATGCCCCGCGCCTCCAGCCGCGGCTGCAGCTCCCGCAGCCCCCGCAGCATGAACCCAAACTGCCGCGCACCGGCGCCCAGGAAGGCCGGCACCTGCAGGAGGCGAGCATGCGGGCTGAAGGTGGGCGGGAATACCGATACCCAGCCCCTTCGAGACGTCGCCGAAGGAGGAACGAGCACTATTATACTTGCATCACCTCTGGCGGCGACACCCTTAGGTAACCGCCCTCTGTCGCTCACTTGCATGCGCGACATCTTTTTGCCCAGATTTGATTGGACCACAGAACTTTATAGGCTTGGTGACTAAACCACAACTACCTACCAAGTTAAACACGATCCCCTTTTGCCCCTTCCGTGATCCCTTTCACAACAGCCTACCAGGTTAAACGCCACGGCGACCTGTGGTGAGCCGCCTCCCTCGCCTCCGGCTGCCGCCGCTGCCTTCTGGGCTGCCTCAATCGCGTATAATAGGGCCCAGTTGTCGTTCATGCGCTGATCCCGGGACATCCTGTGGGGATAGAGAGGGAAACAGTTGTGGACAAGAGAGACTGCGACTGAGCTATTTGGAAAAGGCAAAGAAGGGGGCAGATGAGGGAAGGTTTTGGGTGGCGTCATGTAAATAGGGTGCATGCCGAAAGACGCGGACGGGGGCAGCAGGGTGGAAAGGGTTTCGAAGCCAAGTCACGAGTATACTTTAGGGCCAGCACGCTAAAGACGAGGACATGGAGTGCTCTTACAGACACCGTTCGCCCATAGCATTAGGATTGCAAACCTACCAGAGCACAACTGGCCCATTGCCGATGGTTCCCGCCTTCAGTACACGAATGCGCTTTGGGTTGACCAGTGTCCCAGCAGCGGCTGAAGAGGGAGCTGCTACAGCAGTAACAGTTGGCTTCTTGCTTAACGGGCCGACGTCGTCGAGAGAGGGCTCCGAGTCTGCCTTTCGCTTGCTTGACATGGCTGCAGCAGCGACTCCGCAGCGAATGAACAAAACACCGACGCACTTGCGCGGTGCGCAGAAAGGTGCGGGAGCGTGTAGAAAGCGCAGCGCCAGTGTGTAGGGATGGCTCTTTAGGAGTCGTTCGGATGTGTGGTTGTGCGCAACTCTGGCATTATACCTGGATGCACAAGTATAGACGTTGTAAGCTGTATACGCGCTTACAAGCAAAACAAAGAGCGACTCAGGCAATCAACCTAAGCTCGCTATAGCAAAACGGTTCTCGCGCGAACTGTACGGTGCTCGTCCATACCTAACGCCGCCTGGTATCGCCATCCTTCTCGCTTAATGTGAACGCTATCTAGCCTAACCGTCGGGGAATTTTGACTACATATCGGTGCGTAGGCTGCACTCGCAAGCCTTTAACTTTTCACTCGTGTTAGCTCCGTTTCCACAAAACTTTAATCATGCCTAAGAAGTCGAAGAAGTCGAAGTCAAAGCGCATGACGCTTAAGCAAAAGTATAAGATTATTCGCAAGGTTAAGGAGCATCATCGGAAAATCCGCAAGGAGGAGCGAAAGGCTGCCAAGAGCGGCAAGAAGAAGAAGGTCGTCAAGGATCCTGGCCTGCCATCCCAGTGGCCTTACAAGGAGGAGCTCGTCAAGGAGTTTGCTTTCCTGCGAGCGAAGGCCCTAGCGGATGAGAAGCGGAAGAAGGAGGAGCGGAAGTTGGCGCGCCAGGCAAGATACAGTGATGTTGCTTAGCGTTGACAGTGGCCTAAGGCCTTAACGGGGGGCGCGTTGGCGGCGGCGGCGGCGCATTGACGTTGCGCAACAACAGTCTATGCCGAGGAGCTTTGTTTTCTGCCGTGCGTGCATCTGGGCTGTGCTTTTAATGGCTATTGTCGATGCTATTTGCGTGGACCGGACCCAGGGGCCTGCTCGGGAAGTTCAGGGTTACACAACGGAGTCGACTTACCATTGCCGCCGTCTCAAGCTCCGCAGCTGACTTTCTTGGCGTTGTCTTCCCCTTCCTTCCCCCCTGAAACCCTCTTCCTTATCCTCAAACGCTCGTCCCTGCCCGTCCGCAGGCCCAGGATGCTGCTGCCATGGATGTGGAGGGTGGGGGCGACCCGGGCTCGCTTCTGGCTCTAGCCCGGCTCCAGGCGGCTGCAGCGGGCAAGCAGGCGGACTTTGAGTCACGCAAGCGCGCTCGCCTCACAGAGGAGTTCAACAGCGACCAAGGTGGGATTGGAGCGGGAGGAGCTGAGGAGGGGTTGTGGGGTAGGGGGTTTCCAAAAGCCGGAAGAGGGTGTTTTGTGAGGCGGAGGAGAGCGCGATGCCCATGTGGATTGGTCGCCGTGGGTGTTTAGGTGTTGCCGGGTGGCGGAGAGGGTTGGGGCATGCGGTACCGCTCCCCAGCCGTATGGGAGCGGTACGTCGGTGGGGGTCGGTACCGCAGCTCCCTTGACCACCTGGCTGCACCCGTATGCTGATGATGGGCGGGTGGGGAGCCGGAGGCGGGACATAGTAAGCCCGTTCCTAGAGCAAGGGAAATTTTGTTCTGGGAACGAACGGAACGAAGGAAAACGCAAGAGCAGGGCACGTAGGAGGAGTGAGGAGGGGGCATCCGGCCACGGTACGGACGCACACCTCCCTCCCATGGCTCTCACCCTTCTACATGCAGGGCTGCAGGCCCACGCCCACGCCCCAGCCTGTATATCGGTAGTTGCGGCTTCCACCCCCCTGCAATTGACTAGCGCCGCCTCGACCAACGCACCCCCACCCCCGAAGTCCTTTGGCTCCTAACGCGCCCCCGTCATGCAACTCACTCTCCCCCCTCCTTCCAACCCCCACCCCCACGCCCTCGCGCCCGCAGACAACAGCCGCAAGGCCTTTTACCGCGAGTTCCGGCGCGTGGTGGAGTCCTCTGACGTGATCATCCAGGTTCTGGACGCGCGCGACCCGCTGGCCTGCCGCTGCCCCGACGTGGAGCGCTACATCCGGCAGACCAACCCCAACAAGAAGATCATCCTGCTGCTCAACAAGATGGGTGGGTGCGGGGGGGGGGCTGCAGGTGGTGCGTTGGGCAGTGGCGTTGGGCTGATGGCAGTGGGTGGGTGCGGGGGTGCTAGTGTAGCTCTCGTAGGGATTGTATCTAACTCTTGTGCCCAGCACCTCGTTCCGCCGGCCCCCAGCACTTCCCGCACCCCTCTTCGATAGCGCCTTATCACTCGGTCAGTTAGTTGTTTCCTCTTTACCCCTCTCCGCACCCCTCTTCCCCCCCAGACCTTGTCCCCCGGGAGGTGGGCGAGCGGTGGCTCAAGTACTTCCGCGAGGAGCTGCCCACGGTGGCCTTCAAGTGCTCCACGCAGCAGCAGGACCGCGGACTGGGGCAGAAGAAGATGAACCTGGCGGGGGCGGCAGGCGGCAAGGGAGGCCTGGCAGGGGGGGCTGGAGGCAGCGGGGGAGCGGGAGCGGGAGCGGGGGCGTCGTTGGGCGCTTCGAGTGCGTGTTTGGGTGCTGACACGCTGTTGCAGCTGCTTAAGAACTACACGCGCAATGCGGGGATCAAGACGGCGATCACGGTGGGAGTGGTGGGGCTGCCCAATGTGGGCAAGAGTTCGCTGATCAACTCGCTCAAGCGCGCGAGGGTGGCGCAGGTGAGGGGCTGGGAGGAGGGAGGGAGGGAAGGGTGGGCTGGGCGGGTTAGAATGGACCAACGACACAGGTGAAATGGTTGCTGTGAGGAGGCATTGCCAGCAATCGCCAAAGCCCTTTTGTAAGGGCTGAGGCCGGATAGGGGTTGGGGCTGCGATTGATTGCTGCCCAGTCACCGTCGCTTCTTTCCTACCTCCTTGTCTTCTTCCTTTTGGCTTCTGTCCGCGAACCTTTTCCTCACCCTCTCTCCTCACCTCCCCGCTCCCCCCCCCCAGGTCGGCAACACCCCCGGTGTCACCAAGTCGGTTCAGGAGGTGGTGCTGGACAAGCACATCAAGCTGCTGGACAGCCCGGGTGTGGTGTTTGCGTCGGCGGAGAACGACGCGGCGGCGGCACTGCGGAACGCCATCAAGGTGGGTGCGGGGCGGGTGGCGGGGGCGGGGGGTGGGGGTGGGTCGATCAACGACAGGGGACAGCAAGGACAGCCACGCTTGCCATACCTACCTCTCGCATCTGTGATGTAACATCGGGCGTGTACAGTAAAGTTGTCACCCCTCGTCCTTCTCCTCCGGCTTCCTAACTTCCTCTCGAACCTGCTTCCCACCTCCCCTCCAGATTGAGAAGCTGTCGGACCCGCTGTCCCCTGTGGCTGAGATCCTGAAGCGGGTGCCGGCCAAGCAGCTCATGATGCTGTACAAGATTCAGGTGAGGAGGCTGGGCGCGGGTGGGCGGGAAAGAGAGGAGGAGGGCTGACGAGGGAGTGGGGGGGGCCCGTGTGATCAGGGCACGCGTAAGGACAGATGTCAGCGCCCCCGGTTGCAAAGCGGTAGGACCCGTTGGGCATGAACTGCCCACCAAGTCCTTCTCGCGACCCATCACCCCCCGTCGCCTTCCGTGCCGAACTCTCCGGCCCTTAACCTCTCCATGCCCCCCCCCTCCCCTCCATGCACCCCCTCCCCTCCCGCAGACCTTCTCCACCCCGGAGGAGTTCCTGCACCTCATCGCGCTGGCTCGCGGCAAGCTGCGCCGCGGCGGCACCCCCGACTCGCCCGCCGCCGCGCGCATCGTGCTGCAGGACTGGAACGACGGCCGCATCCCCTACTACACCTCCCCGCCCGAGCGACCCAAGACCGGGCTGGAGGAGGCGCAGGTGGGCGGCAGCAGCAGGGTTGCGGGGTGTTGCGGGGTGTATGCCTTATCTCATATTCATACTCGTCGTATGTTTGGCTATTTTGACCCTATTGTGTGCCTTTGGTCATCGGGCATGGATCCTTGTAGCGTTTCCTCTTCTTAGCCCTCTCACTCTCTCCTCCTCTCATCCCTCCCCCTCTTGCGTTGTTGCATTTCTTTATAATTCTCCCCCTCCCTCCCTGAATCCCCCAGGTGGTTGTCTCCTACTCTGCCGAGTTCAACGCGGACGAGGTGTTTGCCAACGAGCGCTCCGCCGTCATTGCGCACCTGCCCTCCCTGGAGGAGGGGGCGGCGGGCGGCGCAGTGGGCTTCTTCGAGGCGCCCTCGGCGGGGGCGGCGCGGGCGGACCTGGAGGCCATGGAGGCGGACGATGCGGAGGAGGAGGCTGAGGAGGAGGCGGGGCCGACGGGTGAGGGGCGGGGCGGGGCGGGGCTTGACGCATGAGTTGGTTGTTTGCGGTCTGATATTGGCAGTGGCTGTTGGTGTATCTTAATGGAGCGACCAGGGTTTGGGAGAATGAAACCACTGGCGGGGGGGCATTACGATACGTGTAACCTACCTAGCTGGTCTCTTACTTTGCCTCTTCACTTGCCGCAACCCGCCAGGCATGGAGGACGACGAGGGCGACATGCTGGCAGCGGCGGCGGCGGCTCTGAAGCGGCGGGAAGCTGCCAAGGCCGCAGCGGCCAGCGGTGCCTCCGCGCAGAACGCGGCCCTGTACGGCGAGGATGGGCAGTTCAACCCGCATGCGGCTAGAGAGCAGCGCAAGCGGCTAAAGAAGGGGAAGGAGGAGGGTCCGTCTGCCTCGTCTAAGAAGTCTGCGCACCCGTACGGCGGGGATAGCGAGGATGGGGACTTTGATTTCGACGCGATGAACCAGGAGGAGGCGGAGAAGGAGGGCGAGGAGGGGTCGGAGGATGATGATGAGGAGAGCGGGAGTGGGGACGAGGAGGGGAGCGAGGAGGGGGGTGAGGAGGAGAGCGGGGATGAGGAGGAGGATGGGATGGAGGATGATGACTAGGCGAGGGACGAGGGGGTTGTGACTTGTGACATCCATGGTGTGGGGTGCACACGTGACTTGGGAGGCAGTTGTACATGCAAGGGGGCAAAGGCCAGTGGAACCCGTTTGTTGTGCGGGGGACTGAGCAGTAGGGCACAGAGGGTAGCAGGGGGCCGGCGGGTTGTTAGGGGAGGAAGACTGTAGGCCATGATAGAGCGGTGGATAGGCTTGTAATTTAGCGACCTGTGTAGATGATTACAGATATTAGGTGTCTGGGCTTACGATGAGACAAAAAGGCTTTGGAGGCGAACTGGCAACTGCAGAGGCAAGCGGTGCACTTGGTTTGCGTGCATGAATGGTCTGTCCGACACGTAGGAATTCTAGGAATGCAGGGCTGGTTAAGAGATTTGCGGCGAGCATGTACCGCTTCTGAGCTCCGTCTGCCCCGTGCGCAGGACGGTGCAAAAGCTGACCGAGAGATGCTAGTCAGCTCGCAGCATTGCGAGTTACCGTGTACCGGTACGGCAGACTGAAGGGTATGTGTAGCGCTTCACTCTTACGAGCTCTGGTCCATGGTCCCCATGTCCTCCGATGGGTTCATTAGTCACGAGCAACACCACCTTGCTGATGGTTGGCACTCTATCGATAAGGCCATGACATACCGGTAGGGTAAAACGAGCCACAGCGTACAGGGCGCATCATTCCAAGTGACGTGATATGTAAACTGGATAAGGACAGCAATAGTGTTGTGTGCCTCAAGCGCCTTTCAGGTGATATGGCCTCAAACCTAGTGCACGTCCGAAGGTCCGACACTAGCCAACAGGTGGTACTCAGCTCGTAGCATTATGAGCATAATTGCGAATGCATGTAATTTCGGCGCTTTGAATTCTCACGAGATGGTCCCGTTCTGCTCCGGTGGCTGGGCCCATTAGTAAGGACCAGCACCCTCTTGCTGAAAGCACCAATTGACACGCAGGTTGTAGGACCATGACATCAAGGAAAGCCGGATGTCATAACGTGACGAATAGCGCATGTAGCCAAGCTTCCTGTGGGGCGGGCGAACAACACGTATACTCATGCTAGACGCAAGCCTACGAGCTACCAGTGTATCCTTAGCGTTCGGCATGCAATACTACTGCAATACTTCAGTGTGCGACTAAACAGCCATACAATCCATCATACAGAAATTTGCCAAAATGCCTAAACTAGGGCTTCTGGCAGTCTCAGCCGGTATATCAGCTTTGGTCGTTGCCCTAGTATTGCCTTATACCGAGCCAGAGGTAATTCAGCAAATATTCAGTATTTCATCCGGTGCTTGTCGTTGTTTTGGGGCATCGGGAATATGGATTTGACCCTGCTGAGTGCTGACACCCGGGTAGGACGATAGGCGCCTCCAGCAACACTTTCACCAGGAGCCCGCACACTAGTAACTCAGCTGCACACCTGCATGCGCCATGTCTCGTGCAACGTTTGCCTGAATCGATGTACGGCAGCCAGGACCCCACTCCGAACTGTCTGCCCCGCCTAGACGAGCCAATCGAACAATCACTGCTGTCCACATCCACGCCCAACCCCTCTCCCCGTCAACTGCAGGCCTTAGCAGCGCTCGCCAGGCATCCAGTGGGTGGTATCGCCCGGAACGCCACCGCAGCAGCATTTCAGGGGCTGCTCCGCTTGCTAGAAGCATCCTCAGCGGCCGCCAGTAACTCTGGCCCCAGCCTACGTGATTACTACCCGATACCAGAGGCCTCACAAGCCAAGCAGGCATCCCGTGAAGCCAGCAATCCTAGTTTGACTTCAGCTCAAAGGGGCGGCAGCAGCAGCAGTGGTAGGAGGGCGGCTGCGAAACATGCAGATGCGGATTTGGATTGGGCTGATCCCGAGGTATGGCGGTTGCAGCAAGAACAGGTCACGCGCCCGTACTACACGGAGGAGGAAGTACGGCGACTGTTGTACTGGTGCAGTAATGCCGCTGACACATCTGCTCACCGCCCCTCTGGCAGCGGCAGCAGCGGCAGCAAGAACAACGGAGACAAAAACAATGGAAATGAAGGCTCACATCTTGCTACTAGCTTCCCTAACGGCAGCGTACCAACAACAGCAGCAGCTGAGGTGCGGAAAGACGGCGAGGAGCAGGACGACATGGAGCGCTTTCGTCGTTTGACCAAGTGGGTGACGGCGGCCGGCGGCGAGGCCTCCCGAGTGACCCTTGGGTCCGACGAGCGAGGCGTCCGGGGGCTGCATGTGAGTGTACGACACCCAGTGACGAGCGGGCGGGAAGCCATGTTGTAGCGTACACATACACGGCACGATGATGTGGCTCGCAATGGGAAGGACTGCCCTGAGCCTTGAGGGTTGCCGTACAAAAGGTACAAGTTATGGACAGCTCAGCGTTAGCTACCTCATGCCCCTCAGCCTACCCTCACAACCCTGGAGCCAACCCTCACAACTCTGGAACCAACCCGACCCCAGCCCTTACCTCGCCCCCGGCCACCCAACGTTACCACCGTCATTCAACGCATGGTGTTTCGCCTTTTTCCCCCGGCAACTACCGGTACCCTGACCTACCCGTACAGGCCTCTCAAGCCATCCCCGCGGGAGAGGTGGCGCTGGCGGTGCCGCTGCGGTTGGGGCTGTCCGCCGCCACCTTCCGCGCAGGTGTGAGGGCGGAGGAGGCCGTGGGCTTGCGTGCGCCGTAATAGCCCTCTTGCATGCGCGGGTGAGCGAGAGCGCGTGAGGCCCCGTAGCGGCACCCGTGCAAGCCCCCCTGCTCACGAACGGTAGTTTGCGGACAGCACAGCCAAGCGAGCGAGCATGCGCGTGCCTGCGCATCCCTACTCCTGTGCCTCTCTCACCCCTCTCCCCGTCGGCTGGCGCTCACTCCCCTCGGCGCCCGTTCGTCCGCCTACCTTCCAACCAGCCCGCATGCTGGGAGCCGCCACCGGAGCCGCCTGGGCAGGTGTGGAGGACGCGGATCTCTTCCTGGACGCACTCGCTGTGTCGTACGAGGTTGCCGTACACGGGGAGCGCTCCCCCTGGGCGCAGCACCTGTGCCTGATGCCCAGGACGTACGGTGGTCTGCCCGTACATGCGAGGTACGGCATTAGGAGAGGAGGAAGTCAGGGGAACGGGATGAATGGGAGATTTGCACAGAGGAGGGTACGGCTTCAAGCGGTTGCATCCCAGGGGGCATAGTGATTAGAGCGGCACGTATACCTCGTATTCTATTAGTTATAAACTCTGCTGCTCGCCTTCCGGCCCTGCTGCCGCCTGCCGACTTTCTGTCTCCACAGTGACCCACGGGTCAGCGCGCTGCTGTCCCACCTGCCAAGCGTCCGCCGCCTGGCCGCCAAGCGCCGGGCCCAGCTGGCCATGGTTTCGGAGCGCCTAGCTCGCCCCGCTATGCTGGAGCTACCTGGGGGCAGAGCGGCGCTGGCACGACTGGCGCGAGCAGGAGGAGGAGATGGAGGTGGCGACGGGGGCAGTAGCCGTAACAGCAGTGGCGACGGCAGCGGAAGGGACCTGTGGTTGCCTTTGTGGCACTGGTCGTATGCAGCCGCTAAGACTCGTGCGGTGACGTTGGCAGCGGAGGAGCTGCGGGCTGGCGGAGGCGGCGGCAGTGGAGAGGCGGCGGGAGCTGGGGTGCTAGGGTTCCTGCTGACGCCGCCTCCGCCGGTGGTTGTCGGCTGGGCACAGGTAGTGGGGTCCGGGTACCCGGCAGGGGCAGTGCGGTGGGGAGTGCATGGCAGGGTTCATTGGAGGTTGTGATGTTTACACACGCTGGCGATCGCCGTGCGTCCTTTCCTTACCTCATCCCTACTTCCCTTAATCATTGGAAACGTCTAATACACTTGCTGTTTTTATAGAGGCATAGCAAGACAGCGAAGTTAAAGGTTGGCATGCACGCGCTGCACCTGGTGTGCCTGGTAAGCCATGATACCCCTACCGCGCTGTGCTGCCCCCCACGCACGCCCTGGAGGTCGGCTCGCTGCTGCCGCTGCTGGACCTGGCCAACCACGCCTTCCAAGCAGCTGGGCCGCGGGGGGCAGCAGCGAACACGGAGCACAGGGTGCGTGCGCGCATGCGGGGCTGTTGCGGTTTGCCATTGTACCGGTAGGAGGTTGCCATTGGACCAAGCGCCTTGCATTGCTCTGTTACTTTCGGCTTGTTGTAACGGTATGTCACCGCGGCGGTGAGTGAGCAGGGGCTGCGCCTGCACGCTGTCGGTGCCCCGGGCGCCCGTGCGGAGATGCACACTCAGGGGGACCCGTCCGGCGGGCTCCATGCATCCGAGCCATGCACCCCGATTGCCGAGTAACACTCCTATCAACCCCGTTCCCGTCTTTTAACAATACTCTGTCTGCTGCCTCATCCCTTGTTCTCTCCTGACCCTGGCCCCTGCTCCCCCTCCTCTTTCCCTCTTCTCCTCTTCCCTTCCCCCTCTCCCCAGCTGCTGACAGCCCCCTCCGGCGGCGGCATGCTGGCAGCTCTGGTGTCCACCGCCGCCATCCCCGCTGGTGCCCCCCTCACCTTCGACTACCTGGCAGCCGAGGAGGCGGACGAGCAGCAGGGGCCGCCCACCTGCCCCGACAGGTGAGCTGCGTCTTGTTGAGACCCAAGGGGCGCTTGGTGGGGAGCATGCAGCATGTGGCGTGGGGCGTACGGCAGCCCTTCGCACGGCAGTAACAGCTCCGATATAGGGTGCAAGGGCTCGGCGCTGCTATGGCTTGCTTCTACCGGTACCTGCACGATGATGTACGGTAGCAGAGTTGCCTGTCGCGCTACCATTCTTTCCTGGTTTGCCGTTCTGTGTGTTTGTCCCTCTGCATGGCCCTCCTGCGGTTCCTTCTCTCCTGAACCCCACCTCTCTGCGCGCCCCCTACCTGGGCTTGCCAGCAGCTAGTTTACCACTATCACGCCACACATTGATTTTCCTTCTTTCCCCCCTGTCTGCCCCCCAGGTGGCTTCTGGAGTATGGTTTCGTGCCGGACAGTGGCGGGGACCCTCGCCGGGACTGCGACACGTTCACAGTGGGGGCAGCGGAGCTGGCGACTGCTGCGACCCGCGTTACCAGCGCAGCAGGAGCATCAGGAGCAGCAGGAGCAGGAGCAGGAGCAGCAGCGGCGACAGCGATGACAGCAGCGATACCGGCAGCAGCAGCAGCAAGAGCAACAGGAGCTTCGGAGGAGTCTGCATCGCAAACAGACGAACAAGGTAAAGAACAAGCAGCAGCGTCGCCTAAACCGCTGAACCTCCTCCTTCAAAGCAAGATCCAGGCCAAGCTGTCGTCGGGATCCGTACAGCAACAGCTCCCACTTGGGATGGGCCGTATCGAGATCCAAGTACGGCAGCCCACTCCGGCTGAGGTGGAGGTGGGCGAGGGGCCCGGCTGGGTGCGGCGGCGGTGGGAGGTGGTGCGCTGGATAGAGACGGCGCTAGGGGGTTGGGATGGGGATGGTGAAGACGGCAGTAGTGGCAGCAGCAGTGGCAGTGTGCAAGGGAATGCGGGTGTGGCAGGCGCGGGTGAGGCAGATGCGGATGCCGTGCTTCGAGAGCTGTTGCGAGCGCGAGCTGAGCAGCTGGAGCGGCTGCTGGAGCAGGCGGGGAATGGGCGTGTCAATGGTGTCGCAGGTGTGACCCACGGGTCTGCTGCTGCTGCTGCAGTCGGGGCTGCGAGTAGCGATGTGGAGTTGAGGCGAGGGGTGGCGGCGGTGGCGGGGGCGGCTCGGAGAGCGGTGCTCCGGGCGCTAGAGCAGGAGACGTACTGGTAGCTTGGGTGCGGGTGAGGAGGTGGGGGTGAGGAGGTGGGGGTGCGGATGAGGAGGTGGGTAAAGAGGAAACAACTAACTGACTGAGGGATAAGGCGTGGGGGTGGGGGTGGGGGTGCGGATGAGGAGGTGGGGGTGGAATTTTGGAAGCAGCTAGCGGGTACGTGGTAATGCTCTGACGTGTGTCGGTGGTGGTGATGTCCCTGTGGAACGTGGTGCAGGTCGCAGCAGGTTGAAGAACCCGTGTAACTGCTGACCGGCGGGAACTGCAGACCAAAGCGCTGCAGACCAAAGCGCTGCAGACCATCCCTTGTGTGTCAGAATGAGGTTTGCTACAACAGGATTGATAACAGGGCATGCATGGACAGGACAAACAACCCGTTGCCAGCCTGCCGTACAATACTCCGCCGTACCCTGATCTTGCAGCTTTACATCCACTGAACATCTATAACCACTAGAGACCTACAGTCGAATCAGGGAAGCATCTTCGTTAGCCTCACCACCTTCGTTTACGTTCGTAAGATTTGTTACAGGATATCAGGAGGGCATCAATTAACCCGGAAAAGCCTGCTCTACAACGCCTCCGAGATTACACAGTACGCTCCAAGAAAATGTACACCAATCCAAGGCAGGAGGTCATACATCCCCAACCCACTGCCTTCCTTGTTCCTTCACCTTTCTTCACTGGCACCTGCCTTCTACTGCGCCTGCCTACAGCTCTCCTCCCCTCTACATGACAGCCCTCTCGTGACGTGCAACAGCGCCACCCACCCCAAGGGCCCTCGCGCACCCGTGTGCAGTATTCCCCCGTTGAAGCCCCATCTCTCATGCATCACACATGCGTTTGTGTCGTACATCCTCCCCTACATCAACGCCCTGCTGCTTTGCAAACCAGACTCTCAATGCCGCCCCCCTCCGCCTAGCTCTCGCCCATGCAGCTTCCCTCGAGCACATACGCACACACAGACACGCTACGGCGGCTGCTGGCACCACAGCTAGGTGGCTTCATGTGTTTTACCCTATCCTGCAGCCCATCCTAGCTCCCTCTACTCCCCTGCACCCGCATCCCCCTGCACCCGCACCCCTCAGCACTTCCCTCCTGAGACATGCACACCACACACACACACACATGTACGTACAGTACCTTCCTACTCGCGGCCAGTTTTCTTAACACACACATGTGCCCCCCTGCGCTCCCCGCGACAACCCCCTCCCCCCAACCCGCCTAAAGGGTAGCAGCTTGTTTCCTTCTTATCCCCCCCCCTCTACCCCCCAATCGTAATCATGGGCCGGTTTGTCGCCGCCGCCAGCTGCTCCAGCCCCGCATGCGCCGCCCGCTTGCGTCCCACCGCCGCACCGATGATGGCGCGCAGGTCGGCATCGCTGGCGCCTCCCCGCATGGCGTCCCGCAGCGACACCTCGGACGCCCCGAACAGGCACACCTTGAGACTGCCGTCGGCCAGCAGCCGCAGCCTGAGGGTGGGGTTGGGGGGTGGGGGGTAAAAAGGAAACATCTAACTGACCGTGTGTGGGGTGGAGGGGGGGGGGAGCGGGAGGGCGTACTGAGGGGGGGTTACGAAGGTGCAGAGACGTTAGGTGTTATGCCGGTAGCAGCGCTGCATGCATGCAACATTCCTGGCCAGCAATCAACACACGGGTCGGTCCTGTCGGCTCGCCAGCAACAACACCTCCCCCCTCCCCACCACCCCACTCCCCCCCTCCTTCCCTTGCCTCGTCAGTTTCCTTATTTTTCACCCCCCTTCCCCACACTCCTCGCCCCCTCCTCCCCACACTCCTCGCCCCCCCTCCCTCCCACCTGTTGCAGTCGCTGCAAAAGTGCTGCGTCATGGAGGTGATGAAGGACACGGAGCCGCGGTGGCCCTGGGGGGGAAGGGGGAGGGAGGGAGGGAGGGAGGGGGAGGATTTGGGTAGATGTGGTGAAGGAGGAGGCAATGTGCTGGATGGGGCTGGAAACGCTGTGGACATAGAAAGGACAGGCGCGCACCCCTCCTGCAGCCCTCTCAGGCCCCGCATAGCATGTCCCCGTGCCTCCACCCCATCCCCCCCCATCCCGCCCTCACCCCATCCCGCCCTCACCCCATCCCGCCCTCACCCCTCCCCCTCCCTTCCTCCCACCTCCAGTCGGTAATTCTTGGCCACCTCCCCCGCCGGGTCGTCCAGCCGCTGCAGGGGCGTGTGCGGGAAGGCAGCTTGCAGCCGGGACAGCAGCTCGCGATAGGGCACCTGGGGGGGGGGCAGGGGGGGAAGGGAGGCAGGGGGAGGGTGCGGCTATGCATGCATGCAGGAACAGGGCCGAGCTCTACCGGTAGTACCCCCCGGCCCTTGGCCCGCGCCTGCCCCTACCACTCCTCACTCCTCCCCAACCTCATACCTCCTCATTCAGTTACCGGTATGGTAAGGAAGCCCGTTACGTTGACCCCATCGACGTCACTCCCCGCATCCCTTCTACCCTATCCACCTCCCCCCCGCCCCTTCACTTATTGTTTCGGTCTGACTACTTCGGGCAGGGTGGGATGGACCGGCTACCATGTTGGCACCCCATGGTGAAGCCTACATGTCATACAGCTCGTGAGTTGCCTCGTCAGCGTTTCTTTAATCTCCCCCCTCCCCTTCCCCCGCCTCCCCTTTTCCCCGCCCCCCCCACCATCTTGCTGTCGGCCCACACGTTTCCGTCGAAGGGCATGTACTCGATGAAGCGCACGTTGATGGGCTGGTGCGCGGTGAGCGCGGCGAAGTCGGGCACCTCGTCCTCGTTCACTCCGCGCATCAACACCACATTCACCTGGTTTGTGTGCGGCAGGGGGAAAGGTGGGGAGTGGAAAGTAAGGGTGTGCGGGCAGGCAGGGTGAGGGAGGACAGGGAGGGTGATGCCGACAGCGGTGTGGGGAAGCGGAGGACGGAGGGTCCCATAAGGTTCCGCTGCCGAAGGAGGAGGGCCGCCTGCAACAACCCCCTCCCAAACGTCTCCTCGCGGGCCTCTTTCCATGTGTATCACCGCCTTGCCATCCCCCCCACCTGCCACTCCTACTCCTCCTCCCCAAGGTTCTGGTTAGCAAGCCTTCGGTAAATCATCTATATTGCGTGCTTCTAGAGTAGTGTCTCCAAATGCGCTCACTGCATGAGTCGGGATATGGGTTTGGGACTCCAGTTGCTGCAATTATATTATTGTTATGTCTTCCTCCCCACCTTGACCGGGTCGTACCCCAGCTCCACGGCGGTCCGAATGGCCTCCATCACCCGCCCGTGACCCCCCCGCCGGGCCAGCTGCTCGAACCGGTCGGGGCGCAGCGTGTCTAGCGAGATGTTGACGGCGTTGAGGCCTGAGCGGGGGGAGGAGTGGGAGGTGGGAGGGCGTGAATGAGGGGGAGCGGGCGGGGGAGGGATGTGCTACAGGAGGTTATGTCCTTATGTGTGGTTTCCCCATCTGCTTGGTTTGGTGGTCTTCCTGTCCTCCCTCTGTAACAGTTCACATCGGAGAAGAAACGGAGACAACCCAAGCAAGCGAACTCCGGCTGTTCCGCTTCCGGTGCAGGTGCGACAGCCCCCCCCCAGTCTCACCCGCCTCCCTCAGCCCCGCCAGCTGCCTGCCCAGCACGAGGCCGTTGCTGGTGATGGCCACGCTGCGCAGACCCATGGGTCGCAGCTCCCCCGACAGCTGCCGGATGAGCGGCTCCAGGTCGCGACGCAGAGTGGGCTCGCCGCCCGTGAGCCGGATCTTGGTGACACCTGCCTCCACGAATAACCGCGCCTGAGGGGGGTTGTGTGTGTATGTGTGTGTGTGTATAGGAGAGGTGAGGAGTGGGGTGCGTGGGAACGGGGTGTGAGGCGTGCGGACACCCCAAGAAGCTGTGAGCGGACGGCATAACCCCTGGTTTTACACCTGTCAAACTCCCCATGCCTGCCCGGCCCCCTCCCGGCCCCCCTCCCGGCCCCCTCACCAGCCGCATGATCTCCTGCGTGCTGAGCAGCTGCGGCGAGGGTGTGAGCGCCACCCCCTCCGCCGGCATGCAGTAGGTGCAGCGCAGGTTGCAGCGCTCGGTGAGGGAGATGCGCAGGTAGGTGTGGGTGCGGCTGGGGTGGGGGGAGGAGTGGCAAAAGGGTAAGGAAACTGACGAAGCAACTAACGAGCTGTGTGTTAAAATAACTGGCTGTGTGTTAAGAAAACTGGCCGCGTGTGTGTGAGAAGGTTTCACCATGGGGTGCAAACATGGTGGCAGAGGGAAGGGGAGGGGGGAGGGCAGTGGGGGAGGGAAACAACTGAGCGCATGGAGAGGAGGCGGGTGCAGGGAGTGAGGGGAGGGGAGAGGGGGTGGCAATGCCGGTGTTGTGTGGCAGGGGGTGGATGCCCGGGGTGGAAACCCCTGCAGTGCATGCATGCACACCCCTGCACACACCCCTGCACGCATGCACCTGAACTTGTCCGTCAGCATCTGCGCTCCCGCCGGCGGCTCCACCTGCGCCTCCTTCGCCCGCCGCAGCAGCTCCCGCCAGTCGACCGGGGTGGGCGCGGCGGGGTGCGGCTGCGGGGCTGCTGAGGCTGGGGCTGCTACTGCTACTGCGGCTGCTGCACCGTGGCTGCTGCTGCTGCTGCTGCTGCCTGGGAGAGGTGGCCGGGAGTCCGGTTCGAGGCTGTTCGCTGCCGCCTCAGGGGTGCCTCTTGTGGAGGCGGGCATGGGCTGGCTGGAGGTGCAGCTGTGGCTGCTGACAGCGCTGCTGCTGCCGCAGGTGCTGGGGGAGGAGGAGGAGGTTGAGGCGCGGGGGTTGAAGGCGGGAATGTCCTTGAGCGCGGCTCTTCTGCGGCTGGTGGTGGTTGGGTCTGAGGCAGCGTGGGCCGCTTGCTGTGGTACCGTTGGTTGTCGTACCGTTGCTGTTGTTGTTCCAACGATGACAGGATCAACGGCAAAGGAGGTGTGTGCATGGCGTAAGGCGTCGGTGGGGTCTGGTTGAAGCATCTGGGATGGGGAGGTCTGCCGAGGGAGTTCGGCTGGGTCTTGAAGGCGCGATGCCGAGAGAAACTCCCGCAGCCGACGTTGGTACTCATCGGCTGAGTCAGAATCGATTACAAGGCGGGCTTGGTTTGCTGATTGAGGAGGTTGGGCATGGACTTTTGCCTCACCCGCGGGCCATGAGCAAAACGGGCGTCCGTCGGGGAAACCGCAACGTGCCCATGCTTGGCTAACTAGCCGGCTGACTACTGCTTTGCGCGTCATACGCGCTTATGCACACTTATAGTAGCCTTCACTTGCGTAACAATAACAGTGCGTGTCTTACTGGTAACAGCACGTGAGGCGTTCGCTAACTTGCATATGAGGGTTCCTCCAACCGTAAGCTTTCGTGGCGTGACAAAGTTTTCTCACGCTCCAAGCGGTATATTCTGCCACATTTACTAACACAATAGGCTTGTATGCAGCAAATGGGTCCCCTGACCAGATGCTCGTCCATGCCCTTTGCAAAGGGTTCCTTGCATCAAGGAAGATCGATCGTCGCATCAATCACACCATAGCACCGATTGATTTAGGAGTATAGTTCCTTAAACCTTAGCGCCCCAACATCGCTAGGAAACTAAGTGCGCCATATTTGTAATGCTTAGGTCTTTGCATGTATACAACCAGAAATGATGGCGATTTCTTTATTTTGTAGCATGTACATGAAGCACTTCAATATGGCTCAGTGAACCAATTGGACTAGGCATCGGCACCATGATACTCTCCAGTTGGCCTCAGGCTCGCTTTCGCGGCATTCACACTTCTTCTAGCTGCTGCGCTGTACGCACAATTCCCCGCTGTCCTGGGCGCGTCGGCGCTCCACCACCGTCATGTCTGCGCTCGGGGGCTGTTGCGCCCCTGCGACGGCTCCTCAGTCCTGGTCGGCTGCCCGCGGCGCCCCGCCTCACCCAGCCCCCCGCTGCCACCTCCCCTCGAGGTGACGACTCCGGTGTGGCGGCGTCAGGCCAACCTGCAGAGGCACCGTTACTGCTACCCAGGCGTGCAGCACGCACCCCACCGCCCCAGTCCCAACCCGCAACGTCCTTACCGTCCTTACCGGAACTCGAACCGTCTACAGCACCAGAAACCCTACCGGCACCTGAGGCGGCTAAGAAGCAGCGCCGGCGAAAGCCGAGCCCTACCGAGCCAGAGGAAGCAACAGCGGGCGGCCTGGAGTCCGCTCCGAAACCCAAGCGACGCCGGGCCCCTCCCTCTTCCTCCTCCTCCCGCCGTTCCTCCTCCTCCTTGCCTTCCCCCTCCGCTGCCTCCTCCTCTTCCGACAGCGACGATGACTCCTCAACCACCCTCATGACAACTCATGACGCCTCCACAACTACCCGAACTCAACCGCCATTCACACAATCCGCAACAACCATCACAACCACCACCGCTCCTTCCAACCTCTCAGAGGCCGCCCTAGAGGCCCGCCGTACAGCCGCCGGCTGGACACCTGACGGTCGCGTGCGCTTCAGCACCAAGCTGCCCCGGGGGCCCGCCTGGCAGCAGACTGTACGGCAGTGGGTTGTGTTTTCCGACCTGCACGTGCGGGAGGGCTCGCTGGAGACGTGTCTGGAGGTGCTGCGGGCAGTACGGCAGGAGGCGGACAGCAGGGGGGCGGGGGTCATATTCCTGGGTGGGTTGGGGGGCGGGGGGGGGACGAGGGAGGGCAGAGGGAGGTGGGCAGAGGGTGGGGAGATGGCGGGAGCTCGCCGGGGTGTGGGTGCGGGTGGGCAGAGGGGCAGTACACGTTGGGGAGCGGGCAGTGCGTCGTACGGGGAGGGGGCGCAACCGTGGATGCAAGGGGGTGTGCGGGGTTGCGGCAGGTGGCACGAACGCAGTCGCGGGCAACGGGTGCTGTGGGAAGGAGGCAGCGCACTCAGCGCCCTGCACAAAGGGAGCCTTCCCTCTTCACCGCCCCTTCCGTCACCCTCCCCCCTCTTCACCCCCTCCCCCCCTCCCAGGTGACTTTTGGGACCGGCGCGGCGCCCTGCCCGTGGAGCCGCTCAACCAGGTGCTGCAGGTGCGTGTGGGGGTGTACGACATGGCAGGGGGAGGGTTGTACGGCATGACATGCTGTGAGGGTACGGCATGACAGGGTGGAGTTACGGCATGACAGGGTGGAGTTACGGCATGACAGGGTGGGAGTACGACATGACAGGATACGACAGGCGGCGTGGTTGCGACAAGCGGAGACAGGGGGCGTGAGGGTTCGACAGGAGGTGGTTTGCCTGTACGACACTACCTCACTTGCAGGCCCCCCCTCCCCTCCCCCCAACAGGAAATGTCCTCCTGGACGTGTCCGGTGCTGATGCTGGTGGGGAACCACGACCAGGTGGGGTGTGTGTGGGGGGGTGGAAGACATGGGGTCTTGGCGGGGGGGTCAAACCAGGGCCCGTCCCTGCTATAGCGCCCCCCTCCACCCTGCCGCCCCTCTCTCCTCCTCCTCTCACCTCTGTCCAACGCTTCTTCCTCTTTATCCTCCCACCCAGCACCCCGCCCCCTCCCCCTCCATCCCGCTAACCCATACTTGTCTTTTGTGGCACCCTGCCGCTCCTATCCCCATTGTCTTGCCCCAACCTGTGGCTTCCTATGGTTCGGTATGGTCTTTGACCTCCCCCTCCATCCCCCTCCCCTCCACCTCACCTCCCCCTCTCCCCCCCTCCCCTTGTCAGGTGGACCTGGGCGGCCGGCAGCACGGTCTGACCCCCCTGGAGCTGGCCTGCCCGCATGTGCACGTGGTGGAGGAGCCCACGCGGTGGCGGGGGGCGCTGTGGCTGCCGTACAGGCGGGACACGGAGCTGCTGGCGGCGGCGATGAGGCAGGCGGCGGAGGAGGCGGGGGGGCAGGAGGGGGAGGAGGGGGGCGGGGGGGAGGAAGGAAAGGGGATGGAGGGGGAGGTGGGGAAGGAGGAGGAGGAGGAAGGAAAGGGAGTGGAGCCGCTGCGGGCGATCTTCATGCATGCGGATGTGGTGAGTGGCGGTGGGGGTTGGGGAGGGATAGAGAGCGGCTGGGGAGGTATGTGGCCCCGCACCCTCCTGCAATCCAGGGTGCCTTGTGACATGGCCCGTTCCTCCTCTTTACCCTTCTCTCCCGACCGCCGAACCCGCCCCTTCTGGGATTGGGACTCCAGTTGCTTCGCTTCTCATCCATTTCCCCTCGTTCCCCTCCCCCCCCCCCTCCTCCCCCCCCTTCCCCCCTGCCCCAGCGCACCGCCCGCACCAACCAGTGGCGCCAGGCGGAGGAGGGGCTGGAGCCAGCCGCCTTCCCGCCGCACCTGCCCGTCTTCAGCGGCCACTACCACCTGCCACACACCGTGTGGGGCACCGCCGTCACGTACGTGGGCTCACCCTACCAGGTGGGGAGGGGAGAGAGGGGGTGCGGAGGGTAGGGATGGGGCTGGGGGTGGAGGGATGGTGGGGGAGGGGGATTTGGGATGGAATGACGGGGCTCACCCTACCAGGTGGGGGAAAAACATAGATGAATGCATCAGCCAGGTGGGGAGGGAAGGGGTGCGGAGGGCGAGGTAGGGTTGGCAGCTTGTAGGTGGGCCTCCTCCCGCTGCCACTACCACTGCTCCCCCCACCTGGCCCTCTCCCCCTCCTTCCCTCCCTTTTCTCCCCCTTCCTGTTCCCATTGTTTTGCCCCAACCTGTGCTTTCCTGTGGTTCGGTATTGTGCTATTGTCTACCCCCCCCCCCTCCTCCCCCCCAGGTCACCATGGCCGAGGCCTGCGAGACCAAGCGCCTGCTGGTGCTTCAGTCTCCCGGCTGGCGGGTGCTGCAGCAGCTGCCGCTGTCGCTGGGGCCCAGGCACATGCGGCTCAGCGGGGAGGGGGCGGCGCAGGCGCTGAGGCAGCTGGCGGAGGCGGCACAGCAGCAGGCGACTGCGGAGGAGGGGGCGGAGGCGGGGGTTGATGTAGGGGGTGGCGTAGGGGAGGAGCTGCAGCAAGACGAGGGGGAGGCAGGGGCTGCTGGTCCTGCTCCTCCTCGGCCGCTGCGCCCCGGCGACCGGGTGAAGCTGTGGCTGAGTGCGGGGGAGGCGCGGGAGGAGGCGGTGGTGGCGGCAGTGGAGCAGCTGGAGCGGGCAGGTAGGGGTTAAGCCAATTTGCCGACGTGCGTTAAGAAAACTGGCCGCAAGTCGGAACGTACTGTGATTGCCGGAAGACGAAGTGGAGGGGGGAATGAGCTCGGTGGGTGGGCGACCGTGATGCACTGGATTGGTTAGCTCCCAGATGTTACTCACATGCGGCTACACGCGATCGGGGTATCCCATCCCTCTTATTCCCCGCCTCGCCCCCTCTTTCCCCCCCCCCCCATGCAGGTGTGGCGGTGGAGCAGGTGCTGCAGCCCGAGGCCCGCCCCCCCCGCCTGGCCGCAGCGGAGGGCCGACCCGCGGAGGACCTGCTCGAGCTGTACTGCAGCCAGGCGCTGCAGTACGGCAGCATGAGCGAGGCTGCCGTACAGGCGCTGCGGGGGGCGGTGGCGGCGGCGCGGGAGGCGGCGGGGAGTGGTGATGATGAGGGGGTGGGGGGAGGGCGGGGGGTGGAGCTGGAGTTGGGGAGCGTGACGCTGCGGGGCTTCGGACCCTTCGTGGAGGAGCAGGTGTGTATGGGAGGGGGGAGGGGAGGAGGGGGGGAGGGGAGGAGGAGGGGAGGTGCATGCAAGCGTTGATAATGTTCTTGCCTTGGTAAGACGGGTGTGGCGAGGTTATGGCGAGGTAGGGGTGTCAGCACAACCCCTGCTGCCGCTGCCACGCCGCCTACCCGCTACTCCCAACCCGCATCTCCACTCCTCCACCACCACACAGCCAGATTCGACCGGCACCCCACTCCTCCCCACCCGCGCTCTCCCCCCCCCAGACCTACCCCCTCTCCTGCCGCGGTGTTCGTGTGATCGCCGGTGAGAACCGCGACGAGGGCGGTGCGGACTCCAACGGGGCGGGCAAGACCAGTCTGGTGACGGCGCCGCTGTGGGCTCTGACGGGGGAGGTGCTGGCGCGGACGGAGGTGGGGGGGGGAGGGGGAGGGGTGTGTATGGCGGAACCATAATAGACTGAATTGTCAGTCGGATCTCGCACATGAGCTGTCGTTCCGGGGCAACACCTATGTACGGCATAACATGTGCATAGCAGCAGCAGCAGCAGCAGGCACCAGCAGCCCGTGTTTGCTGACCCGTGTGGCGGCTGGGATGGCGTGTTGTGTTTGGTAGCCGGCTGCCGCCTCCGCCCCTCCGCACCTGCCGCCTCCGCCCCTCCGCACCTGCCGCCTCCCATCCGCACCTGCCGCCTCCCATCCGCACCTGCCGCCTCCCATCCGCACCTGCCGCCTCCGCCCCTCCGCACCTGCCGCCTCCCATCCGCACCTGCCGCCTCCCATCCGCACCTGCCGCCTCCCATCCGATACCTCCTCCCCAACCCTGCACTCCCCAACCTGGATACTGTTCGGTCCCCCCCCCCAGAGCGGCGGCGGCGGCCGTGTGCCGGTTGATGTGATGCGCAACGAGGGGTGCCCTGTGTGTCGGGTGGCGGTGCGGGGGCGGCTGAACGGGCAGGCGTTCGAGGTGGAGCGGGAGGTCAAGGTAGGGGGTGGAGGGGGGTGGAGGGGGAGGGAGAGGGAGGGAGGGGTAGACGTAGGGGGATCAAGGGGGGGGGGTAAAAGTAAGGAAACCTGACGAGGGAGGGGGAGCTGAGAGTGAGAGTGAGAGCGAGAGGGAGGAATGGGGAGAGGGGAGGGGGTGATGCAGCCTAACCCTGCCAGCCTCGCTCCTCCTCCTCCTCCGCCGCCGCCGCCGCCCACGCACACTCTCCTTCAAATCCATAGAATACTTCCAACAAGCACCTTCCCCCCCCTCTCTCCCCCTCCTCCCCCTCCTCCCTCCCCATCAGCGCGGCAAGACCAGCTCCCTGACGCTGCATGTGGGCGGGCAGGACCTCACACTGCAGGACATACCCGGCACCGCGGTGAGGGTGGGGGGGTGGGGGGCTGGGAGGGGGGAATGACACTGAAGGCGGCATGCAGGGGGTGAGGAAGAGGAGCGGGTTGGAGGAGACTGTGCAACCCCTCACCCACCCTCGACCCCCCCCACTGGGTAATCTCCTTTCCCGCCCTCCCCCACCCCACCCCACCCCACAGGACCGCATCCGACGGCTGTTCTCCACCGAGCTGTTGCGCAGTTGCGCCTTCTTCGGACAGAACGACATCACCGGGCTGCTGGAGGTGGGGGAGGGGCGGGTCAAGTTAGACCAAACCATATGAAGTCACCAATTAGGGCAGAATTCGGTGTGGGAGGGGGAAGCGGCGGGGGAGGAGGAGAGGAGGAAGGGGCGGGGGAGGAGGAGAGGGGGAAGGCGCGTGCGGGAGGTGTCAGGGTGACGCTGTGTTGTGTGACTGGACAGACGGTGTGGGATGTACGGCCAGTCACGGCCAGTCGCGAGTGGGTGTGCACCCCGGGGCGGGCGCTGCTGGGGCACTTTAGCACGTCTTACCTACATGCGCCGCGGGGCGGGGTGTGTGGCGGGGCGGGGTGTGTGGCGGGGCGGGGTGTGTGGCGGGGCGGGGTGTGTGGCGGGGCGGGGTGTGTGGCGGGGCGGGGTGTGTGGCGGGGCGGGGTGTGTGGCGGGGCGGGGTGTGTGGCGGGGCGGGGTGTGTGGCGGGGCGGGGTGTGTGGCGGGGCGGGGTGTGTGGCGGGGCGGGGTGTGTGGCGGGGCGGGGTGTGTGGCGGGGCGGGGTGTGTGGCGGGGCGGGGTGTGTGGCGGGGCGGGGTGTGTGGCGGGGCGGGGTGTGTGCCCCGTGCACCCAACCCCCTTGGGACTCCGTTGCTGCACTTACCAACTATCCCCCCCCTTTCCTCCCCCTCCCCCCGCGCAGGCCAGTGACGCGCTGCTGAAGCAGAAGCTGGGGCTGGTGGTGGATCTGGAGGTGCGGGGCTGGGGGGGGGAAGTGGGTTGGGGGAGGGGGGGCGAGGGGAGAAAAAGGAGCCTGAGAACCCTGAATCGCTCACGCCCGGCACCTGGGTGCCCCCTCCTTGCATGTGCAACTTGCCGCATGTCGTACACGCGCCCCGATACACACGCACACACGTGCATAGCATACCATGCACGTGCATGTCAAACCCTTTCCACCTCCCCCCCTTGCCCTTCCTTCCCCCTCCGCGCCCCTCGCCCTGTTGTCTTTTGCCCCATTCTGTGGTTTCCTATGCTTCGGTACAATTTTACCCCCTGCCTCCGCCCCCCGCCCCCCGCCCCCCGCCGCCCCCCTCCTCCCCAGATCTGGGAGGCTGCCCGGCAGCTGCTGGTGGAGCCCCGCCGTGCCGCCGCCGCCGCTGCTGCCCGGGCCGCGGGGCGGGTGGGACTACTGCGGGAGCAGGCGGAGGCGCGGGGGCGGGAGGTGGCGGAGCTGGGGGAGGGGGAGCGGCAGTGGGAGGGGCAGCAGCGGGAGAAGCTGGTAAGGGGGAGGGAGGGGAGGGGAGGGGAGGGGAGGGAAGGGGAGGGAAGGGAAGGGGAGGGAAGGGGGAGGGCAGGTCGGAAGGGGCGATGCGAGAGGCGCAGGAGAGCAGGGTCCAGCCACCATGCAGCTGCAGGATGACCCGAGTCTCCTCCTAGTGTGGAGGAGTCTCCCTCCATCCCCCACCCGCACCCTTCCTCTCCCCGCTCCCCCTGCCTCCCAGCTCTTATCCCCATTGCTGTGCCCTAACCTGTGGTTTCCTATGGTTCGGTATGGTCTTTGACCCTCCACGGGGGGGCATGTTCGGCTCGACTAGCTCTGTTCCAGTCACCAGGAGCCCTGTTGTCTTTGTTTGCCATTTTCATTCAACACATTGGGTGTTCTCCCCCCCCCCCGCTGCTCCCCGGGCCCCCCTACCAGGCCCACCTCACCTCCCAGCTCTCCCTGCGTGCTGCCGAGGCGGCCTCCGCATGCGCCCCGCTGGGCGGCTGGCTGGCGGCGGTGCGGGGGCGGGCGGGGGAGCTGCGGGCGGCGGCGGCGGAGCAGGAGGAGCAGCTGAGGAGGTGGGAGGCGGAGGTGCGGCAGCAGCAGGAGGCACGGAGAGCGGTAGGGGCGAGGGGGGGGAGGGGCGGGAGGGGTTGGGGTTGGGGGTTGGGGAGTTGGGGGAGGGGGGTGCTGAGCCGGGCGTCCCGGTGGGGGAGGAGCCCGGTTCCCCCTCTGACTGCTGTGCCGCCTGGCTCGCATGCGGCCGCCGCTGCTGCCTCCCACCCGCACCGCCGGCTACGTCTCTCTCCACATAGCGCCTCCAGGATAAAGTTCATGTTTCTCAGAATCTCCTACTGTCGTATACATCCCTTCTCTTACACCCCACCCCACCGGCACCTTCGCCCCCACCGCAGGAGATGGCGGCCGCAGCAGCCGCGGCCCCTCCCGCTGCTGCTGCTGCTGCCGCCCCTCCCGGGGTGCCCCAGCTCCCCTCCGAGGGGCGGCCCGACCCGCTGGGGGAGCAGCGGGGGGCCTGGCTGGCGGAGGAGGCGGCGGCGGAGGGGCAGCTGCGGGGCCGGCGGGAGGAGGCGGGCCGGGCACAGCAGAGGCTGGGGGTGAGAGGGGGAGACAAGAGGGGGTTGAGGGGAGGAGAGAGAGAGGCGGACAGTGGGAAGGGCTTGGGCTTGTGGTGTACGGCTGGTTAGGGCTCCCTATGCCCCTTCTCCCTCCCCGGGGCTGATCTCACCACTCTCCTCCCTTTCCCTGCACCCCTGGGTACCGGTATGCTCCCCTCCCCTCCCCCCCGCCCCCCCCTCTGCGGCCCCCACCCCCCCAGGAGCTGCAGCAGTCCGCCTCCCAGGCTCTGGGCGTGTTGCGGCAGGTGGAGTCCAGCCGGGGGGAGTACCTGGCAGCGGTGGCGCAGCTGGCGGCAGCGGCGGGAGGGGGGGCGGGAGCAGGGGGAGGAGGGGGAGGAGGGGCGGAGGGGTATGGGGGTCGTAGCCTTAGGAGCGGCGGCAATGGGGGCAGCGGTGGCGGCGGCCCATTGTTGGGTTGGGAGGGGGGTCGAGTGGTGGTGGCAGGTGGAGGAGCTGTGGCAACTGCTGCTGCCGCGGCCCCTGCCGGCGCAGCGGCGGTGGCGGTGGTGGCGGTATGTGATCGCTGCAGGTGAGGAGGGGGCAGGAAGGGGGGAGGGAGGGGGGGAGGGGGGATCAGCGGGGGGGATGGGGTTTCTGGCACTATTGGTTCACGAATGGCCACTCAGTACGGCAACTCATACACACACACGCACGCACGCGCCCCCTCCCTCCCCCCTCCCCCCCCAGACAGCCCATCAGCGAGCAGCAGTACGCTGCCAATGTGGCCCGACTGGAGGGGGATGTGGCGGAAGCGCGCAGGGTGGGTGGGTGGGTGGGGACAGAGGAGGGGACTAGCCAACCGTGTGACGAGGGGGGGCAGAGATATACCAAGAAAAACACATGTGGTGGGTGGTGGGGGTGGACAACAGGAGCTGGGGGGCTATAAGGGGGGGGTAAAGAGGAAACATCTAACTGGCTGCCGTACAGGGGGAGTGCACGTAGGCGTAGTGAGCTCCGCGGCGTTATGTCGGCTTGCTTCCTGCTGCTCCGTGCGTGCTTTACATGCGGATAGCCTGTGTTGGGAGCTGTGGCGTGTTTGGGAGGGGCTGCCCTGCCTGCCTGTCTGACAGGGAGTAGTAGTGACAGGGAATGCGCGCGGGAAGTCCTAACCAGCCGTACGCCCTGCCGCCCCTGCCCCCTTTCTCCCCAGGTGTACGAGGCCGCCGCGGGGGAGGTGCGGGAGGCGCAGCAGGCCTTCACGGCGGCTGGCCGGCTGGTGTCGGAGGTAGGGGGCGCGGAGGCGGGAAGGGGGGGGGGTAGGGGGGAAAGGTAGGGGTTTGGAAGTAGGGGGCCTGGAGGCAGGAGGCGCGCGGAGGGAGAGGGAGGGGGCTAAGGGACCCACGCAAGCCCGCCCACCTCTCCCTCGGCACGCAGCTCCCCGCGGTACGACAACGCAACCCTCTGGCCCCGCCTGGCTTTGCGGCTCCCCTCCTGCCGCGCTTACTGCCTCCCCTCCCTCCCTGCCACCCCTCCCGCACCTACCTCCTCTCCTACCCTCTCCCCCTTCCCCCCGGGGTGCCAGGCGGAGGCAGCGCTGGCGGCACTGGTGCGGCGGAGGACGGAGGCGGAGCGCAGGTGGGTGGGGGAGGGGGAGGAGGAGGAGGAAACCGACAAGCTGTATGATGAGGCAGGTGGGTCAAAGACCATACCATACTGTAGGCAGGTGGGGAGGGAGGTGGGAGGAGCGGTGAGACCTCCCCCGTCCCGTCACACCCGGTTCGCCTCTACTTCTCCTCCTCCCGTACCCGCCCGCTCCGAAACCCCCCTACCAGCTACAACCCTACAAGCGCTGTACGACAACCCCCGTTCTTTTCCACCTTTCTTTCCGCCACGCTCCCCCTCCACCCCTCACCTCTGCCTGCTGGGGGTAACCCCGTAGACAGTATGCCCCCCCCCTTTCCTCCCCATGGTGAATCCTTGTCATACAGCTCGTCAGTTGCGTCGTCAACACCCCCTCCTCCTTGCTGCACGGCTAGTTACATGACCTCCTCCTTACCGTACACCCCCCCCCCCTCGTCCCTCCTCTCGCTCTCCTCCGCCCCCTCCCCAGGTCCGCCGAGGCCGCCCTAGCCGCTGCCGCCGCCGCCCAGCAGGCCGCGCGTGCTGCCGCCGCCGCCTCCCGCGCGGCTCAGGAGGCTGCGTGGCGAGATGCGGGGCGGGCTCTGGCGGGTCTGCAGGCGGGGCTGGCTGAGAGCAGCAGGAGGAGGGGGTGAGCGGGGGGGGGAGGGGTGGAGAGGGGGGAGGATGAGCGGGGGGGAGGAGGGGGTAACGAAGGCCATACCCTGGTGAGCTGAGGAGCTGAGGAGGGTGGGGGTTGGGGGGTTGGGATGGGGTACACGGATAAGACAGAGGGGGAAAGGGGGAAACCATCATGCACCCCCTCCCCTCCATCCCCTCCCTCGCTCCCCCTCCTCCCTCCCCCTCCCCCTCCCCCCCCCAGTGAGTTGCTAGCCGCTGCCGTCGAGTTGGAGCGGGTGGTGGGGGAGCTGCAGGCGGCGGAGGGGGCGTGGGAGCAGCACCGGGGGGCGGTGGGGGAAGCGGCGGGGGTGGGGGCGGTGGGGGAGGCGGTGGAGGGAGCAGCGGCAGCCCCACCACCTGTATCCGGGATAACGGCTGCCTCCATGCACGGCAGTAGCACACGGAGCAGCGTCGACAGCGCCGCTAGCAGGAGCATTGACGTGGGGGTGGGTGGGGGAACGGTACGGCATGCCCACGTTAGTGGTGTGGGGGATACGACGGGTACGGCAGGTGTGGATGCGGGTACGGCAGGTGTGGAGGTGGAGGCGGCGGTGGCGGCTGCTCGGCGGTTAGTGGTTGATGCGCGGGGGGCGGCGCAGGCGGCGGGCAGGGCGGTGGCGGGGTGGCAGGTGGCTGCTGCGGCGGTGGAGGCGGCGAGGAGGGAGCGCAACCCGCGGAGCGAGCTGAGGGCCAGGTGGGGGGGAAGAAGAAAAGAAGAAGATCATTGTATTGGATGATCATTGGCAAACTCGGTGACAGGTAGGGGGGAGGAGGGCGCCCGCCATGCTCCCGAGCTCGCAGGGCGGCTTTCCAAACCTCCCGGCGCCTCGTACCGGCGACGCTGTGTGGCGCTTTGGCCTTGGCATACCCTGTTAATTCCCTCCCGCTCCTCCCTCTCCTCCTCCTCCCCCCTCTCCCTCTCCCACCCAGGGCTGAGCGGGAGTTGGCGGACCTGCGGGCTCAGCTGGCGGCAGCGCAGGAGGAGGCGGTGAGGGGGGAGGGGGAGGGGGCGGGAGGGGGCGTGGTAGCGGGAGGCGATCGACGACAGTTGCGTGGCTGGCTCATAGATCTCCTACCTCAAGTCGGCAGTCGGCAGTCACTGCTGCCATAACCCCCTCTATCCCGCTCGTCCTCCCTTTTCCTTGCAATTCCCTTGCGGTTACTCCGCCCCCCCCCCCCACCTCTTTCCCCCCCACCTCCCCCCCCCCAGTCCTCCTCCGAGTCCCAGCAGCGGGCGCTGGCCGAGGCGGACCGCGCGCTGGGGCGGGGCGGGCTGCCCGCACTGCTGCTGGAGGAGGTGCTGGGGCAGCTGCAGGTGGGGGGATGGGGAAAAGAAGAAACAACTGACCGTTTGGCAGGGCTGGGGGAGTAAGGGGGGGTCATGGTAGACCGAACCATACACACGGGGGGTGGGATGGGAGGCAGGAATATGGGGAATAGGAGGAGGCATGTGCGCTACCTGCGCTACCTGCGCTACTCCTTACCGGCATCCCTGCGCTCAGCCTCATCTGGGTCATCTCACGTCTGCGCCTCGCACTTACTTCCCGCCTTCTCACCCGCTTCACCCTCCTCCCTATCCTCCTGTACCTCCTCCCTCCCCCTCCCGCCCCCTGCCCGCCCCCAGACCTACACCGCCCACTACCTGCAGGAGCTGGCTGAGGGGTTCGTGCTGGAGCTCACCCCCACACGACCCGCAGCGGGCTGGGCCTCATCTGCCACCTCCTCTCCCTCCTCCCCCTCCTCTGCCTCTTCCTCTGCACCCCCCTCCTCCTCCTCCTCGAGAAAGCGAGCGGCGGCGGAGGAGCGCGAGCGCGAGCGCGAGGAGATCTGCAAGGTCATCCGTGTACGGCACCCGGCTGACGGCTCGCTGCGTGTACGGGATGTACGGCAGCTGAGTGGCGGGGAGCGGCGGCGGGTGGCGCTAGCGCTGAGCTTGGGGTTTGCGGAGCTGGTGCGGCGGAGGCGGCGGCTGGCGTGCAATGTTATGGTGCTGGATGAGGTGGGGGGAAGAGGGGGAGAAGAGGAGAGGAGGAAGGAGGGGGGGCAGTGGGGCAGTGGGGCAGTGGGACAGAGCCATGCGGGCCGTCGAAGGGAGGGTGGGTGGGTAGCTGCCCGGCTGGGCCGCCGCGGCACCCTCGCCTCGCTGTTTCTCCCCCTCCCCTTCAGCCGCCCCCCCCCGTGCTAAACAACCCCTCTTCTTTGCCGCCCTTCTTCCCCCCTTTCACACTCCCCCTTTTCTTCCACGATCAACATATTGGGTATTCTTCTCCCCCCACCTGCATGCAACCCATGTTGACGCCTTATCCCTCAGTCAGTTGTTTCCTCTTTACCCCACCTTCGTCCCCCCTTCCCCCCAGGTCCTGCAGCAGCTGGACGGCACGGGCTGCGAGGCGGTGGCGCGGGTGCTGCGGGAGCTGCCGCACGCCTCGGTGCTGCTGGTGGGGCACCGCAGCAGCGCCGCCACCGCGGGGTTCGAGGTGGTGGATGTGGTGGTGAAGCAGGGGGGGGCGGCCCGGGTGCGGCTGGCGGAGTGAGGGAGCCGCAGGGGGGCTGCGTGCGCGCGCGTGTGGGGCGGCATGCGCCGTCTCTCTGTGAGAGAGGGGAGCGCGCAGTGGCTTGCCGTGGGGCAAGTGGGGCCGGGGTGCTAGGGCGGGGGGGGGGAGGTGCGCGAGGAGAGGGGGCCGCGGAGGGACCGCAGACGTGGGGTGAGCGGCGCGACAGCTGGGTGCGTGCGTGTGTTTGTGCGTGCGTGTGGGCACGGGGCGGCCGACCTTGTGGCGGTGAGGTCCATGGCGCGGAGGGAGAGGACGTGACGAGGGAGGGATGAGGGGGGAGGGGTTCCTTGCATCAAGTGTGAGAGCGGGGGGGGGGTTGAGAGAGGAGGGGCAGGATGGAGGCGCTGACGAGGGGTGGTGGTGGTGGAAGGCGGGTCAGTGCTGGGTGGTTGACGTGCCGCAGGGGTGTGTGGGAGCCGGGTGAGGCTGCGGAGCATGCAGGGCTTCGTAGGGCTACATGCTGGCATGTGACCCGGCAGGCCTGCGCGCGGGGCGAGCGGGGTAGGGAGGTCCGGTGGGTGAAGCACCGCTTGCTGTGCGGGCAACAGCCATGGGGGGAGCACATTGGCTGTTAGCAGCAGGCAGGGTGTGCCATGGAGGCAGAGGGAGGGGTACACCTGAGAGGTTGTACGCATTCCCCGGGAGGCAGACTTAATGAGCTGTATACGTGTTGGGTAGCTAGGGAGATGGAGTGTCGAAGTGAAGCACGAACAGGGGGAGGGGGGCGAGCTTCTTACATGGGGCATCAGTACCGTGGAGGGAAAGGCAGTGTGGTATGCTTGCAGCTCAGGAGGGAGGGATTTGCAGCGAAATGAAAGCGGGCTGGTCATACGCTGTTTGCCCTCAAACGCTCAAGGCCCTACGGAGCGGCAGCAAGAGACAAAGGGAACGAAATACTTGCACCAATCTTGACAACATAGCGCCATGATACACCTGTTGAAAGCCATGCATGGGAAGGACACGTCTGTAGCGTCTGACAGCCTCCGGACCCATGGGTCCGGAGCAAGCTGCCCGCGGTGCAGACCGCTTGCTGTTCTTCTCCTATTGAATGGTAAGTGTCAGTCACTAGGGGCAATCCAGTGGGGCTTAGCTCAAGAGACGCTAGCCATAACATCGCTTAGACGGGACATGTGAGCACAGTAACCGACGGCATCTGGAAATGCACCAAACGCGGCAAGTCGGTAATAGAGGGGCAGCTGTTCTGGGTAGCCCTCTTATACATGCAGCTACGTAGTGTAAGCACTCCGACGGGCACTTAGCGGGCGCTAGCCATGCAAGCAATCATCTGCCAACTGGTTGCAAAGGAACCCACGTAGAACGTTTGCAGGGTGTGCGATGCAGATAGGCTGGCCGCTCAGCCTCGAAATGTAACGTGGTGGTCTGTTATAAGGGGCCGTGGCAATGGATGTTCTGGGTGGAAAGAGCCAAGAAACAGCGAGAACCTTTTCAGTGCCTTAACTTATTCCTACACAAACATTTTGCGCGATAAGGAAGCCTTGTCGAAGTGGGGTGCCATGTGCCATTGGAAAAGTCCTGACTGTCTTTTTAACCCCAGAGCAGACCATAGAAAAACATGCCTTCTGACCGAATGCATGCGCCTTGTTCGCTGCCTGCTTTTAGAGCTTGTTCCGCAAGGCACGGCCCACCCTGGAGTGTAGCGCCAGACATTGCATAGCCCTTTCTCGCCATATTCTCGCTTTGCTGCTACTTTGTTACGCTCCCAAGAGTTTATACCCTTTTGTTATATCTTCTGCATACAATTTCACGGCACGCTTGAACAACCTGAGTAGTAGGCGATGCAGGCTCCTTTCGTTACCTAGGCAACCAGGCGCAGCGGCTGCCCCTTTCCAGTAAGGGCCAGAGGAGCGACTGCCAGGATGACGGCAAGGAGACGGTAGCCCTGGTTCATGGTCGTCCTGGCAGTGCTCAGGCTTCCACTTCGGCTCATTTCGCGCCTCTGTGCCTGGTGGCTTCGCATAGACCTAAAAACAGCAGAGCTCCTCAGGCGTCATGATAGAGGGGCTCTGCCTCCGCCGCAGCTACACGACGTGAGGCAGGGGCCCAGCAACTCGACTCCTTGCCATCAGGCCAACATGAACGGCGGAGCTCCGGCGGGGCCAAACGCCAACCACGTTGCGGACCAGGAACAGAATAGTACCAGCTTTAGCCGGCAAACGCCGGGACATCTCGTGCATGACACCTACGCCAGCCAGCGGAAAGCCTGGTGCGACTCCATACGCGACCAGGTCCGCATCGCTCCTTGTTGATCGACACTGAAGGCCACACCGGCCTTTGGTCTGCAACCCAGTTATCCTGAAATTTGTTCTGCTCTTGAAACAGACACATGCTTGGAACTTTAATGCGTTCGAGCTTTATGCTAAGACGCATGGGAACCCGCTGGTGACCATCACCGTCACCCTGCTCGAAACATACGGGCTCCTGGTAAGCTTGCACCCTGCTCTGACTTCTCTATGGTAAATTGCTGACACATATTGGGAGTGACCGCAGGACGGCTGGTTGCTTGACCGCACAAAAGTCGTCAATTACTTGTTGCGGGTGGAGCACGAATACAACCCCAATTCTTATCACAACAACACGCACGCAGCAGACGTCACGCAGACAGCAGCGGTGATCTTGGAGAGCTTTAAGAAGCAAGTAAAGGAGATCCCGAAGCTAGAGCGCTTCAGCATCATCATTGCTTCTGCAGTGCATGACCTCGGGCACCTGGGCGTCAACAACGACTTCCTCGTTAACAGCCGGCATCCGCGGGCCACTATGTACAATGACAAATCGGTCAATGAGAATTTCCATATCGCGCGGGCGTTCGCTATCGCGCGTGAGCACCCGGACCTGGACATTTTCAGCGGGTTCAGCCTCGACGAGCAGAAGCAAGTAGGTACTTCTGACTACATACTTAAGGTCCGTTATCACTATATGTGATGGGCTGGATATGACACTGCCCTGCAGATACGGAAGCTCATGATCGAGACGGTGCTGTCCACGGACATGGCGGTGCACTTCGACCTGCTTAACCGGTTTACAACCCAGGTGGATGCTAACCCCGACCTCAGCGCGTGGAAAGACCGCACGCTGTTGTATCAGATGCTGGTGCACTTAGCGGACATTGCCAACCCCTCGCGGCCATTCCACTTGGCGCGCGGTTGGGCAGAGCGGGTTATTGAGGAGTTCTGCGACCAGGTGCGAACTGAGGTTATGAAATGCCAAAGCGTAAAGCGTGAGCTGACTTTAGCGCTGTACGCTCGTTGCAGGGCGACCGGGAGGCGGCGATAGGTTTGCCCGTTTCGGCGATGTGCAACAGGGCGACCATGAACATGCCCAAAGCGCAGCTGGGCTTCATCAACATCTTCCTGAAGGTGTGGCATACTGGGAATGGGGGTACGGTTTTGTCTGCCAGGCCCACACCACTATGGCTTAGGCGCTTCTCCCCTTGTCTGGAGTTATAAGAGTGTTTACCTTGGCCTAACCTCTCCGTTTCCATTCCCGCAGCCAACGCTGACGTGCTTCGAAAGGGCGGCGCCGGACTTCGTCCGGATGGCGCTGGAGCACCTGGACCTGACCATTAAGGAGTGGTCCGCTCTGGATGCCGGGGGGCTTGTGCTACCGCCGCACCTAATGCCGCAGCCAGCGCAGCAGCAAGGCACAGCAGGACAGGGGCAGCCGCAGCAGCCGGCACCTGGGCGAGGGCAGCAGCAAGCGCCCGTGCCACCGCAGCCGCAGGCGCCATTCCTTGGAACGGACAAGCAGCTACCCCAGCGCATTCCTTGACAGCGCTGCTTGGGGCTGCCATGCGCGCGCTGGCGAGCGCGCGTATTCTTTGGCCGCCGGGACGGTGGCTAATCCTCGTTACTCGACATGGGGGCAGGCGGATGCGCACGACGCCTTGCTGGAGGAGTTTGGGCTCACGGTGTAACCAGGTTGTGTGACGCATGCCTGGAGCGCGCTCTGTGCATTAGGCGAATTGATGAGTTTGAAATATGGATGCGGGTGGTGGTAATCCGTGGCCAACAATGGGGCGGACATGCATGTCGTGTTAACCGCTGGGGAACATGCTTCCCCTGCAACCGTATGGTGTCTTAACTGTCATCGCTTTCGTCCCAGTTGGGGCTGAATGGAGTGAGTGACGTGCGTGATTATTGGGTTTGGGTGGTGTCGAGGTCGCTTGGAGGCATGCGGTTTATCCAGGTAGGGTGCACTCCTGGGGCAGCCAGGCACTTTACTCGTGTATACTGCGCGTTGCAAGATATGACGATAACTTGGATCTTGTGGAGCGGCCAACGTCGAGGCTGCTTCGCTGCAGACGGGTGGGAGGCCGCAACGAACGTTTCTCCATGTGACAGCAAAGTCGACTAGGGTTTCACACTGTGAAGCTCGTGCTGTCGTATAGTATACTAACCTTTTCTGGGGTGGGCATTTCGATTGCAGGGTGTCATGTGGGCATGGGGATATGATAGTTCCTCCCTACGTGATCGTGGGCTGTTACCGCTGTCAGGACAAGGACTCCCCGGCGACTTGGTTCGTCTTGAGTTGCAGCTGGTGTCGCTCCCTAACACAAGTATCTGAGCAGACACGCATACGCACCTCGCTGCGCGCAACTTGTGTTCATTGGCTCGCTCTCTAGATGCCTCAGGGCTTGCATGGCAACTGTGGAGATCCATGGTGTGAGGGTTGCGCAAGCGAGCTCTGTAACTGCCTGCTGCATCGTATATCTGCATGTCGTTGTGTGGTTTTTGAGGTGGTTACCAGAGCTTTTGATGTGACTCGTGCTATGCGCCCACGTGCCCGACACCCGTCGGCCCGGCCACCAATTAGCCAGTGCCGTTTGATATTTCCTTGGATAGGGGTTGCTTCTTAAACCGGAACTTGCATTTAACTTCATTATGGAACCCAACTGCTTAACAGTGGATGCCTGTCCGGCAGTAAGTAGACAGAATTACAGCATGGAGAAGGAGGCAATACCCGATATTGTCTCATCAGTGGTCACTCACTCGCTCAAGCACTACAGCCATACACCGCCCTTCCCATCACAGTAACACAAAACTCTTTAGGTAACTTAGCCTACATTTCAAGGCTCAAGACATGAGCGCCGCAGGGCTGGCGGATCGTGTAGATGGCATATCTATGGAATGGCGAGGTGGTAACTTTTGCTCTGGATGGCATTGCCCGGGCAGCTGGGGCACGGCGTGCGGCATTCCGCCCTCCCCGCCCGACGGCTGCGGACGGCGTGGTGAGCTACCCAGGCCCAGCGCCAAATGGCTCGCAGAGATGGCATCGCCTTCCGAGGCTGGGGTAACAGAGCATGTGGGGTGGGAAGGGGGGTGAACCATGCAGGCGGTTATCGGAACGTGGTGGCAGGGCGGCGTACAAGAAGTACGGTAGCAGCGAGAGCGGCACGGGCCCAACCCCAAGAAGTGAAAACGCGATTTCTGTAGCATAGAGCGATTCGAAGCGCCTAAGAAGGAACGCCTACACGCCGCTGCAGTCATGCAACTCCTTGACACACCCCTCGAGATCCCCACCTCCACAAGTCAGTTAGTCGTTTCCTTTTTTCCACCCATCGCATCCAGGTTCCTTCCCCCTTTCCGTCACGCCGCTCATCAGCACTCCCCCCGATACCCCTCCCTGCCGCTACTCACAATTCATACTCAAGCTACTCCGCGTGCGGGAGTACTGCCGACTTGTGGGCAGGTGCACGGGCACCGGGGGCGGGGCGGGGGGCGGCGGGCAGCTCTCCCTCCTGCCCGGCGAGCTGGCGGGACGGGGCGGGGCGGTTGCGTGCGAGGCCGCCTGCAGCGCCGCTCGCAGCTGGGCGGGGCTGTGCAGCTGCTCGGCGCCTCCGCTGCCGCTGCTGCTGTGGCCGCCGCCGCCGCCGTCGTCGTCATCCCGAGAGAAGGCGGAGTGGGGTCGGGCAGCGGCCTTGGACTGCAGCAGTACGCGGTTGGCGGCTGCGGGGCGGGAGGGGGAGTGCGGGAGGAGAGGCGAGGAAGGGTAAGGAGAAGTGAGGCGAGGCAAGGCAGGGCGCAAAGAGCCGTGCAAAGCAGATTCAGGGCCAGGTTCAAGCATGGAAATGCTCTGTGTGTCGCATTACCTAGGGCTTGGATGTGGAGAAGCACTCAACGTGGGGCCGTCTCCCAAGCCCCCCCCCTGCTCCCCCTCTGCCTTGTTACAAAACCCCAGAAACCCGCTCTCGCCCCTCCTCCACGCGCCCCCGGTACCCTCACCTGCTCTGCGAGCCAGGCTCAGCTGGTCCCCTCCTGCACCGTGTACCGCCCAGCCCGCGGCGGCCCCCCGCTGCGGTGAGCCCTGCGGCTGTGACAACCCTCCTTGCTGCTGCAGCGGCTGCTGCGCCTGTTGAGGCGAATCATGTTGCTGCTGAACCTGTTGTTGCTGTTGTTGCTGTGGTTGCGGTGGAGGTGGAGGTGGAGGTGGAGGTGGCAGCGAGGAGGATGACCCCAGCAGCGACCTCCGGTGCTGCTGCTGGTGCTGCTGCTGCTGCTGCGCCGCCACCACCACATGTCGCACCATCTGCCCTCCGTCACCGCACACGCCGCCGCTAGCGCCCCGCAGCAGCAGCGAGGAGGTGGAGGCGCTGTGCGCGAGGAGGGGTCGGACCCCAGACGGCTGATGAGGGGGCGGCAGCGGCAGAGAGGCGGAGACGGAGGAGGCCAGCGGAGGTGAGCCGGGCAGCAGTGGTAGACCATCGCCGGTGAAGGAGATGCGGTTTGCGCCGCCAGGATTGCCACTGCCAACGGTTTTGTTGTTGTTGTTGTTGCTGCTGTTGTTGTTGGTTTGAGCCTCAAAAGTCGCAAACAGCGCACCGGGGGACCGCGGACCGCTGCCCGAAGTGACGGCGATGGGGGAGGCGCTCAGGCCGGACACGAAGGGGAGGGGGGAGGACTGCCACCCACTGCTGCCCGCCTCACATGACACTAACGAGGCGCCCCTGAAGCAGCCTCCGCCCCCGCCGCCCCCTGCCTCCACGTTGCTCCCGCTGCCGCGGTGGACTCGAGCGCTGCCGGGGTTGCCGTACACTGCAGCACCGCTGCCGCCCCTGCTAGGGGGGCTGCCCCTGCTAGGGCTGTCCACACCGCCGTTGCCGCTGGGACGTGGCGGCGGTGGCAGCGGGGCTCCTCCGGCATCACCAGCACCGCTGCCGTCGCCTGTTGCCCATTGATGTTGTTGGTGTTGGTGTTGGTGTTGTTGTTGGTGGTGGTATTGCGGGAGTGGTGGGGGAAAGGGTGGCGGCGGTGGTGGTCTCGGTGACGGTTGCGGTTGCTGTTGTTGGTCAAGGATGATGTTGTTGGTTGACGGCTGGGGTGGAGAGGCGCTCTTGGTCGGTGTGGTGGGGTCGGAGGTGGGGGCGGGGGTGGTGGAGGTGAGGGTTGGGGTGGAGGCGGTGGTAGGGGGGCTGATGGCGGCTGGGGAGGTGGTGGGGACTGGTGCGGCGACGGCTCCGGGGGAGGCGGAGGTGGGGGTGTAGGTGGTGGGAGGGTGAGCGATGCTGCTCTTGCGGGCGGGGGAGGGCGAGGTGGAGGAGGAGCCTAGGGCGTTGCGGACCGCTGCGGGAAAAAGAGCGCGGAGGAGGGAAGGGAAAAAGAGTGCATAGGGTGGGGTGGGGGGTTAGCACATAAATCAACAAGGACAGCAGCGGTGAGAAAAGGGGAAGAGCCCAAAACACTCCTCACTGCCCCTGAACTGCGCATCTCAGCAAACGTTGGCACGACATGAACAGGACGCACGCAGGGCGGTGCAAAGGGCTTCTTCCTGCCACCCCGGTAGCCCCACTGCGCGCCAACAGATACCCCACGTCCCCCTCACTCCGCCCCTCTCCCTCCAAGGCCAGGTCGGGTCCCATATAGCACACAACCCATGGTGAAGCCCCGTCATACAGCTCCTCCGCTCCTTCCTCTCCCTCCCCTCTCCCTCCCTCCCTCCCTCTCTTTTCACCCTGCACTTATCACTTATTTTGCCCCCCCTCCTCATCCTCGTCTCCTCGTCAGTTTTCCTTATCTTTACGCCTGTCCCTCCTCCCCCCCCCTCACCCTGCGCCACCGCCTGCGCAATGACGTGCTGCTGCTGCACCACGGAGCGGTGCGTCAGGTGCTGCCGCAGCGCCTCCCGCCCAGCAGCACCCAGCCGCCGGAAGTCGGGGTCGGCGGCGGTCAGCTGCGCCTCGCGCTGCGTCTGGCGGCGCTGCATGGCGCGGAGGGACCAGACGGGCACCTCGAAGGAGGCCTGCGAGGGGGGGGAGGGAGGGAGGGAGGGAGGGGGGGGAGAGAGGGAGGGGAGGGACGTAGTGGTTTGGGGGAGGGGGGTAATGGCAACGGGGAGGGAAGGGGGAGGAGCGGGAGGACGGAGGGGAGACGAAGGGGGAGGAAATATAATAAGTGCTTCCCCTTGTGGACGGGGACTCGCACCACAACTCACAGCCTTGCGACCACTTACTTCAACGCTACTGTGTCGCATGGCAGCACCCTACCAGCCACCCCCGCCCCAATACTTTCTTCTTCTTTCCCCGGGCCCCCCCCTTCCCTTCTCCCCCCTTCCCCCCGCCCCCTCACCTGCTCCTCCTCCACCGCCGGCACGTACTTGGCGTGAGTTCCCACCGGCAGCGGCAGCTCGGCCAGGTTTAGCTGGCCCAGCAGCGCCTCTAGACGGGCCGCCTCCAGGCTGGGGGGAGGGGGGAGGAGAGGAGGGGGAAGTGGAGAGCGGGGGAGGAGGGAGGTGGGGAAAGAAGAATACCCAAGATGCTGTGACGGAGGTTATGGGGATACGTATGATGGAGGTGGGGGAGTGTGTTAAGGGTTGTCGCTGGGGAAAGACGGGGAAAGGAATGGGGAAGGGCACGAGGAGGGAGCGATACGCCGGAGGGTGGGAACGCGGAGGAAGGGCGCAGGCAGGGGAAGAAGTGGACAGGGCCCCCGGTCACCAAGTGTTGTCAGCATGTGGGGGATCCTTCACGCCCCCCTCCTACAAACCTCTTCCCCCCTACCCGCCCCACCTGCCCTCCTGTACGGCAATGTCCTTATCCGCATGAAGCTGCTCCGAAACCAGCGAGATGATGTTTTGCAGGTCGTCCTGGGGGGCGGGGAGGTGGGGGAGGTAAGCGGGTGAAAGAAAATTAGACGTGTTTCATGGCCCGACTTAAGGTCCGGGGGGAGATGAGGAGATTGGGGCGAGGTGGGTAGGGTTGGTGGTGGATTCACGCAGCGGACCGGGGTGCGGTGGGGGCTGGAGGGAGAGAGCAGGTGAGCGGAAGGGTGGTGGGAAAGGCGGGAAACGAGGAAAGGTGGGAACCGGATAGTCCCCCCATTCCTTGAACCCTTCCCTTGTTTCCCCTCCCCTCCCCACCTTCTGCATGTGGGTTGCCCCGGAGCCCCGCCGGCTGCTGCTGCTGCCGCCGCTCAGGGGGATGCCGCTGCAGCTGGGGTGCCGCCCGGGGCTGCTGCGACTGCCGCCATGGGGGTTGCTATGAGTGTTGCTATGGGGGTGCGGGTGCGAGGAGGTGGTGGCGGCGGAGGTTGCAGCGGCGGTGGCAGCAGCCGTGGCGGCGGCGGCTCGGCGCTTGAAGGTGGCTCGGTCCAGGTCTTGGAGCAGCGCTACACCGTCCAGCTGGGAGGGGGAGAAGGGGCGGACATGTGCGTCAAGCCCAGCGGCTGCCGAGTTGTGGTATGTATTCCGAAGCAACTCGTTGTTTCACTTATATAATTTTTTCCCCTCTTCCCTACTCCCTCGCCTCTAACGCCTTCCATCTCCCCTCTCCCCCGCCCCTCCCCCTCCTCACCTGCTCCGCGCCCCGCCCCTCCCCCACCCGGTACGCCTCCAGCAGCTGCGCCCACCGCCGCGGCGGCAGCATAACCCCCGCCCGCCCCAGCAGCTCCTGCAGACCCGACAGCGGCAGCAGCACACAACCCCCGCGGCACCCGCCGGACACCTCGGCCGCCACCCCAGATCTGGCCCCAGTGGGCCCACCGCTCCCGGCTGCCGCCCCAGCTGACTCTGCCGCAACCGCAACCGCCGCCGCCGCCGCCCGATCCGCCCCACCACCAGCAGCCGCAGCAGCCATAAGGCGCTCCAGCTCAGCCCGGTAGTGCACCCCGCGTGCGGCCAGTTGGGCGGCAAGGTACGATACACCACGGGACTGCCGTACACATGCAAGGGGAGGGGAAATGGGGCGTGGGGGAAGCCAGGGGTTAAAGGAGTTGTTCGGTGTCCTCCGAAGCCTCACAAGGCCGCGCTCCGCGACTCCCCTAACCCATGTTTCCACCGCTCTCGCCCGTGTCCTCCTCCCTCCCTCCCTCCCTCCCTCCCTCCCTCCCCAGACACACACACCGTCCCCCCCCCCACCTTGCTGCCTGCGCGGCTGCCCGGCTGCTCCCCCAGCGAGCCGCCGCTCCTCAGGCTCCGCAGGTTGGAGCTGTCCCCCGCCGAGCCCTCATCCGCGCCCGACTGCACAGCCGCCGCCCCCTGCTGCTGCAGCCGGGAGGGCCTGCACTCCCGCTCGCCCCTGCTGTTGCCGCGGCGCGGTGTGGAGGGTAATGATGCGGTGGGGGAGTCGGCAAACCTCACTGAAGCAGAGCCCACCAGGCGGGACGTGGATGCAGGAGGCAGACCGGACGCGGCCCGCTCAGGGATGTTCCAACCGAACGAACCGTTAGGCATCGTGCGGAGTGCGGCATCGAGCTTGGATACGCCTTCCCTTGCTGAAGCTTCCTTGCTGTTGGTGTTGCCTAGAGGCGACAGCAGTTCTGGATGCCCGGATATCGAAGCACACGGCTGCAAGCGCAACTCTGTGTCAGCGCCAGCGTCGACGCTCAATGTGGACTCGCCGACCGCAGAAGCTGGATTTGGCAGTCGTTGAACAGCTGATCCCCGAGGACGTGCTACCGTTGACGGCAAGAAGCATGCTGCAAGGTCCCTAAGCTTGCCCATGGGCGCTGCCCTGGTGACTTCGCGCAACGGGATAAACTAAATCCACAGCATTTTCACAATCCCCTTCCGCCCTGCTCCATGTGCTTGTCACTCTGCTCAATGGCGAGCTAGATTGTTAATGAAACTACTTTACAAGAAAGCTGCACAACCAGTTATAACACAGCCTATAAATCCATTGTTGATAGCGGGTATACGTAGGTAAAAGGGAGTGCTAGTGGTCCGGTGATAGTGGTCCGGTGTCCAGCGGTGACAACTTCCGCGCCGAAGGAAGACGCTCAGAAGGTAAATATTTCCTACTAGATGTAGATTGACGTCCGATGCGCCCTTTGGCTACCTTACAACCCTGTTACGGGCGAAAGTGTGTTTGCATCTCAGCGTGTTGCAGCACGAGCGCGCACACGTGCACATGCAGCAGATCTCCCAACAGTGACCTTCCGTGAACTATGCAGCAGTCCATCGACGGACAGCATGACACAGTTGAACCACACAGCGGAATAGGTCGTACACTGTCGAGGTAGCCGTTGGCCATCTAGCTCGTCATGGCCGGGCTATACAGCTAGAGTGCAGTGCGCATTAGGGAACTGCCATCATCATTATCTTCGACGGCAGTTCCTCACTACCAGGTAGTCACACTTCCCTGCTGGCTGTGCTGGGCGAAGTAAGCATTGCAACATGGAGTACCTTGTTGCGCAAAAAAGGTCACCCAATACACGCTTATGTAGCTCATCCTACGCACCCACACAAACCATGTAATAACATTTGCGGCGCGACTCAGGAACAACGGGATACAGCGAGCGGTACAGCTGGCGAGATGTCGGGCGGCAGGCGTGGGAGCCTAACAGCACCTGCCCCACAACCGCAGCCAACCGCATGGTGCATCATACGGCTATTGCATGCAACATGTCCACAAGAGCTATATGGGGGAGCAAGCCGCCTCAGATATGTCAAGTGATTCCTTGCTGCATTTGCCAGGCAAAGTACACACCAGAGGGCGGTGCCCTCCTCTTGCAAAACGAGTCATAAGCGATTTGCTGCTAACCAAGCACCGCCCCCTACTTTTGGGGTTCACAGACCGGGTATGCGTCCACGTGGGGGCCTGCTAGTTCCAATGTGCCTCCCACATTTTAATCTATGCATGACAGCCCCAGAGTGAAGTCCCTGGTAAAAATTCTTCCCACCCCAGGCCCACCCTCCCATACACTCACCAGCAGTAATCCCCATGTCCGTTCCCTCCTGTGCATTCCATCCAACGCACCCACTCCCTTTCCCTCTGCGTGTCACCTCAGTCCGCCATCATCATTCAACGCATTGGGTCTTCTTCATTTTCCCCCTCTGATTCTCACCGCGCGGCGCGAAATAGCTTTCCTTGCCAACCTCCCCTCCCCCTCTCCCCCCTCTTTACCACTATTCCACCCCCCGCTTCCCATCTGCCCCCCCCCCCCGCTCACCGCCGCAAAGTACGCCGCCAGCAGCCCCAGCGGGTCCAGGTAGTGGGCGGTCAGGCGGGCGCCGCGCAGCAGCACGTGCAGCGTACGGAGCACGTCGGCCGCGTGTACGGAGTTGTGATACGGATTGGAGGACAGGTAGCCGCCCTCAACGGTGCGCAGCATCCTTGGGGGCAAGCGATGATTCTTGTTTCTGCAGCCGACGTGATGTGCCTTGTATGAGAGTAGTACCGTGCACTTTGGCCTCTCTTTGGGAGGTTTCATTGCACTGGCCCTGATATGACCGACGAACATGCATAGGGACAGGCTCCTAACACAGCCCTTATACTCGCTACTGCAGCCATGCGCAAGTCTCAACGTTGAGCCCCCCTTCCGTGACAAATCGGTCCACCGCAGCAACACCGACCCATGGGTCGTTCAGCCCACGCCCGAGTCATCCCTCCCGGGCACAGTTACCGGTATACCGGTACTCAACTGGATACAGCCACGGGTACAATCTTTTTTTGCTTGTCAGAAGTCGGAATCGATGCCAAGGATGCTAATGCAGAGGATCCCGGGCTAGTGCTGTCTGGCAACGCCCTGCTGTTACAGGCCAGGAATGCACCATGCATGGCCCTAGGTGTCACCTGAGGACCTGAACGACACAGGACAGCTAGAGTTATAGGCAAACGCTTAATGCATGTTGTACACGCCCAACATGATCAACAACAATCTGCGTGTGTTGAGGGGCACACCCCCACGTGAGCTACATGCCGTGACGGCGCAAACATGGGCAGAGCACCAGGTACAGAACACCTGGCATGTGAAAAGGCAGCATCTCAAAAGCGCGTTAGTGCCGTACAACAGTCAAACCAACGATTTACGGTAAACCAACTCAACGCTTTTGGCCCCACTTGTTAGCAGCAGGGTGTTCCATCATCCATGCCAACAGAAATAAACTACAGTATCACATTGAAAAGGTGGTGACTGTCAAGCGAAGTGGTGAGAAAAACCAAAGGGGTATTTATGTATGCCATAGATAGATAGATTAGGTGTACAACAACAGTGCACGGGTGACTAACAGGATAAATGGGCAGTTTTCAGTATAACCACAAGCAGCATAGCATGGCATAGCAGTAGCGTCACGTGAATTCACCTTCGGTTCCTAATACCATTTTCTTCCCTCTGCCTTCCTTCCGGATTCTGGCTCAAAACAGCACGTCGGCGATAAACGAGCATTGCGCATTTTCGGTGCGTCAACAACACCTTGCTGCTCACTTTTTGCGCACAAAAACACGTGAAAAAGATGGCACGCTCAGTCTGCGTGGAAGCATATGGCGCCCTAGGACGTCTGAGAGATAGAGGCATGACATTGCAATGACCCCCACAGCGTACGCAAGGCCGAATATGCCCCTCTCCCCGGCCATGATCCCCCTTTGCGAAAACATGAGTTTAAACTGCAGATACGTGCTCTCTATTGTGGATGCTACTAGCTAGCTCCTAGCAATAGAATATCCGGCACTCAGGTGGACATGCCGGCTCTCGACCTTGGCAGCCCACGAGGAGGACCAGCCGTGGACGTGCCGTGCCTTGCCGTACACGCTGTGTATTGCATCCGCTGTGCGGTACCCTTCGATAGGGCTTCACGCGGAAAAAGTGACTGATGACTGACCACGATCCGAACAATAAATGTGGCAATGCTATCAATTATGATCTGGTCTGGCTTGCTCTGCTTGCAGTGGATCTTTCTCCAAACGAAGATGCGGGGATAGCCCTTGGCGAGTCCAGCGCCGTAGGAGCAGCTGCACCGTCCATGCGACCGGGAATCTTCTCCGCAGCAGCACGCAACGAGGACGGATGCACTCTTACCAAAGCTGCGGCTACTTCCACCGCCAGGGAATGCCAGCCTACCAGCCGCAGCCCACCTGACCGCTGCTGCACCGTTGCTGCTGCACCTGCAAACTCGCCTCGCTCCCGACTCCCGCCCAGCATCGCGGCACAGCTTCCTGCCGAGCCGCAGCCCCCATCGCAGGCTGGTGATCAGTCTTGGTGACCAGGCTCATCTACAGGGTGGGGGGGGCGCAGGGAGAGCACCAGCAGTACACATGAGGGTTAACTGCGGCGGCGCCCCGGTGAGCAGGCAGCTCCTTCACGCATGCTGTGCTGTATGTGCGACGCGAGCTTCCCCCCGGCGCCCGAGTGCACGACGCTCAGGTGCGATACTTGCGTCCCAACGTCGGAAACGACAGCCTAAGCCGCGTTGAATGCAGTTCCATGTCGTTCAATGTCCCTTACAAGCAGCCTGCTGCCGTATGGGGTGGGGTCTCTAGAGCCCTTCTGCGGCCAGCAGCCTTCGGCAGCACCCCTCGTCCAAACTCTCCGTGACCTACCGCTCGCAGCTCGCGGGCGGGGCCACAGCAGCGCCAGCAGCGCCGCGGGGGCCGCCAGCAGCCTTGTCACCGCCGCCTCCAGCCAGATGGCCGCCCGTACCTCCTTGTGCCGAGCGAAGAGGTAGAGCGCGTGAATGACGCCTGCCAGGAACGCACGAAGGAGTTCAGGGGGTAGTTCAAGAGGAAACAATTACCAGTAACTGACCGTGTGATAAGCTGATAACGCAGAAAGAAACAAACACCCGCTGAGGGTTGGTAGGGTTAGGGGTTGCAGCTGTGCATGCGGACGAGGAGTGCATGGCTGGGGGCGCAGCGCCGCCAGAACAGCGCCGATCTGCATACGGAAACGCCGGCCTGCCTTGGCCAGCTGGCCTACGGCGACAATGGCGGCATTTTCCCAACTGGCGGGCACTGACCCGTCAATAACCAGATGTCCGCCCGCCCCGATGCTAGCGCACACCCCCGCCAATCCAACAGCCCACAGCAAGTTCGGTCTATCACGCGTGTTCGCCTTTAGGGAACCGTTGTAACGGTCTTTCGTTCAGCCCACAGGACGTAACGCCCGGTGGGGGTTTGCGCCTATTAAGAAGTTCTCCCTCCGAAACCCAGGGCCCCATCTGCACCCCACCTGGGAAGTAGCCGCACAGCGTGAGGATGAGGTTGAGACAAAGGTCGGCGGTGGTGAAGTCGGCCTCCTGCGGCCCGACATAGATGTGCTTGATGGCGTAGCTGCGGCGACGGGGGCGTGTAAGGAGAGGGCTGGGTTGGGCTCCTACAAGTACGTCTAATAGGTTCAAAGCAGTCTGAAAGTTCAGCGTGAAGTGAACAGGAAGTGGAAAGAGCGTGACGCTGCAACGCCTCCAAGAGGGAACAAGCTTCGCTGTCAGGCACAGAAGGCGAGCGTTGCGGCCCGTGCAAGGCTCCCGAAGTAACGCAGCACATCCGGCTCCTTTTAGCGCCCACGTAAGAGACTCATAAGCAACAGCCAACACCATTTTTATTACGAACCAGTAGCTGGATGTGCTGCGTGCTGCATACCACACATCGTCCGCGACCGTTGACCTTTTAACATTGCGTTTCTCCTCGCAACGCGGCATCTGCGCACCTGCCAGCTGGTGGCATTATGAAGCAAAGCAGCAGCAGCTGGAGGTCGATCTTCCACATTACAAGGCTGTTGTAGTAGAACAGCCGCGAGGCAGCCTGTGCACAGTGTGACGTAAGTATTCACCACGCGAGGCCAAGTAATGCTTGCATGAATGCATGTGGTTCTCTAGCTATACTGGACATGGCTGTCGCCGTACGTAGGACAAGCGAGGCTGGATTTCTATGGATTACGGAACGGTTGCTTAGGCTGCTTGTGCAGCCGAACCAAGCAGAGGATCGGCAAGGCAGAAGAGTTAGGTCCGCGCTCAGAGCCCACAATCCGGGCGAGGACCTTATACAGGAAAGTCATCACCGGCCATCATAAACCGTCATGGACATCCCTTCAACTTAGGTTGTGGTATAATCGTCATTGTAGTTTAGTCGATGACCTGCTCTTTTCCGACCTGCTTGTTTGCACTCATAAGCGGCGGTTGAGGGCTCAACAAATAGAATTACTTTGTTGGACTAGCTACCAGATAGAATAA